TTCTACAGCACCTAAAAGTACCCGGACTGATTCTAACACAGGTTAATGTGTGTAGCTACTGTATTTTAACAGATAATTCTGTTTACATACAAAACATAGGTCATATGACACTTCATGCTGCTCGTACAGCTGTTCCTCGAAGGCGGCTCTGCTTTGTTTTCCAGCTTTCCTCAGTGACATGTTAAAAAATAATGGGTGACATTGCAACCTGGAGTTCACTGTGTGGTGCATTTCTCCAATCTGCAGGTATTCTACTGCTATCGTTTAAAAAGTAGGACAGGTTGTTTCGAATTTGTGCTGTCAGTAAATTTCCATGTGTATTTGTTATTCTACACACTGAGTATCTCTTTTTTAGAGGAAAAATATACATGACGTTCACAAACATTTGAAGATGTACTGAATCTGTCATCATCACAATTAATATGATTATGATATAATATATGATCATAAATGATTGTGTTGATCTGCAGCCAAGAATAAAGCTCATATTTCACACACAATACTCACTCTAAAATAGCATCTTATCTTATTCTATGAAAATCTTGTATCGTCTTGTATGGGTGGATTAATTTGGACCTGATTAAGAACAGCGGGTTCTTCAAGATGCAGCTGTGACTCAAAGTGGGACTCCAGGTAAAAGGTACCATAACATTTAGACAGACGAAGGGATCTAGTAAGTCATATCTGTATAACTCTCAAATTCACTAACCTGACATATAGAAGACATATAAGTAACTCAGTTTACACTTAATGGTTTACATGCATGCAGAAGTAGTCAAACTTGTGAGGAAAACTTGTTGTCTCTTTCTGACATTGAAAAGAGGCCAAGCAACCATTTTATTTGGAAAAGCTGCAACACCAAACCCCCGAAGATTCTTGTTTGTATTTTCCACCTCTCGCTCACTCTGGCACACTTTCTTAAGCTTTCTTGCCATCCTCTTCACCTCCCCTCTTTCTCCTGTGGGTTCTATTTTAATGAACACATTCTTGGCAGCACACACTCAATCCATTGACTTAAAACAAGCTCTCTGCAGCCTTAAGATAAATACAAAAACTGGTTAAAATATAACAACAAGCAGGACTTTGAGGTTTTAGGAGGCCATGCAGTTTTTTTTTTCAACCGTTAGTTGAGTGAATAACACAGACCCAAATAAAAAGCTTCATCACATTAGCATGTTCACAAACATGTGTGCACACGCGATCAGCTGCAGACCCGTACATGACTCTCTCTCTGGGAACAGAGCCACCATGAGAGTAGCATCTTCCCCTAAGCATGACTCATTTGACTCTGAGGTGGAGTTGACTTGTGACGTAATAAGGGAGCAATCGTCACCTTAATAAATATGGCAGTCAGAAACACTGGGTCTTAGTTTAAAATAATAAGAGGAGAAGTGGAAGGTGTACATTTTTTATAGCAGGCTGTTTTTCCGGGAGGAAATACAAACTGTCTCAAGGGATTAAAATGTATTACAGTGTATGCAGAAGTACATCAGTTTATAACGTGCACTGCATAGTGGGAATGAATAATGGATTACTGGATAAATAAATGTGTATTTTTAAGAAAAATTCCATTTCTAGTGGACCTGCTGGGTTTTACCCTTCATGCCCTGTGCTTCCCTTCTTTTTTAAAATGGCTCCTGTTATGTATGCACCACTCTGAGCCCTGATGTCCTTGGGTGAGAGAGAGAGATGTCTGCTGTCAGAGAAAAGTGTGATTGTGGTTGTATGAAATAAATTACTCAGTGATGTATGTGTGAACGTGAAAGTGAGGCTGTGTGAGTGTGAGTGTGTATGTGAATCTCATAAAATTCCAGTAACTTCATGGCATTCTGACTTTTATGAGCCGTTTCTCTGGGCAGAGTGCATCAAGTCTATAAAGAAGAAATGCTGCAAGCCTCCATGCACAAGAATGAGGATTTTCTATCCCTCACGAAGCAGATGCTGAACATTTAACTTCAAACAAACCTGCACAGCTAATTAGCAATTAGTGAGGCACAGGGTTATAAGGTCAATGCGGCTGTGCAATCTGTTCCAATCTACACATAAAAACCAGTTCCACGACATTGTGGCTCCATTTATTTATTTAAATGTTTCATCTTGAGATTTTATGTCAACATAGATATTAGACCTAATACCTTGAGATAATTCAAATTTTGTCAACTTTGAGAGATGATGCTGTTTATAACAAGGTAGCTCTTCTTTTTCTTTAATATCCTTTGTTATATCATTGAGGGTGATGTTGCAAGTCAATGAGCATGACTAATGTAAGGCAATATTACTTGTTTAATACTAAAACTGAAGAGTAAAAACATTTTTTTCCCTCCATTTTACAGAGGATTGTGTGTAGGACTACTTGCAAACCAGCAGAGACTCCAGGAAGTTACTGGTCCCAGCCAAGAAATAGTCCAGCACACAACACCCTTCCCAAGCTAATTATGTTAGCTTTGGATAGAGCCAAGCTAGCTGTTTCCCCCTTGTCTCCAGTCTGTATGCTAAACTAAGCTAACTGGCTGCTGGCTTCGTGAGAGTGGTATCGATCCTCTCCATGTTACTCTAAGCAGTAAAGCAAATAATCATATTTCCCAAAAATCTGAGCGGTTCCTTTAATGCTGATATTCATTTGGCCAAACTCCTATCTGATTCTTTTAAATCCCTGGTCCCATCCCTTAATCCCTGTGACCTCCTCTTTGTGTATTGGAGTGGGGGTACTGCTAAGATCTGGTTTGAAGGATGCGTATGTAAGTATCCAGATTGCTGTGAGTCTGGGCCTGGATTACAGGGCTGTGGCACAGGAGCAGAGGGGTTGAAGAGAGCCTTCTGCCAATGGGAATCTGGGGAAGAAGACAGTGTGTGTGTGTGTATGGGGGGTTTATAACAGTGAGGAACAGACGGCGAGAGACGGCGAGAGACCGCAGAGACAGCTAACTCTGTGCCTAGAGCTGACTGAATCACACTGGGAATAAAACTGAGGAATAAAGACTGCGGCATTTAAAAATCTACAAATTCAGACGTATTAACTGCATATCTATTCATTCAACCACACCTCTTTATGCATGCACACTGAGAGCCACATAACTGTATGCATATTTACGGATATAATATGCATTATGCAGCCTCACCTCACACACACAGATGTATTTGAGGCTATAGAGAAACATCTGCCTGAAGAGAGAGAGAGAGGGCTCTGCTAATGGGTAACAATAGACTCATCACACAGAATTAACACAATCTGCGCAGCCATCTAATTCCCAGTGACTGCTGTCTACTCCCAGTCTGATCAAATGAACTCCTGATTAAAAATGAGAAGTGTGTTAAAAGCAGATTTTTTTTATATTATTTTTTTTTAATCTAAAACTCTTCCAGCTTTTATTTAATTTTTATCTGCAAGTGCTGCTACTCAAGATTATGCAATGAGAATTCAATGACTAATGTGTCTGGATGTAATCATCTATACAAGTATCTCAAGTGTCAGTGTGACGTTAACAGTAACATAAATGACTAATGGCAGCATAAATTAACTAAAAATACATCACTGAATCCCATTGTGTGTCACCATATTGGATCCCAGCTGTTAAATTAACTCCTGTCCTCACAAACTGCTACCTTAGTCTCAGTTATTCAGATCCAACATGCAATTAAGCGAGTTTAATATACACAGATGCTGACCTTCAAGCAATACACTATTATCAGTGTCACAATTAAGCCATTACTCCCCTCCCATCTCAGTGACAATTGCTCATAAAGATGAGAAATGATGCAGACTGGGAGCTGTAACTAAGGCCATTTGGACACTGGGTGAACTGGAGAACAAGGAGCGAGAGTGGAGCATGTTTTTGTGTGACTCAGCCAGGCTCCGGGCGTCCTGCTGCGTGGGGCCTGAAGCTGACTGTCAGTGTCACTGTGACTCACCCCGAGAAAACGGACAACCTCCCTCAGACGTGCTGGAGCTCCCAGCTGACACCGGAAATAAAAGTCACTAAATAGCCCTGGAGTTAGTGGGAGGCCGCAGGGGGGGCAGATCTGTTTAAACCTTTAGACCATCCAAATCCCATTGAAGACCACTCTGATGGCCTCCAAATATGATGATGGTTAAACTCTTCAGCCTGAGCTCTTGGGAGTAAAAACAAGATACAAAAATGGGTGTGATGGGCTGAGGAAGCCTCTGAGTAACCTTGAACTGAATATCTTCTCAAGCATTAAGGCCTACATCTCATACCAGCAGATGATTTACCATTCGACAGGAAAGACATAACTGAACTCATCACAGCTATCTCGCAATAGGCGATAAATGCGTTTAGAGGGCGCCGAGGTCATGGCGTGCCGCTGCTGGTAGGAGCGGATTTCCGCCAAGGCACACTTAACGATTGCATAACATCTTGCGCGTCGGAATTCCCACTGTGGTTGGCTGAAGGAAACACTGATTTAAAACCGTCCTTCAATTAAGGCAACAACTTGCGCATTAGAAGTGTGACCGATTGCCGTGAGGTGCAGCCCTGGTGGGGTTTTTTCTGTGCGGAATGTCATCTGAAGGGTATTGAGAGGAACTGACGTCCCGCGGCATCACTACCATCGTGCCACCTGCCTCCCAGACGGCCCCACACAAACACAAACACACACACACACAAACTTAACAATAATACCAATCGTGCAGTCCTTCCCGTCATGCAGCAAATACGCATAGTCAATCACAACAAAGGCTGCGGTGTAAAAAACCCCCACGAGTGATAAATTATTCTATTGGTGCAATGCTGCACCACGCCAGTCTTTTCAGTGGAGCACATTTCAGCACCAGGACAGCAATGAGTGATGAAGAGGTAACAGATGAAGCACAACTACAGCAGATCGCTACATATGAGTGCACCATTGGGGGAGTTCATTTCAAAACCAAACGCGAGAGTAAAGCCAATCATCTGCTACCCCAAGCGCCACTCCACTGCTGTCCAACAACGTGACACCTCGGATCGTGAAGATCTGGTGCTCAGGACGCAGCGTCCTCTTACCTGAGTGGCTTTGTGGAATTGCTTCTTCAGCCCCGCTACAGACATGGTTGCTACACGGTGGTTCTAAGCTGGGAATATGAACTGGTGCTGCAGGTGTGTGTGAGGAGGAAAATCTCGGTCCTAATTGTATCTGGTAATGATCTCGCAGCCGTTGCTAAGTCCTGTCTACGCTGGTCTTCACCAGAGGGATCTCCTGTTAGAAAGGGGCTGAATAAAGCCCCGATCACGCTATTGGACGCCAAAGCCACATGTCTCACACGGCGATGACGTCGGAGCCAGTTCCTTTTAAAGAGGCCGTCTCCTCATCCTCAACCCCGGCCAATTGCTCCTGGACTCTAAAAAGGTGGCTGAGGTATTTCTAATCTAAGCTGGTTTAGAAGGACGTGGATGGACTAGGAAAGGAGGGAGGGAGGGGGTGAGGCGACACAGACTTTTAGTTTTCCACTGAATTCAGATTTAATCTGAAATTAGGAGAAAATAAAGATTCCCTAACCGCTCCCATCACCTTGGGATGGAAAAAACCCAAGTATGCACGGTTAGTTTTGGTGCTTTCCCCCTCTAATGAGCTAGTTACTTAATTTATTACTCATTTCTCTTTTCAAAAGTTGTTTACATATTACACCCTGCCACCAGTAATTAGTTACATTACGAGTTATATTACTTTTCTGATAATCAGTGTCCCTTCTACTCAAAATTCAGACTTACAACGATTAAAATCCAGTTTTGTTTGTTACCATTGTTTCCATCTTCCAAGTTAGTTTCCTTTAAACCTTGTGCTGTATAAAGATAAATAAATGTTCCCTGGTGATTCCTTGATTACAAAACTGAATCCAAGGATGTGATTGGATATCAAATCAGTAGAGGTGACAACAAAGGTAATGTTGTAACTAATTCTTTTGGTAAGTAACTGTAACAGTATTACTGAAATGCATTACTAATTAGTTACACCACTTGTTGCTTCATTAATTGTATTACTGTAATGTTATTACTAGAAATTAGTTACTGCCCAGCACGGCTAATGAGACGCAATGAGTGGCGACAGCGCGCTTACTCTCCAGCACCCTGGACAGCGCCCATCAACTCACAGACAGAAATCACATCAGACTCATCCGTCCTGTCGGTGTCACTGACTACATGGCGAAAATAGAGTGAGGTGAACAAAAAGCTGCTACTACTACTAAAAGCTACTTAAAGAAAAAAAGAGCAAAAAACCTTCTTCTGGTGCTTTCATCACACGATCTTCCTCATCAGATGGAGTTTGTGATGGAAAAGTAGATACTATCATTTATCATAACTATATATATCATTAACTTTTCTTGAGCACTTTAGTATGGACGTTGTGGTGAGACATTTTTATGTTTTGTGGTGAACCAACAAACAACTTTCCACATTAAGGGCGATACAATTCTAACAAAAACTAACTTAAGTTTTCAACTGTTCAAATCGTATGTGGGAATTAAGTAAGACTAGCGTCCTCAATCAGCAGTGGTGAGATTAACCTAAGTACATTTACTCAAGTACTTAAGTACAAACTTTACTTGAGTGTTTCCACTTTATCCCACTTCCTACTCCACTACATCTCACAGGACAATACTGTAGTTTTTACTCCACTACATTTGTATGACAGCTTTAGTTACTAGTTACATTTCAGATTACAATTTTTCATACATATGTGTCCAGTGAAAACCAAGCATCTCCAGATTTGGTGATTTTGAACTTGGATTTTTGTCATAAACGGAAGGATTAAGGGTTCATTTCATAACAATATAACAATAATAACAATAACCCCTCCCACCAAAGACGTTTCAAACATATGATGATCTTATATAATATGATGTAGATTAAACCTTAACCAGCTACAGCAGCAAAACGAGTACTTTTATTCCCTTTTTGACATACTCACATACTCATGTATGTACAGTATATACAGATTTGAATGCATGGCATGACTTTTACTTGTAGTGGAGTATTTTCACAGTGTGGTATTGAGACGTATACTTGCGTATATACTGCGTTATGGCACACAATGCTGCTTTGGCACTATATTGGACTGAGAACAAAAACCTGAATTATTTCAAACAAAATGAAACATGAGTGTGTCGACATTTATTTAGAGACAGTCGTGGGCTTTAAAGCGGGCACGACCTGCACCAGAACAATGCGCAGTTTCTACTGTTGTACACATATCAGCCCCCTCTTCGTCTTCCCTCATATTATTTGGCTGATACGATTAAAAGCCTGCACCAATCTGCAGGTCTAATGCGAGTAATGGCTCTGAATTAAAGCTAAGAAGTCACCTACACACTTGTAGGCTCAGCAGCAGCCCCTCGACGCCAGATGGCGGGGTCGATTGTGGTAGGACTACTTGGACAGACAGTCAGAGACGCATCCCATATGGTCTCTGTTGCAGCCCCGGAATAAAACTGGGGAGTGACGATCACCATATAGACAAATCCTAAATATGACCATATCTGCTGCTATGAAATGTCCTATTAAAAACTGATTATGGATGTATATCATGCTACCATGTTGGAAATGAACTCTAAACAGTCTATGACACCTGGTAGTAGAGTTGTAAATAATTTAAATAAAGCTAATTTCTTTTGATCCTGAGAAGTAATTGCTAAGTGATGAAATGCAAACACAGTGTGTGCGCATTATAATAAACTAGTGTTATGTAGTGCGCATTTGTGGGCGGTGTGTTATTTGTCACCATCAGACCACAGACTGTGTCAGAAATGCAAAAACGGCCTTTTGAAATGGCTCACCAAAATAAACCCTGAATGTAAAGGTATCCCTGAAGAGATGATGTGCTGTTTGACCACCTGACAATATACATCTACACCTGCTAACGTCTCTGTATGTTCACTTTCCTAATGTAAATAACCATCAATATCCCTGCTGCTGCATGTCAGACGCAGATTGGACTGTGTGAGGCAAAGCCAAACAATACAAGATGTGTCATGTGTATACAGTTAAATACACATGACACATCTCCTTTGTAAATATATTTATCCATTTAATGATTATGCAGAAACCATCACTACTACGGTTTGATCTTATATTGCATATGTATTAATTGTGGAATACTTCCACACTCTTGTAATAATTAAATTCCCCCACAGCATATTATTGGTGAAGAATGAGGAGACACATTTATCATGTTAGTGGCGCCATCCTGTGGAGAATATGAGAACATACATTCAAACTGACTTCAATTATCTACCATGTAGTATATATATCAATCTATGTAATAGACATACCAAGATACCAAACAAAAACAGTGCTTTCAATTAAAAATGTCAAATGGTAATCTAAACTATGAATGCTATTCATGATTTTTCTACAAAAATACACTTCAGAGGTCAAAAGTTAAAACATAATCATTGATGATGTCATAATTCAAAATCTATATAATATTTAATGTGAGCAGCTATAAAACTCCTGTTTCTGCATGTTATGCACATCTATACTATGCCTATTATGCCTGTCTACTGTCCAATAAGTCACAATCTATAATGCTTTGCTTCCACCTAGTGGTAAGAAATGATGCAGCAAAGATGATGCATATTTGTGTAACAGAGTGAAAACTGCCATGCAACAACAACACATATGATTACTGTAGTTTGCATTACTCAGATCGGACCAGCTCCTCTGTGAAAGCAGCATATGTTTGAGGCTGAGGGTATGTCAGATATGTTGTAGGAACATCCTGAACACCAAATGTTTATTTTGTCTGAGTAGCTCTTATTGGCTAACAGAGAAAGCCCGAGTGATACATCAAACAGGCTGACAGTGACCTGAGTGCAGTTCTTTGCTCAGTTTTCCTGCTCGCTGGCCTCGGCGGGCAGCTCTGATAAAGTGCTTGGTCCCACGGCTCAGTGATCTGTATGTGCGCGTGTGGCCCGAGGTGAGTGTCCATTTGTCTTAACTCACGAGACAATAAATCTCACCTGTATCGCACAGACAGATGGAGGCTGAGCTCAAGTGAAATATGAGATTGTTGCCATTAACTTTATTACACTGACCACTGGTCTCATTTTTGGCATCAGCACTGACTGAAAGTTGGAACAGAAGGAGTTTCTGATACATAAATTATGTTCATGTTCTTTTACAGTGAAATGGGGGCATGTTTTTAACATGTAGGGATATTTATAGTTTTGTCCTTCTTGCAGGTTCTACTGCTTATGAGAATCTTTTTCAAAATCTTTTCTGTATATTCTTTACTGCTGACTAATGTAGTGCTATTGAGATTGATAAATATTCCTCACCTTTAGACCCTAATTAAAGGATATCATGATAATATCTGTCAGACTCAATGGGAATGGGAACAAGCCCCCAGAGATACTTGAACTCTGTCTCTTGGGAAAGCAACTCGCTGCCAACCTGAGGAGGTCGCTGTGTAATATCTGCCACGGCATCATGGGCTCAAACGTGAAGACCCTTCTGACTCTCAACTCTAAAGCCCAATGAGGCCCACAGAACTACATTGTTGGAAAAAAGCAGACATGCAGTCCTGAAGTCACCAAACTGGTCACTGCTTGATTAAGCTTAAAAGTTGTGTTTGTTTAAATCAAAAACAGATATTTAGACTGGATGGACAAACTGCTAGGACCCCTCTTGTATCTCTGCCAAAGTAAAGAGCTGGACTCCTTCGCCTCGCCCACTAGGGTTAAATGTGCAATTGGCTGAATTGTCCTTTCCAGCAACCTGGTATAATATTTCTGGGGCAGGCTGAGCAGTGTGATATCCTGATGATTGGGGTAAAAAAAAAAAAAAAAAAATGGGGACACTACCCCAATCTGCCAATCAATAAGCACTGATTGTGACTTCTGCACGACATTGGTAAGGCATGTAAACCAATACAGCCCCAAATCCAGAGCTTTTAGCCCCTCACAGTGAATCTCATACATTCCTGCCAATGCAAACATTTTGACTTCTGTGAACTTTGCCACAGAAATGTGGAAAATTTCATATGACTCGTTCAACTCTATCTCGGCCACGGAGTATGTGTCGGGTGTGCGCAGGTATTCCTCTATGCATTCCTTATCATCCTGTAATATTCCTGGCTGAGGTCAGTGGTTCTCCTCCACCACTGATAACAGCCAGAGCAAGACCCTGCCATGTTTACCAGAACATCTTGCAGGCCAACCAGAAGTCCTGACTTTTAACCCTTACCTATGATTGTGAGCTCTCAGTAGTGACCACAAGAATGAGATCAGAGGTACAAGTGGCATTTTTCAGGGTGTCTGGCATCACTCTTAAGGATAGGGTGAAGTTAGAAGCTCAAACATTCAGCAGGAGCTTGGACTGGACTGCTGCTCCTTTGCATTGAAAGGAGGCGGTTTAGGTGGTTTGGGACTCTGATCAAGAATCCTCTCTGTGGCAGTTTTCTGGGCAGACCCAGAACACCTGGCATGGGAATGCCTCATGATACTTTAATTAATTTTTTACCTTAATTTTACCATGGTAGTTTAGCTAAGATGGTGTCTTTTAATGCTCAGGAGTGCTTGCTCTTGTACTCACAGTTGGTTACATTCATTGTCTGCATCTGTAAACTAAACACATGTTGTTTCTGTTCACCTTCGAGCCAACAATCCACAAGAAACTGACCTCACTTTTTTATGTTAATCTTTAAAACATTAGCAAATGGTCATGTTTATGTTTCGTCATAAATAAAGCCCTGAAGAACTTGTCTCGAGAAAGGTGCAATTATATCTGAGGAAAATGTGTATTTAGGTGCAGATGGAAAAGACAGCATGGGCTGTGACATCCGACTGGGGGTCATTTGTCACACATATGCCAGTCGTGTCACTGGAAACAAACAGCTAACACACAACAGGCCGTGGTCATGTGTTTATGCGTTTCGTAAAGGCCTACCAATCCCCACGCCATCCCACTCCACTCAAACATGCTAATGTACCTGTGCTCTGCTCTAATTGGTCCCAGTGATGCTCGCCCTGCTCCACCTGTGTTCATGGGAAGCCTCCAGTCAGTCCTGCAGTCAGGCCCCCGCCACTGTGTGCGAGCGTGCAGTGCTAATATTATGCAAACAAACACTTCTTTGTTGTTTGGCACTTCTTGCACCAACCCGCCACTGTGGAAGAAAAGGAGAAAGTAAGTAAAGGGAAAGGGAGAAAGGGAAAAGGGGTGGGTGAATGGGGGGTGCTTGAATTCATTAGTGTGATTACCTGAGGTGTGCTACTTTACAGGGGGTAATCTGCCAGCCCGCTTCATACCCTCCAAACTTCAGCCAGTCCGCTAATGAGCGCTTGGAAAAGTTAGTCAAGGTGGAGAGGTGCTTTGAGGAGCTATACACCGCAGACTAAGGTGTTATTATATATGCTGGAGCAGAAAACAAAGGATGGCTGCTTATTTTATAACAGCTTGGACCAATGAAGACCGTTTTAGCTGTTGGTTTTAATTCTAAATGCACATAACAAAACTGCGCTATGGACAGTGTGCCAGTTGGAAAAATCCCCCGCTTGGCTAATTTGAAAGCATGAAATCTCTGACAACAATATACTATCTTGCACCCAAGAATGACAGTTTGACTGATGTGTGATATTAGGAGCCTCATTTCCTACACCATTTGAGACAAAATCCCAGATTAGTCATAGGGACACCAGAGGGTTCAGGTAGTCACATTCAAAGAGTCGCTTCTCTCTGAGGTGATGTTGAGGACTGCAGCTTCCCTCCTACGCTGTAAGAGAAGGTGGATTAGAGACTAGATCAACCCCTCTCTCACTCTCTCTTTTTTCTGCCCAAGAGCTCAGGCCATGGCTTTAGAGAGACAGCTGCCATGAGCAAGGCTTAGGACAGTCCACAAGGACAAAGGAAGTGTGAGTGTCAAAGAATAAGAAAAGTGCAGGAACAGCTTGGTTACGACGGATGAAGACAAAGAGGTGAGAGGGAGGGGAGAGAAATCCAAAAAGGGAAGCCAGAGGATATATATATATGTAGTGTAAATATATATATATAGACAGATCATGTAACTTTCCCCTTCCTCTTGCCCTATGCCTCTGCTTTATCACACAGCATCAAAACATGGCTTTAGTCCCCTGAGTGGCTGGCCTTTTTATCTGCTCCCTAGCTTCCCACGGCGGGCCGCATCCACCCATAATCTGCTGCTGTTTCATGTCTGGAGCGCTGTAGAGGAGGATAAGGGACTTGTTCAAGTGAAGATCAATGAGGTTGTATACATAGCATATGTGCATCAGGAGAGTGCAATTCCTTTTTTCTTTTTAAGGTGGCATCCGATCTAATGAAAAAGAAAATCATACATGGATGTATTGAGGACGCGTGCCTGTGATCTAAAAGTTTAAAAAGTAATTATCATTGACTTAAATTTCACACCACAGCCAGGAGTGAATACAAAAGCACGGTGGGATTTCTGTCACACACTCTGTAAACAGCATCTACCTTTTGTTTGTGAACCTTCTCCCTGTGGATCAAACATGAATGATAGACACAATGGAAAAACTGTAAACATGTTACATTATACATTTGTCAAAAGCACATTTGGCTGTATGTCACAAGTACCTTGTTATTTAAGACAGTGCCAAGTGTCTGTGTGTGTGAAATCAAAGCAGAGTGATATATTGGCAACACTAGCCGGGGTGTGAAACTGTGTCAGGGAAGTAAGGGAAATCACCAGAGGCTGTTTTCTATTCACTCCACAGCTGGTTGACGGGATCTGCAAGGACTAATTGTGCATCAGTTGGAGGCTGCAGAAATTCTCAGTTTGTGCTTTGACTGTTCTTTGTACTGTGGGCTACCCGCCTTCCCACCCAAGTGGCATGCACTCACACCACACCAAGGGAACTTAAAAGTACAACAGACAAGCCTTGGGACACACACACAAATCATCGATCGACCCCAAAGTCAACCCGTGACCCTGACCTCCTCTACCCCTCCAGGAACAATCTCCTGCAGAAATCTGTGGAAAGAAAAAAAATAAAAAAATACAAGAAAGTTGGATTTAAAAAGAAGTCGGGGTGAGAGGAAGAGATAAAGACAGAGGGAAAAAAATGACACCGAGTTGATTGTGTTGGAATGAATAAAAGGGGAAGGGAGGAAAACTTTGCATTTGGAACTACTGATCAAAGTAATTCCCACAGGAAACCTCTCTTAATGAGAGCTGTACAAGAAAAAAAGGGTGGAAGACAAGGAGAGAGTGAAAGAGAAGAAAAGAAGGGTATGGCACGCCATTCCTGCACAGAAAATAAAGAGATGAATCACATACAGCGCCTAGTGGAAGACATGGGTGTGTGTGTGTTGGGTGGGGGGGCTGTTTGAAGGGTGTTTTCAAGATCGTTTTAACGTCTTCACTGAGGGAGCGTCAGAGGCAAGGCCAGGTTAATTAAACCCAAGGGAGTACCAGCTGAGGGGGCCCGCATTTGAATATGTCACAGAAATAGCACGAGTGTGTCAGCCGAGGCCGGGGCTCGGCGAGCAAACATGTTGACTATGCATTACACGCTAAAAGGAAGAGAGAGAAATAGAGACAGTCAGACAGCAAGGGGTGGGGGCTCTGAGATAATTTGCGTGGCACCGATGCTTTGCTCTTCTATACCCAGCGCGCCACCGGATTTTTCTGAGTTATTAATGTTTGTCATTAGCTGCATTACGCTGGAGGACAGTGACTGGAGAAAAAAAACTGCAGAAATTTATATGGGACAAATATTGACAATAGCTGGCTCCTGGGTATTGGAGAAGAAGAAAAGATGCAAACTATGTTAATGAATGGTAATTAACCACAAGGGTTTGTCTCTCCTGGATCCCAGCTAAATTGGTCCCCGAGTTGCAGCTAGAGACAGTCCTGGCCTAATCCTTTATTATAAAAAGATAAAGGAAAACGACATCATTAGCATATATTTGAGAAGGGAGGGGGATTAAAAAGTGGAATTATTTCTTTTTAATTCCTGAACGGAGGATTCTTCACACCATTGTTAATTATACATAACAAAAAGAAAGGAGGAAAGTGGTGAAGAGGAAAACAAAAGCTGAGAGAGGTAAAGCAGTGTAAAAAAAAAAGGAAAAAAAGATGACTTGAAGGGAGGAGTGTGTGGTCTCTTGTGTAAGATGCCAACTCAAGGACAGAGGAGACCAGGATCATGGTTATATATTCAAACGAATAATAAGAGAAGGAAGAAGAGGGAAACAGATAAAAGGGGTTGGAGGTAGCTATGTCAAGGATGGAACCACTCCTCTAATACACTCTGTGCTGTGCTGTGCGCCCATGTGGACCCTTGTTAATGATGTCAACAGCAGGGGTCACTTGTTACAAACAGGAACCATGCTAACAGTCAGCTGTCAATCATGAGAGGGGTGTGAGAACCCTGCTGTCCGCAGAGCACCCTCAGTCACCATCACACACTGACTGACAGTCCTTTGAACTGCTGGAAAAAATACAATAGACCATTTAGACATGGAAAACGACCATGAAATCCACAACACTAATGCAGTCTTTAAAGAACAAAACAGACAAAAATGCGTCAACCAGGTTTTTATTTTGAAATTAAAATGTTTTCAGTAGAAAGTCATTGATATTTAACATTATTATTTATTAAATTAACAACACAACAAATACTTGAATAGAAGCTAGAACATATTTTAACATCCACAAAAAAAAAAAAGATAATCTCCGAAATAAATAAATACTTGCAGTTGCTTTTGATGAATACAATTCAGTTGGCTTCAATCACTAGATACGGTCTCTAGGAGCAGTGTAGTATCAGGTCTGATAAATGGATCTACCCTCTTGCAGTGTATATTCTGCTCGGTGCTGCACTCTTGACTTTCTCAAAGTGTCGACTTGGCATTGCTAGGTCAAGTCCCTGCACCCTAAGGTCCTTGAGGTGCCAAATAAATTAGGGGGAGAGGTAAAAGAGAGTTAAAAAAAAGTATAACTTAAACATTAGCGTAAGCATTTGCCTTATCACCCCAGGTCTGCGTTGAGAGTGGGGGAGAGTGGCTGCACTGTAAATTAGCTTGGAGCTAAAGGGCCCTGTCTGATAGACATAGTGCACTGAGCGCTAACACAGATGTCGAGGGCTCATTTACAAAAGCTGGGCTGCTGTGTTGAGCCAGTGGCCCAGAGTGAGTCGACAGCGCTTTTCTCACAAATATTGGTTCTGCTGCCCCGGCTCAGCTTGGCTCAGCCCAGCTCCCACTGAGTAGGAACCGGGGAGGGAGAGAAGGAGGGAGGGAGAAAAAGAAGAGGATGACAGTTTTCCCAGCCTCAGCCCAGGGAGTCAGGCTTTTTCGCTGACTGGTGTTGCGAGCGTGGCCAGCTCTTCTGTCAGCACTTTCCTCTCCTTCATCTTCACGCGCACAGCCTCCATTAGCTGGCCGGCAGAGGGGATCTGCAGGGGAGGGGAAGGATAGAAAAAGGGTGTGGGGGTGGCAATAGAAGGGGTTAGAGAAAATGAGGAAAACACACAAATGCACCACTATTAAAAAAAAGTCCGATTTTTGACACCTGGCAGCTTTTCAGAGAGCCTGTTTGCTGTTTTGTGAAACAACAGACCCTTGGTTAGGGCCTGAGGACTTGTGAAACTTTAGAGGGACATGTTGAGTGTTTTGACAAAGAAATTCACAAAACAGGCTACATACCAGTAGTTTCAACACCTAATTCAACTCTTTTCTGTTTTCCTAAGCTTCCATTTTAAGCATCACTGGTAGAGTAATATACAATACTAAAGGACAGGTTCAAATTTTTTTCAAGTCTGTCTTAAACAGTTCTTGTTCACTGCAGTTGTTTATCTTGTCCATAGTGGCAGTGAAGGGATGTCTTCGTATCCAGGATATACAGCACACAATCCATAGTCCTTAGTTCTGCTGTGCAAAAATACATTCTCGGGTTCAAGCTAAATCTAATGTGAGGTGTCTGCGTTAAACTAATCAAGGGGGCACCAACTAAATTTTTTCAGTATAAAATTCCCCCATTCTGTTACCATCCATCCACTGCGGCTCAGCAAGGAAAGACAAAAAGAGGATATTATGAACTGAAATGGTTATAACATTGGACGAACCACACTTGATTTAATAAACTCAGACTGTTGAAGCCTCGTATAAGCACCTACATTTTTCAATTTATTTTGCATGGAAAAAGGTCTAGATTTTATCCTCTATCTTACATTGAAATTGTATCAGAAAGCGATCTTGAGGACAGGAACAACCACTGTCTTTTTCTGGTGGGGCTCAAGACACTTTCCCCAGAGGCTTAAGTTGATCACTCTTCAGCAGACACGCCTCAAGGCATAATTAAAATATCACTAGGCATCACTGGGGACATTTACAGCATTGTTGTGTTTTTACTGGATGGTATTTATGTTGGGAAGGTAAGACCATGAGAACTGATGTCCACTTAATCATACAGGATTACAGGGGTCGAGTATGAAGGAACTTTCTATATGTGTTTACTTAGTTGTTGTCGTGGGAACGATGAAAATAAAGAGGTGAATAGGCTTCTCCTTAAGAGTTCTGGCTAATTTTGTTTTTCCTCCGAATCGACACAAGGATTTTATGGTCATTAGGGCGCCTGATCAAAGGCAGGCATTCATACCATATCACCCATAAATATTCACTTCAAGTTATGTGCAGCCTTTTACAAGCGCCTTTTTCAAGTGAGGGAGACACATTCATTCCCTGAGCAATATCCCAAGTCACATGGCATGAGATGAGTAGTGGACTGGCCAAGCTGAAAATAGTGACTTCAATTTCAGAAAATCTTTCACTTTTTATCTCTTTAGCTATTGAACCATACACAGAGAAACGGCCTGAGACAAGTCTGGACTGCTGTAACAAACTTCACTCAATAACATCTGCATTGGGGAATACAACGTATTGCCTTGAAGTGATTAACACAAACTCACAACACATACTGTATTGGAATTAGGTCTGCAGCTGGCATGTTTTAAAGACACGGCAAAGGACTGTGATATGATCTGAAATGATCATTTTATCAATTTCCAATACGTCTGGAGAGTGAGAACTTCAGAAGCTTACATACAAAAGCACACACAGTCCCCATGCCCCTTGAAACCTCTCTCCTCTTCATTAAAGTTACTAGGAGCAGGGAACACAAGGCCCCATGTGCCAGGAAATGTGTGTGTGTGTGTGTGTGTGTGTGTGTGTACTTGAGTATGTGTACAGTAGGGAGTCAGTTCCAGCAGCACTGGATGCATCAAACACGCGGCGCTATTCCTCAGAGAACCACTACAGTGAAGTAACTGCTGAGACATCTCCCTCTGCCTCTGTCCCCCTGAGAGAATTCCCTCTCTCTGTCTCACACACACATACACGCAATTTCCTAATCAACTAATTGCACTTAGAGCCACTAACTATGCAAACAAACCCACTAAAATAGAGACACAGCCACAACACACGGCTCTATGGGACAGCAATGTGGGAGACTGGATCATTAAAAGTACCGATATGGGAATATGGGTAAACAACACTAACAGGTAAACATCATCTACAGACCTAACATGGGTGAAAGTTAAGCCTAACACAGATGTTCAAACTATGAAAAACGCTATCTACAAGTATTTTCTTCGGCATTTTAAGTCACACACACACACACACACACACACACACACACACACACACACACACACACACACACACACACACACACACACACACACACACACACACACACACACACACACACACACACACACACACAAAAACGGGACAAGCAGGACTATCATTCCCTTTCATCTAGCTGCCACATTTGCTGGGGACCAATACCCTCCAGGATGGTTGGAGGTAAGCTGTGATGCAGCTGCTCTACTGGATCCCCTGGGCTGCTCTAGGCAGTGTTAGGAACTGGCACTAATGTTATGCTACAGTTGATTTAGCCGGGCCCCTGTCCCCTTTGGCAGCGTTAGCCAGCACCAGCACTAAGCAACACAGCCGCTGTTTCGCAAGAGACCCTGTCCCCTTTGGCATCACTAAAAAAGCTACTGTAGCATTAAGCCATGCTAACTCACATCCATTACTATTCAACAGGCCCTGCAGAGCAGACCTTTTGTCTAGGTATGATTTCATGAACATGTTTCAGAAGAGAACTGACATGTAAAGCCACTGACACTGACAAGTGTGTGTGTGTGTGTGTGTGTGTGTGTGTTTGTGTGTGTGTAAGAGTGTGTGTGTGAAGAGAAGGACAGGGGCTGCAAGCAAAAGGTGTTTTTATGAGCCAATTAAATGACATTGCTATTCTACAGCCTGGGGCACACCTCAAGGCAAGGAGCAGCTCAAAGTTGCAGCACTCCCGTGACCATTGTCTGGTAGTGGCATTACACACGGCAACTTCTTTTTTCTTAAAAGATCGATCATTCCAGCTCTTTTGTCTTCTCCCTCGGAACGGGTTAGCGCAATTATTTCCAAGGGCCCAATTTGTGAGTGGTTGTAAAGATTGTGTCAGGCTGCTGGATATCTAAATGAGTGAGAATGAAAAGGGCGGGGGAATAAGAGAGCCTAAAAGAGATATAAGGGGGTACATCAACCAAATTTCTGCATGTGCGCAGCAAGTGACTACGGAGTGTTTTTTCTCAGTTATTCACTAGTTTACAACCTTATCAATACAAGTGTAACGTGTTATGTAGAAACTGCTGCTGAATTTAACTACAATTTTATAACACAGAAGCAACATTTGAGTCCTTCAAAGGTCTGTCAGGAATGTCTACCTGTAACAACATCATAACTTATATACAGTTTGTATATTTATACTATACAATGATGTACACTTCTGGTTAGTTTTATAATAACCGCAAAACAGTAAGATTTTGGATCCAACTGGTATGACAGGAGCTTTTTCAAAGGTGTGAATGATTCTTGCTATTAATCTTTGTCCCTGGCTGGTGAGCCATCTCCAATCTAGGCCACTATTCAAGGTAAGGGAGAAGTAGTTACAGTAGTTTTATCACAGAGGGGGAAAAACAGCTCTTTGATCTTTGATCTTCTCACTTTTGTTTGAAAATCAAATTTATCAAACGAGGGAATAACAACAACAACAGCATGATAAATAGATTAAAAAAAAAAAGCCCAAGCACAAAGGCACCATACTAAAAAGTCTTGCATTTGATTATCTCCGATAATGAATATGTCACATTTGCAAAGAGGGGCTCAGGTAAGAAAATCACTAAAGGAAAGACAAGCCTATTCTCTCCCTCTCCTTCATAATTACCTACCCCTGCAGCGGAGCAGATCCCTCTCTTTTCTCCCCTTTAGGCCACTAGAGACTGATATGAAAGGGAATTGGACACTTGGGGCCACAAATACTGTAATTAAAAATCTCTCCTTTTCTTGATACGTTGTTTGGAAACATCATTTCAGTGCGCAACATGCATTTGTTAGGGATCTGACCTAAATACACCCTAGATTAAACACAGGAAAGCACCGGGTCTTTGTTTCAGGTTCCTACTCATTAGGTGTGAAAATGAGGTGATTCTGGCACGACTAGGGTATAAATTTAGAAAGGTGATATACATACAAAAGAGATGCAACCTTTAGGTAGAATTCAGCAATGAAGAACACACCAACAGTTAGATTAATAGTAAGGCTCATTGGCCGAGTTAATGTACTGGGACGCAGTTACGGACAACAAAAGTGGCTGTGCCTGCAGCAAACTGACATACAAAACAAGAAGGTGCTAAGAATTGTTGCCTTTCAGGGTTTGTTCACTGATATAAGGGAATTTAACACATCTAGTCATCTACTCAATGAGGAAAACTTTCACCATTAATTCTCTCTCTTTGTTGACTTATACAATGAAAGTCCACTCTGCTCCAAAGGACAACCCTTGGGTACAATCCGACTGGCAGTAACCTTAAAGCTCCAAAATAGCATCATGACTCAAGAATAATAATAAGATTATTCACCTGGCCTTTTTCCACCCATCTCCTGTGCTGTTTGCTATATTGTAGCTTGCTTGGTGAAGCAATAATCCCAACAGTTTAATGGCTAAGGAACAGCACGACAAGCTGTATTTGCTATTTATATTTTTGTGAAATGCAAGTTAAACATACTGAAAAAGTCACAGCATGCTCTGGTAGTAACAACAACTGAAACACTAGTCTCCTCCTGGGAACCCCCCTTCTAGCCACTGTTCCAGTGACATATTTACAGTACAAAGGCTCGTCCCGAGTCCCCTCCACACGCTTACAAACACACTTACAGAGACAGAAAAAGAGTGGCTGATTTAATTAGCTCAATCATTAAATGAGGCTTAATTAGAGTCACTTTCCTTCGGAGAGAAGAGTGGGACTCAGAGCTGTTCCTTGTCATTACGGAGGCATAATGAGCCACACAACACAACACAACACAACACAACACAACACAACACAACACAACACACTACCCCTCGCCCTCACAGCACCAACAATAGAGAACTTTTTCAGTACATCGGCACTGTGAGGCATCGAGCCTTTGATATGTTTAATGCCAAGGGTTAATGATGTAATGCCCTATGGAAGTGCCAATGTGGTGAGAAGAAGTGGCATGAATAAAGTCTGTTCTTTAACTTCAGATAAATGAAGCCATTTACCGTCGTAGCAATGAGCTACAGGGACCCCTCCCCGAAGTTCGATAAGGGTTTGAAATTACAGGAATGATTTCAGCCCTGTAGTCCACCCATAAATGCCTCTGATGTTTTATAACAAGTCCAGTCTAGATTGCTCCGGCCTGTCTCTACTACTGTCTTAATGTAATGTTCACCTGCTTGTTATAGTTTGGAGGCTGATAAGAAGTGATGCTTGTACGTCTCCCTCGGGTGTGATTGTGAGGTAAATATTAGCGGGCCCACAGCGACACCCCATACCAGTAAACCAAACCACTGTCCTCTCATAAAGAAATCAACAGAGTCAATGACTTTTTAAATGTTATTATGCTGTCATGAGGCTTGAGATGGGTATGTGTGTGTACAAAATGAGTCTGAAAAATGATCTGGAGGGAATGCGTGTGTTTGCATGCATGTGCACACGCTTGCATGCATATGCTCCTCCTGTTCATTATTGGCCAGCAGCAGAAGCCAGTCATTTCCCTGTCTTCATAAAGACTTGGCCCATTAAATTCTACCTCCAGTCAATAATTAGGACTCCACAAATAAACCAAAGGCAATTAAATCAATGCTTCCCCGGGCCGGTGCCTGGACCCCATGGCCCACATGGACACTCCATCTTCTCTGCTGGCCTTATTCATGGTGGGTTGCAGTGGAGCCATACAGTACACCCCCTGGCCTGCTCATGATTATTAGATAGCACCGTCCCTCGATCCTGGCTACGGAGTGCTGCTTATGGTGGCTCTCCACTGAGAGGCGTAGGGTTTGATTTCATTAACTCACCAGTGGAGGTGAGAGATGAGGAAATGAATGCAATGTTTCATTTGGTTTTGAGTGGACATGCGGGGCAGCGGCGAGGGGGCTCAAGAAATGTATGCCATTTCTTTGACATGAAGGGAGCCTTAACTCAACAAGTTCACAATCACGTATATCCATGCCTGCCACACACTGTTCGCCAATGTTTTGTGGATGTCTCTCTTTCTTGTTATGTTGACATGTGGCAGTATATGACAGTGATGGTGAACAATGGCCCACACACAGAGACACAGATACACACATACATACTACTCTTATGCTTTTTCACATCTACACACACACACACACACACACACACACACACACAGAGTGAATGATGGGTTTGCTATTGACAGGGCCACTGAGATAATAAAGCGCTGTCCCACTGGCAGCTCCATTAGGCACTGACAGTGACAAGATGAGGCTGTCGTGAGAGTGCACATGCACGCACGAATATGTACACATACCCACACACACACACACACACACACACATACATACACAGATGGACACATCCTCATCCTCTTTCAGTGACAGCCAGTCAGTTAAAGACATGGATCTCTCTCTCATCTTTCCTTTCACTGGATCTATTTCTGTCTCTGTGTCTTTTTATCCAAAGAAGTGTGTGTGTGAGTGCAGCTCGGGGGTAAGATCATATCACTATTAGGAGAGTGTGTTATTAGTGTCACAGGCAGGGTGACAGGCCAGGCCATTTCACTTCACAGATGTTCTGCTTGGTGAGCCTTTCATAAGCTATGACAGAGAGTAGAACGGCAAAGAGGGTACAGTATGAGAGTTCTTGAAGTGTATTCCCTCACTAATAAAACGCTCCCTTCTCAGCACCAGCAGACATAGTGTGTAGTGCAGCTATGCAGCATTATCACAGCGGTCTCAAAAACGTCAAATTAGGGGCTCTATCTCACAGACAGGCGATGAAAGTGTCTTCATAGACCCTTCCCTTGGCCTCTTAGCATGTGAGATTCAGAAAAACTACAAAAATATGAGAGACACAGACAGAGACAGGGTTTGGTGTCCCCCTGATAAGACAGTAAGCTTTTAAAAACCAAACGAGAAGAAAGCGCGAGATAGAGAGAAGAGGAAAATGAGTAATAAATAAGCAAAAAACAGAACAAGATGGACTTGAAAGGGGATAGAAAAAGTCTGTTGCAGTGAGGGGGGATGACTGCGGAGGTCCCAGCGGTCCCCAAAGGGACCTAGGGGCAAGTCTCAGCCTTGTCATACTCCGCTCTCAACTACTCCTCCACTACTCCACACACCAGCTCCCCCCCCCACCCGTTCTGCCCACGGAAAACGTCGATAGCAGGCTGCCGGTGCCGAGGTCTCTGGTGGACACTAGCTCATTCTCCCGGCATCGACAGGCCCGCCAAATCAATATTTAGTTCCCCACTAACAAGCTGCCTCGGGGTCTGAGCCAGAGAGAGAGAGAGAGAGAGAGAGAGAGAGAGAGAGAGAGAGAGAGAGAGAGAGGGAGGGAGGGAGGGAGGGAGGGAGGGAGAGAGAGAGAGAGAGAGAGAGAGAGAGAGAGAGAGAGAGAGAGAGAGAGAGAGAGAGGAATGCAGGACAGTGGAGGATGGCAGAGAGACAGAGAACAGGGACTGAGAGCTGTCCAGCTAGAAGGGAAAAACATGGATTCAGTAGAGTGGTGTGTGTGTGTGTGTGTGTGTTAGTGTGGGAGGGGGAGAGGAAGGTGGAAAGGTCAGAAGAAGATCTGGGGAACAAGAGAACAGTGTCTGGTGTGTGTCGTGGTGCGGAGGCGACGCATGAGTGCCTGCGGCAGCCGCTGACAAGAACACAGACAAGACACACATACACACACTCGACACTCTCAATCATACACATATCACAGCAAGCAGACGTTGACAGCACTCGAGTAAAGCTCCAGCAGAGCACTCACAGATGAGTGGCTGTGCACACAAAGACTCACAGAGTGAGGATGTACTTGCTTTTGTTTTATCTTTTGCATCATTGTTTTCGTTTCCCCGATCCTGTAGCAGGACACACTGGGATGGGAACTAAAATTCATTTTCCATTTACTGTATTTTGGTGAAAGTGGTGGCCAAATATTTGGTACTGAACACTAACAAAGTGGTATATCTGCAATGTTAAGGCTAAAATATTTGGTATGAAAGGTATTTAGACAAAAAAAAAATTCCAACCATTATGAAAATATAAACACCTAGTAATCGAGCTTGAGAAATCAAGGCTACATTCAGTTGCACTAAAAATAACTAAAATGCATCTCTTTTCGTATTGCTCTGTAAAATGTAAACATTTCTTTTCAACAATACTGTATAGCTTATTCAGAAATAGTTCTAAAACAACAGAAATTAATAAATTTTTCGCAATGAAATGAACCAAGCAGTGTTGTATCTCTGTTATAATGTTCAATATGTGCTGGATTTCAGTATTCCCTATGTCACCAACACTAAGTAAGTGACGGAGAAAATGTCAAAACAGCGGTGGAGTTTGTTATCAATTATCCATATTACTGATATAATGCAATACAGAGTCCCATTCAAAATTCAAAACTTAAGGAAATTAAACCAGTGGAGGTTTTTGGCACATTTTTGTATCTTATAAAGTACCATTCTGCTCCATTTCAATTTATTTAGTTACTTTCTGCCAATTTACCAAAATAACTTTTTGACACTCCAGACGACAGTCTACAAATCTATACCTCAACTATGAGCTGTGCTGGGCTAAAAGATTATTTTACTATGAAGTGAGGCTGCTAATAGCTTGCACTTGGTCGTCCCTGTGTATGTGCAGGAATGAGTAACTTGTGTGATCTTTTTTTTTTTTTTTTTTTTAGATGGGTGAGCCTGACCTTCTGCTGGAGGATGTGGTTAAGGTGATCCATCCACTCCTGGTCTCTTGGAATCTCTGGATGGGTTTCTGTCCCCTGCAAACAAAGCAGCAAATACATTACAGGATGGAGACTCAAACACACACATAGAGACAGAAATTATGCCAATGTTTAGAGAAAATACCTTTAATAAAGTCTAGGAATCTTTGTCCAACATTTTAAGTGAATCAGACTGGAGGTATACTTGATATTTCTTGAGAAAACCTGCCACTGTATCTTAACATTGGCCTCTGTGTGTCTCCTGCTTGAGGGCAGAATTGTAGCATCACACCAGCCAGGGCCTTGAAGAAGCTCTCTGGAGACTCAGTGGCAAGGTATGCCAGTATGCGTTTTCATGCTCCCGATATATAAAGACCTAACAGAGTGGTAGCCTTGTTACTGCTAATGAACTGGGAGAAGAGCGACTGTGTGGCCATGTACACCTCAGCACTAATGTGTTACCTCTTCCACTCAAACCCCAGGTGTTGCTGCTCCAAATGATGTGACAGACCTTGTACTGTCTCACAGGGACATAACAAGGGCAGAAAGTGTGTGCGCGGCTGAATGTAAAAGTCCCTGTACTTGCAGACTGGTGGCAAGGGCTGTCCAATGCCACATGTCCGCAAGGGGTGATTTTTATGTTTACTTTATGTTAACTTTGATAGAGACCGCTTCGGGTTCTGACTTCACCAGAGGGCGCTCTGAAGATCACCCAGTATTCATAGCAATATTAACAAGAGACAGGAAGACAAATGAATGACATACAGTAAATGCTAAGCTATTCATAGTTATGGGAAGTGTTACTGTGCATACCAATCATATTATTTCTATTGTTTTATCTAAAGCTGCAAATTGTAAACATGTTGTATACATTCCCAAATTAAGAAAATTCAGTATCACTTAAGAAAAAAGAAAATCCATCTGTATGTACAGACAGGTGACGAATTAAAGGAAAAACATCAATAAATGAGTCGAGAAACATAATGAATGCAGATACTTTCACACAGGTGCACTGCATGGTACAGTTGAGCAATTAACATCCATTCATGCTCTGAGGCACGTATAAAAAAGCTGAGCAGACCCGCTTGATTCAGATTTTTTTCAGAGGGATATTATAGTAGGGTTGCAGTTAATAAACCCCTAAATACAAAGATGAATGAACATTTGAAAGTTCAGTGGTGCAAACACGATATATCTATAGATATGTGACAAGTGGGCGAGTGCATGTGTGGTGTATGAGTATGAAAATTGTGTGAATAGTAATATTTTATGGCCTTCAGTCACCAGATTTCAACCCAACACCTATGGAAGATTTTGGACCGACGTATTAGACAGCAGTCTTCACCACCATCCACCAAAACACCAATTGAGGGAATATGACACCCATTCTCTTTCTTCTGGACAAAGAATAGTGAGCACTTCAGACTTGTTACAGTATGTATGACAAACGTCTTTTTGGATTTGGATTCAGCAGGTGTTTCTCTTTGGCGTTCCCCTGCTTCCCGGTATCCTCTATGTGTGATCCTTGGTGATAGCAATAGCCTAGCCTAGCCTAGGGGGGGCTTCTTGTGACTACTGCCTCCCACAGGGGTGAACACAGAGTGTGAAAGAGTGTAAGTGCGTAAGAGTGAGTGTGCTTGTCCACCCTTGGTAGATATATAACAAAGCACTGACCCTCCATCAAGCATTAGGTGCAAAACAAACTGGCCTGGCAATTATAGTCTTATTACATGTGGATCATTAACTCCACAACAAGTTGCCCAGGGAGCCTGGAGCTGCTCGGCCCTCCCTGGTCCTCTGTTGCACGCTATGGAATGAAAAGAGGCAAATAATAGAGTGCAGCATGATACATTTGTGGAAGCATGTGTGGAGTTGTTATGTTTGAGCACATGTTAACACCTTCTTTGCATCTATGCACATACATTAAATTGATTTTGTGTTTCTGTATAAGGAAGAAGCTGCAAGTGTATGTATGACTTTTAAAATCTTTGAAAATCAATTCATGAATTAAAAATACAGAAAACAGGTGAACAAATTCTCTATTCCCATGAAACAGCTAAAAACTAGGGTGTTCTCACTTTGGGTGCTTTGCTCTCCGTTAACTACAGAACCAGCTGCACAAACAACCTTGTCACAACTGCATTTCTGTTCAGTAAAACACCTCAAGCAAAAGCTGTGATTTTTTTTTTGCCGGGACAAATCAACAAACCAAGACTAATGCTCGGGAGGAAAGAAAATATGTAGCTTTTGGAAAAAGATGGTGGTCATTACACGAAGGTCAACTGTTCCCAAAATTCTCCTAAAACTGAACCACAACCAGGAATAATTCATTAAAATTTTTTGATACGCCTGAAATTCAAAAATGCATTGATTTCAAAACCAAGTAGCAGTGCCCTACAATGTTAAAACTTCTGCAAATATTGTTGACAAGAGAAATCTGCCAAACTAAAGAAAAGTAGCTATGTTGGCAATGGAGTATTCTCATTTAAAAGTAAAACTGAAAAGTAAAAGCAATCCCATTGAGCCCTGAGTTCTCATTCAGCACACTGGTATCGCACAACCAAGTGAATAAATGAATACACTTGCTATGTGTTGGACTTGTTGAAGACTGCTGGGACATCCTGATAACCTCATGTCACGTCCTAAGTCCAAAGAAAAACATACACTCTACAAAGGTCTTGCAAAAGCTCCGTACATTTTTTTGAGCGAGGGGAAAAGAAATCACAATTCTGAAACAAGTATCATAAAACTTCAGCTCTGTAACAAAAAAAATTATAATTTTCAACATTTTTGGCAACCATGTGTCACAAACCAGCCTCAGTTCAGATTGCGGATTCAATTTTAAATGCTCATAACTAGTAAAGCTTCATCTGCACTGCTAAAGTGTAGCTAAGTTCAGGCTGCTTTAAGTAGGGTGCACACAAATCAACAAAGTGCAATTGTGAAATGGCCCTTGTTTCTCTATGACACTCACCTAAACACACTGGCAGATGCACTTACAGAAACAAACCATGGGATCTATTTCTCTAACATTCAAAATGACATTTAGTAACGCATAATCACACTTAAAATGTTAATCTCACTCTGTGACTCAACATTTACAATTCTCTGTTGGGTGCGTGGATTCTCAACAGTGCTGTGATCTATGAATGTTCAATTAACAAAACAGGAAAAACACTCCCACCACGCTAGGGCATCAAGCAGCCCGTCATTAACTACCATTCATACGACAGAGAATACAAGCGGTGAGCAGATGAGAGTGATTTTACCCACAGAGGTTTCAGCTCTGATGAGGGGGACTTTTTGTCAAGTGAGAAACTGTTCCCTGTCATCTCCTGGGTGGAGCTGTGCTGCAAAGGGCTAAAATTGGTTTCAAATGTGAGTAAGTGCCTGGTGCGCACTCTCTCATCTTGTGATAGATGGGAGGAAGTCCCCAGGGATGGGAGGTTGATTGTAACATGGGGTTGCTAATTGATGACATGGCTGTGTGTGATCTATGGTAGAGAAAGGGCCCAGCAAGTTGGAAAAGAGTGTGAAACTCAGTATTTTGCACGCAGGCAACAGTCAATAGTGAGGATTTTCAGTTCAATGACTGCTTTCAGTAGAAAGAAGAGTTGTACTTGCTCAACTTGTGCCATATTAAATCATATATCAATTCGACAGGTGCTGCAGGTGTTGACAGGTTTTTGATCTTGTCGAGAGCAAGAACACTGGTTTTAAACATGAAGCCACATCCTTCTCTATTGCACTGCAACTTCCCAACTTATTAGTGACATGCTTTGGTGTGTGGTTCACCTTTATTTGGTGTTCAACCTTGCTTACTTGCCAAAATCTGTCTATCCATCATTAAGAGAAAGTCAAAAAGAAGCTGAGATCTCCAGCAAAGCAAAATGCCGTTAGATACAGGGGAAATGAACTAAGAACAGAAGGTTTCTGTTTCTCCATATTTCCTCCCTTCTACACCAACATCAATCTACAATATCTGTTCTCAGAGGATAGGCCAAAGGTACGGTAGCAGCTTGCCACTCATTTACTTTCAATTTACAAAGAAGATGCTCAAAGGTACAATTTGATACTGATGATATAATATCTTTCCCAGTCCCCAGGTGCAATCACTAAGCAAAACCCCCCAAAAACTTTTAGGATGTTTAAAAATTTTACAGCATAGAAAATCTATTACAGGTATGTGCTCTGGGCATAATCTTTAGCCTACTTGATATCGATCCTAAAGTTAGCATTTGTAAGAAACGTGGACCCTCTATCCCTTGGCCTTACCTGGTCGGTGTCCATTATGTCCGCAAGATCATTCTCTGACATATTGAGGATGGAGGCAGCGATGGACTTGGCTTTGATCATAGACTTGGCTGAGAGGCCGCTCTTTGCTGCCACAGCATTGGCCTGCCTCAACTTCCTCCTCTTCATCAACTGCTGCTTGACCTCTTGAACGTCTAAAAGTATTTCACTGGCCAGGGCCTGAACAGGGGAGGAGAATAAGGAATAAAAAAGAAGAGGATGATGAAATGGATAGAGAAAAACAAGAGGGATAGTTCTGCCTGGCAGATGAATAAATGAAATTGATCAAGCATGCGCCAGAGAGGCCTAGTACATTATGGAGGAATATTGAGTTTGACACACTCAGATTCTCTTCGGTTTCGCCTCAAGCTCCCTTGTAGGAATGTGGACCTGAGGGTTTGTTGCCCTGTCGATTGAAAGCTGAGGGAACACAGCTTTGATACCAAACGCACCCCAAGTTTTGCTAAAATCTCCACAGACAGAGAATCATGCATCAGAGAGAGAAAGACAGAGAGCTACTGAAAATACAGCCATTCATTTATTTATTTGCTTTCTGAATGTCTCACAGTACAACAGGGCAGCATAACACTGTTAATAATTAAGCTATGAGGGGCTGTTTTAAATGGTGCCCGAGTGAATGGCAAGCGAGACGAGGAAGGCCTGGGATGGCACAGTTGTCGGGCACTAAATGGGAGTTTGCTCTAAATACAGAGAGACAATTAAATGTTAAAACTGCCACTGTACACGAGAAAGTCAATAAAGTAAACTCCCCTTTGCTTCATTTTGAGCTTATTGATCGAGGCAATAATCTTCTGTATCATTCCCTTGTAAGCCTGCTGAAAAGCTGACCTTGGAATAGATGGTCAGATGAGGGAAAGCTAGAGACAGGAGAACTCACAGTACACAAAAACAAAAAACACAAAAACAAAGTACAACCTGCTCTTGGACAGTACACAATATAACCAAGCAAGCAAGAAGCACACCATGTACACACATACGCAGACATAAGTACAAACATACGAAAACACTCAAGTGCATTACAGTAACAAGGGTAATCACACATGAACAATGTTGAATAGCGGCAAACATCTCCACTCCTCTCTCTTAATTTCACACAGGTGAACCAGGTGCAGTTTACAAAGCCAGTGCTGGTTGTCACAGGAGAGTGCTGAGTGAGTGGTTGGAGGCACGCAGCTGGAGTATGTGTGCTGCTATTTGTCAATTAGAAACATTAAATAAGGAAATAAATACATAATACACAAGCAGAGCTCAGAGTTTCAGAAAGTCATGTAAAAAAAACCCCAAGAGAATGAAATTACACAAAGCCCATGCAGATTAAAATAATAATAATAAAACAAAGAAAATGCAAAAACAACGTTTATATAACTCGACTCATAGAACAAACGTAGATCTGAACAACACCTCTATAAAACTTGTGAATTTTCTATGAAGATTTTCAGTCATCCAAATCAGCAAATCCAGATGCAGATAAAAGTGTGACCAGTTTAATTTCATTACATATGAAATCCGGTTTCATAGGTGGCCTACTACATCTGTGTAGGCATAAAATAAACATTAGTAGCACTTATTAAAGCGAATGAGACTAAATCATAACCATCATCCATTTCCTGATGGCAGCTTTAGCTCTTTTTGGTGATCCAAGATCTGTGTTTAAGGAATATACAGCTCATTAACAAACGGCCTATTCTTTTATTTACATCTTAATAGATATTCACTGTCGCTAGTCAAGGGTTACATTCAATTGACCTAAACCCGGCGGAATAACCCAGGAAGAAATTAAGGGGTGAATTTATCACTCATTCTCAGCCCTGGGAGAGACAAGGAGAAAGGGTGGGAGGGGTATATGCAAGCATTCACATAATATGCACACACACACAAAAACAATATCTTTGTGTGTGTGTGTGTGTGTGTGTGTGTGTGTGTGTGTGTGTGTGTGTGTGTGTGTGTGTGTGAGTGTGAGAGAGAGAGAGAGAGAGAGAGAGAGAGAGAGAGAGAGAGAGAGAGAGAGAGAGAGAGAGAGAGAGAGAGAGATTGTTAGGCGCTCTTAGCCTGGCTACAATCACCATTGCCAGAGGGGCAATTTAGACAGGACGAGGATTAGGGCATGGAGATGGGGATCAAATGAGCAGCAAAAAGATATCCTCTTTAATAACTATCTACCTCTGAATCGCTTCACACACTTGAGGACACAAAGGGCCATTCAAAAACATAAAGAGCAAAGCATGAGGAAAAAAATGCTTTAATTTTGTTCGATTATGCAGGCATTGATGTAAAACGACTGCCGTTTACGTGGTTTACTGTTGTTCATATACCCTACAAACTTGATGTTTAACTATATCAACACCTTCTACAGAATGCGTATGTGATGGATATATACTGTAAGGTAATCACAGGTAAATGTGTTGTTAGATAAATGTTGTAGGGTACTTCATATCCAAGACCTAGAGCAATTTCAAATATTTACAAAACTAAAATATTCCAATTGGGAAAAACAATATTAACTAAATTCGGCACAAGCTTGTACTTGCAGGGATGACGGGCCAAAATATTATTTACAGGATAACTACCTTCAGTGTGTGTATGTGTGTTGTGGAGTAGTCGCTACATGCAGGGCCACTGTTTAGCAGTTCAACAGCAGTGCTTACAGCCTGGGGCGTGTGCAGGGGCCAAAAGGGTTTGCTGGCACACAATAAAGAAAAATCCCCACACACAAAAAACACACACACACACACACACAGCACATACAGGCACAAAGAACAAAAAACAAGCTCATAAAGACACACACAGACACATCTGTACACACACACACACACACACACACACACACACACACACACACACACACCCACCCACACCCACACCCACACTTACATCTGTACACACACACACACACACACACACACACACACACACACACACACACACACACACACACACACACACACACACACACACACACACACACACACACACACACACACACACACACACACACACACACGCACATACACACGCACGCACAGCCCTCCGGTCCTGATCAATACATGACAAGAGTAAATCTCCTCCGGACGTCAGGCAGTCCAATCAAAGGGCTTGCTGTTCTTATAGGGAATCACAGGAGCCAGGGGGAGACAAACAATGATGTGAATCCTGAACAACAACACAATGGCCCCACCAGCCTAGGGTTATGGGAATGGAAGAGAGGAGTTATACGAGCATGAACACTATTTCTATGCGTGTCTATTCAAGTGTGCGTTTAGATGTAATGCAGCTTCTATTTTTGGGTTACATGTAGATTGCATGCATTGCATTGTCTTCTTCACAATATAAATGCGTATGTGTGTAAAAAGAAAGGCTAAAGGTGTAGTTGTGTTCAAAAAATCAGAGGTTGGAAAAGGAATCAGAAGATACATATCCTATCCACCTCAAATTCTTCTTAGATGCAAGTGAGCCATATAACGACAAGAATAGTTAGATAGTAATTCCCAGTATTTCTGGCTTGTGAGGACAAAAGCGATGGAAAATTGCCACTAAACTCCATAATCTGCCACTTGATTTATGTGTGTGTGCAAATACACTGCCACCACTATCTATCTCTGCCAAGCACTTTCCTCCTTTGACAGGCAGGTGTCAGCTGAACAGAATTGATGGACAGTTTTTATCAGTGTCTGCCAGACACACACATAGACTGACAAAGACACACAAACACACCTCAAGGTGATGGATTAGGCCTGAACAAAGACAATAGTACCCATTCCCGCTGGGCACACAGTATTCTCACAGTGGTGGCCTGAGTCTCACTATACATCGCAAGAAAGTATAAATGCATAATAGTACATACACCCTTGGTTACAATTTCATCCAACCATCTTTTGACATTTTGGCGGGCCTGGTTTGTTGTGGTTTCAGGTTAAGCAAGGTAGCGCTGACGTCCTTCCCCCTAGCCACAACTCCAAGCGCTCCTGGGGGATCGTGGGGTTTGCCCAGGCCAGGTGGGATGTGTAATCTCACCAGTGTTTTCTAGGTCTGGGTTTCCTCCCAGCTGGACATTCCCAGAACACGTCATTTGTACATTCTGATCAGATGCCTAAAATAGGGCTGTCGCGGGAAAGGAATTTCCCCTGTGGCAAGATAGTATGTGGTATTGCCGCCATTTTTTTGTTTTGTTTTTGCAAATTACTTTTTATGGGATACAGCGGGATAATGTCATCTCAGTACCTGCTTGAACTGATCACCTGGACTCCTGGCTTGTTATTAGCATGGTATTTCTTTATTGCGGATATTGCAACAGCCCTAGCCTGAACCATCTCAACTTCTTCATTTCAATGCAATGGAGCACTGGTTCTGGGCTCCTTCTGGGTAGCCTTCTGGTCATCAAATAAGCAACTGTTATTCTTTTGATTGCTACCTAGAACTCAAGGGGCTAAAATGTTGATTGACAGTTAAAAGATCCCCCTACACCACAACAATCTGGAACAATGCTTGTATAATTGGCAACTCTAGTTCACTTGTTGATTTCCATCCAGCTTGGATAGTAGGAGCTCAAGACGTGGAGTGGCTTCACAACGGATCACAAGGTCGGCGATTTGATTCGATGTCAAAGCTTCCTTGAGGAACATACTGAACCCTGTAACTCCTGACGGTTAGTCTAGTGCCTAGCACGGATGAATGAGCAAACTGTAAAGTAATCCATTTACATCTGCTTATGAACAACAACACTTGAACATCTTCACTAGGAGCAACTCGTTGCCAGGCATAAGGGGGCAATCCACTGAACCATTTTTTAGGTATCGATTCTCTCTCGCAGAGCCAGAACATGTCGAAGAAATGCCTGGTAGAATTTGGGGGTTAGAGCATAAAACACCTGTAGGTTGGATAGCTACCAACCTACATCTTACATTGAAGAGACTTGTCAACATTATACAGAACTTACATACCACTACAGATCTTTCTGACTACCTTAGTTAGCTCTGCCAAAAAGAACTGCCCAGACAAGGCCCTGCTTAGCCATCTTGTCTTCTCCATGGCATCTAGTTTTTGCTTCTGCATTCCACAAATGATTCAATCCCTCTGGCCTCTCGATACCTATCTCAGGCTCCAACATGGTGTTCATTTTGGACTAGCACAAAAATTCCCAAAACAAACCACCACTTGGGATTACATGAGGCGGATTGCCCAATCCATGTTTCTATTCCTAGTTAGTGCTAAAGTCCATTAAGACCCCAACCAGAGACTTCAAGAAGGCCAGATACTTTGAACTAGCTTTCAGCACATAGGCCCAAGCAACAATCAGAGAACTTTGTCTCCATGACACACACTCACATACAGGCAACCTTCCCGTTCTCTGTAGAAAACTGCATGACATTAGCCACCATTGGGGGCTTATTAGTAGTTCCACAGACTCTCAAGCAGGTGCTCTGTAGTTAAGTGAACCCTGCTATACAGTATCTAGTTGGCACAGCATATCGAGGTGAAATTGTCTGATGAGCCAGTTTTCATTTACAGGGGTCAGCATTCCAAGGTCCCCGCCTTCAACGTTTACCCAATTAACAATGTACAAGACCCTTACACCTGACCTTGTGGGTGGGCACACCTACACAATATCATTACAATTCATAGGTGAAGAACTTACAGGCACACCTCACCGTACTGATTTAAAACGAGTTAGATGATTTGACCAGACAAAATCTGTACCCATGGTTTTTGATCTCTTGCCCCTTTAGTATAGTACCTTGATGAAAGAATGAAGCTGCTCCAGGTGGGAGTAGGACTGGCCTAACTGTCTCTGAAGCCTGTCCAAGGCATGTGAGCTCTGCTGGGTCAACCCCTCCATTTGCTCAGTGGCTGTCTGTTCCAGTGCAGCCAAAGCCTGCTCACTGGCTCCCACACGAGCCTGCAAGGCATGCATGCGCTGCTCCTGTAAAGAAAAATAGCAGGCAGAACTAGTCAGCGAAGGCAAACAATCCTGTTTTGTTTCAGAAAGTACAGAGTCTGCATAGGCGTGTCAGACATTTGTGGCAGTTATAGTTAGTGGTTGACCGATATAGGTTTTTCAATGGCTGATGTTGATATTCAGAGAGCAGGGGCGATATATAAAGCCACCATCAAAACAAAGAATCATGTATCATTCTATTTAATTCTATTCTATAGGAAATTCGGGTATATGTTTATAGCAAGATGCATGAGAGTTATAGTACATAGGTCAAAATCACCTTTTTCACTACCTTCCCAAAAACCAAAAAGGGGACCACTAACATCCTTCCTCAGCAGCTAGACTGACAGGGCGGCCTGCAGATGTGTCTGAAGATATTTTTTGTTTATGAGCAAAGACATCAGCCGATTATCTCTTAAAATGCCAGACAATCTGCCACATTAATTGACCAACCGACCGATTAATCGTGTATTGCTAGTTGCAGTAATTGTAGAATTTACATTTTTCTGACTTTGCAGACTACTAGTGGTATCTGGGGACATTGAGAATGAATGGGCAAGGGCGACACATAAATCACACCAATTCCCACCAGAATAATTTTAAAGATGGTACTATCACAAAAAAATGTATTCTTAGGTTATTTAGTATATGAGATTTAAAACATTAATACAGCAGCAAACAACTATTTGTAAAGATATACGGGAGTAATGACGTCATACACTCCTTTGCTTGTGTTGTTATTCCTGCCTGTCTGTGCTTTGTTTATAAATTAGTTCTGGCTGTGTGTGCATGTTAGTGCATGTGAGTCCCTAAGTTTACAACTGAGGAGAGCAACTGAATCTGCTGTTTTTCTCATCAGCATTGGTAAATTAAGGCTTTATTTTGACCAAACCAGAGTTGGTGATTGACACAGGACAGACTAACAAAGACAGTTTTTGAGGAGTTTTATTTTGTTTCTGTCCAGTTTGAAATGTGTTCTTACGATTATCTGCTAGGTAAAATTACTGGTTTTGTTAATGGAATCTGGTTGGCTGTAGTACCCATTGTTTTGGTCTGAGAAGGCAGTGTTTTACGACTGGGAATCAGGTTTGTTAATTTTTCCTCTGTGATTAAAAGTTGTCAACAATAAACACTAAAAAGCCCAAGAAGGTAAAATGTTCTACTTACTGTACATGAGAAGAGGACTGAAAATCTACAGTTGCGGTGTAAAGATTGATGAACGGAAGTTACTTTTACTTACTCCTCTATCCTGAATCCTTTCTTTTCTTTCAACTATTTACATACTGCTAAATTGTGATCTGATATGACATTTTTTTGTCCACTTAACGCAGTGTGTCATGGCAGTGCAGTTAATTACAAAGCCCAGTAACTGAACTAAACTTGCCTCTCACCGCCCTAAACATTTTAAAATGTGTACAATTCTGGTAAGAATTGGCAGCATGGCTTTCCCTACCTTTTTGTCCAGGTCGTCCTTCAGTTTTGTACAGGAGGCCTCATACTGGCTTTTCTCTGTGGTTGCAACATTCAGTCTCCTCTTTAGAGATTCAATGAGGGCCTTCCTGTTGGTGGCCTCCTCTGATAAAGTCTTCACCTGTATAGAGATAGAGAAAAGGGAAAATAGAAAGGTAGAAAATTAAACTAAACAATGGGGTGGGGGAATTGAAACTCACAAACACGATAAAGGTACTCAAGTCATTTTTGTGTACCTTCTTCTCCAGCTCCTCCACCTGTCCACGGTAACTTTTCTCCATCTCCTGCAAGAACTTCAGTCTCGTCTTCAAGTCTTCCACCAGCTGCCTTTTCATGTTCACATCTCGCTCTGCGTGGCTCGTCCTGGACACAACATGCAAAAACACACAAATAAGGCAGAAAACACAAATAAGTATGAGTTCTACACAGATATTCACATTTATGCAAAGGCCCACACTCATCCTGCCACATCTACATAGCAGAACAAACACAGACACACACAGAGGCAGACACATACACATAGACACACACACTCAAAGCTGGCAGGAACGGTGTCCCCATGTAGTGCATCAGGCATGACAGCTCATTATGACAACTAAATACACTGGCATGCTGTTTGGGTAAGTGGAGGGGGGTGAAATAAGGATGCATATATAATTCTAACTGGCATATATTAGAACAAGTGCTCTGGCGGGGAATGCCACACTAAGTGTGACTGGGGAGTCCTTTTTGACAAACGGCATTTTGAATCAGCAGTGACACTACTTGAAAGGCTGTAATCAATATTTAAATGTTTATTATTTTCAACTCAGCATTACACCAGTCACATATAAAAACACATCAGCAGGGGGACTTGGCTTGGGAAAAACTGATTATGAAGGGAATACGCTCTAGAAAATGTTGTTTGTTTGTGTGCTGTACTGTGCACATAATACTTCCCTAAAGAGAAGCAAGGTTGGTGTATTGTAAGCTATTCATGTCTTAACTGTTGCAAACATGCACCACATGTCACTTCCTATTTCGATAACTTGCTGTATTGACATGTTTAATATTCCAGCATTCTGCACATCCATGTTATAGAGAGGACTCTTTAGTTTAAATGGGCTCAATATGTTAGTATGTTTTATTCTGTTTTCATAAAAGGCAAATATGAGGCATTTTCCATGGTTGTCTATGCCTTGGGGAATTAGAACAAATAGAATAAAGATCATAAGGATGCAGTTAATTAAAATGGTTTTTGCCGTTTTTTTTAAACCAAAGATGTAGTAGATCTCTTAGCTCCCACACGCATCATGGTTTGTGTGTTTTAAATAAACAGATGACGTAACACGAGAGCAAATGCTTTCGTGTAAGTAAATGTCCCTGTCTCCCTAGGTGGATGAATGCCTGAGGGCAGACTGGCTAAATAAATGTGAGCTTGTCCTATTGGAGTGGCATTAAATTAAATGAGAGAGGAGTCTAGCCGGGGGTCTTTGGGGGGAAGTCGCGCTGGCTGGTTACCCCATGGATTTGGCCATTAATGAGAAAACCCATATTGAACCTTTCAGATGACTGTCTGGTGTTGACTTAAAGACGGAGAGCAGCAATAAGAGCCCCAGCAGCTCCCTCTGCCCCAATGCTAATGGCAATTAGACCGACAACATTTATTTTAGATGTTCTCTTCTTCTGCACCCCAAAAAGAATAGAGGATAAAAAAGAATGAAGGATATATGGTGCTTCTGCCAGAACGTGTGATCTCTATTTATGAGTGTTAGTGGAAAGAGAGAAAGAGAGCCTCAAACTATATCCCAATCACTCACACGTTTGTTCCCTTTGTTCTGTGCTTGTTGGCAATATTGTTCATCAAACATGCGTGTATTGTAATGATAACAGTCAGTGGTCTGAAGTGTGCCTGTAAGAGAGAGCGAGAGCGCACAATCCTGTGTATGTTGTTAAGAATGAAGTGCGGGTGGACGTTTCATGTGGCTGATAGACAACAGGGCTAAAGATGAAAGAAGCAGCTTCATAAATAAGGCAGGGCCATAGTGCCGGATATTGACTGAGGACATGCCGGTATACTTTGAAATTCATTTCTTTTTTTCTCCCTTCTCTTCTTTAAGGCGAAGCAGCCTTGCTCCCCGTGTGTGTGCTGAGATGTATATTTCAGAGACGTCTAGACATGTCTTTCATTCTGAGAAGGGGTCCCTCCATGGAGGCAAATGGAGAGGTAGGCTAGAAGAGATGGCGAGTTACTTATGAGTGTGAGTGAGTGTGTGACAAGAGGCTGAGGCTGTCGTGGAAACTCAGCTGAGGGATGTTCACTCTGTCTGGCTGTGATCCGCTGTGCTTTGGTCACACACAAACACATACGCACTGTGGTTGTACACATGCCCCGGATGCATTATTGAGAATGGCAGGCAGAGGACACAGCATACTAGACAAAGAGAACGAGAGGGAGGAAAGCCAAGTTGTTCTTTGTACCTTTCTCCCAGTTCAAAGGTGAGATTCTAATGCAGAATGATGATATGCGCCTTTCACAATGCTGTTCAAATATCGACAGTTTCTCTGAGTGAATTGTTTATAGCTATACATTATGACTATGTAACACAGCGAGTGCTCCAGTAGGTGAACCATGTAACTCATTAGGGCTTGTGGCCCAAAGGCCAGAGTGATGCTGTGTGGGTTTTAGTGTCATGGGCCAAAATGGTCCCTCCTGCGGCACACAAACAATCAATACACTGCTTTGATCAGCATTCCACATCAGCTACCCACATAAGCAACACCACACTACATGACACACAAGACACCCACACGCACACATGTGCATGCACATTATTCCTTCAGTCATTAATATTCACTCGCTCATGAGAACATGCATAATTTCACAAATGATTCACGCAGAGGAGAAGCCTGCCTAAGTGGAGTGCAGCAGACAGAGTGCTGCCACATGGTGGAATCAAACACTGCAGATGAGAGCTGTAGAGAATGTGCAAACATGCAGACAGAGACATAGGGAGATGGAGAGACAAAGACATAGAAAGGGATTTAGAAAGGAAAAAGAAAGAGCTGTACTACAGAGCAACTGTAAGAAAGAAGCACAAAGAGAAATAATTAATGAAGAAAAAGGTGTGAAACTAACTTGTCCTGCAGCTGGCGGAGCTTGTCCTCCTTCTCCTGGAGTTGGCCTCGCAGGGCTTTGTTAGCTGCCACCTGCCTTGTGACCTCCGCACTTGCACTCTGGGGGGAGGGCACAAAGTGTGTGTGTGTGTGTTTGTTAATGTGTTTCAGTGTGTGTGATCGTGGGTGGGGGAGGTTTTTCACGACACGGCTGATGACAGGTCAGACACAGCATGCCTCCTCATTATAGTTACAGCGGGTGGGTGGAAGGTGCTAAAAGAGGTTAAGAGGAAAGCTGTATCTTTTAAAGCGGATGAGATAAGGGGAGTAATTAGGTAAAATAACAATTTATAGACCTATACTACTGAATTAATTTTAATGGAGATAATATATTAGAAAAAAATCTATCAGCAATATTGTTATAACATTTACTACCTTTTATATATTGTTGTTTTTACCTCCTATACCTCTGCATCATGACATATCAAGACATGTGGCTCATGACAACAGCTTGGCTTCTGATCATAAGGCTGATGGATATTTGAATGTTCATGTTCATTTTGGTTTAAAGGGCCCCATGTCTCTTGTGGGATGTGCACCAGTACAAGCTTCTGACAATGCGCTAACTCAGTGCGCGCACCCCCACAGTGCATCCCTCGCCTCTTTCTTTTGCTGTCACCTGACATGACTTCCTCTGCTATGTGTAACGACAGCAGCAATCTGCTCAGTGACACTGATGAGCTGGTTGAGGAGAGAGTGATAATACTGTGGTACCACTCACACCTCATTCCCTATGATGTAGGGCACGTCTCTACTGCTATTCCCCATTTCTCATCTTTCTGACAGGTACTCTGTAATAAGATCAAATGATAAGAAATGCTAATTCATGTCGAAATCACATGCAATTTCAGGTGATGTTGAGTGTAAATTGAAAGGCTGAAGAATTTGTTTTTTTTATGCTACATGATTTGAAAGTAAAACCTTGACAGAGTTTCTTTCAGAGTTTCTAAAGTCCTCAAGGACTGCGGGCTGTTCAAACTAGTGAGATGCTAAAGTGACTCAGAAATATCGATGTCTGATAAAATACCAGGAAAATGTTTTTCCATCAAAAAAACATAAATGCTTGTGTATTCCAACAGTGGGAGACAGTTTGACATTACATAGTGAGTAGAAAAGGGGCAACCAAAAGCAAATTCAAATTCAAATGTGCAAAATGCATAAACTACATTTCCTACTTTTGTCTATAAACTTGCCTGTACATACAAAAATGAATGTATTTTTTGTGCCAAACAGCATTAATACTCTCTGAATTTTCCTTGTTATTCATGGTATTATCCATTCAAGCTTCATAGTGCACATAATTGGAAATGAACATGATGCTTAACATCATCCTATTAAGAGATTTATCTAATAAGGCACGCACAGTAAGACAAAGCATGATTGCAGTTCATTAACCCAGAGTCTACTTGTAACTTGTAACCACTAACCTTAAGTTTGGCTTGAAGTTGTTTGACCTCAGCCCCCAGGGCCTGGGGGGCAACATTAACTGGGCCGTGCATGGTCCTGCCCTGGCAGGAGCACTCTGCATTTAATGGTGCTGTTGGTGCTGGTGGTGGTGGTGGTGCAGTTTGCTGGGGGAACGAGACCTGCCTCCACTGCTCCAGCTCCATCTCTAGAACCTTTTTCTGCTGTTCCATACCAGCCAGGTCAGAGGTCAGCTTCTGCAGATTGAGCGACAGACAGAATTGGTGGGCTAGGATACTGCTGATACTACTACAGCTAAAAACAAAAGTTTTGCTTACTGTTATTAAACCAAGCAAACCAATAGTTTTGTTATAGGATGGAGAGTTAAAAAGTAATAGGAGACATGATGTACATGCTATATAAATTGACATGAAGAAGTTTGAGTCAAATTAAATCTCAGTTTTCTCTGTTTTACAATGTAAAAATGCATTACTACTGTAAGAAAAAAAAAGTCTAAATTCATTGTACATGAATATGATAAACGTAGACACAAAGTAAACACAATATGTTGGAAATACTGTATGCGTTAGCCACAGGAGAGCTGCGGGCTCTGCTTTAATATCGCAGCTGTGATAAATCTCCTTTTTTATGCTAATTAGGAGAGAGATTTTGCCGGTGCCAGGTCAATAGGGCCTAATTCTCACTGTGATTGGCATGCATAATAAAGCCATCCTGCAGAATCAGAGAGCACTTGGGACGGAGGGAGTTCAGCATTTGGTGAGTGGTTGGGTCTAGTGTGATGAACGATAATGGCACTAGCTGATCATGTACAATGTACAGTGTATCAATGATTCTAAACATAAGCATCTGAGGTGAACACTTTTAACCACATGTGTGCGGTGGAGCCTCAAAAAAGCTCTTTGCCTGCTTATTAAGAAACTATGGGGCAGAAACACGTCTCTGTAAGTTTGGTTCAATACTGACACAATTAGCTGATCTGGTATCATTTCAAACATCAAGAATGCTTAATGGCACAAATAGGAGACATGATACATGAAGATATATACTGCACACATGGGATGAATGCTGGAACACACACAAAGACACACACACCCAAGTGAAACCGCAGATTCCCAGGGGTTTACTGTCTGCTCTGCATACATGGAGGTTATTGATATCTGGTTGCTGGCTGACACCTTTTAATAGAATCCCTCTTGTTTTAGGTTTCCACTGCTCTGTTGAAGAAGCACATGCCATATCCCAAGGGAGGGTGGGAGAGAGAGAGAGGTAAGAGTGGCAGAGAGAGAGAGAGAGAGAGAGAGAGAGAGAGAGAGAGAGAGAGAGAGAGAGAGTGAAGGGGGGGCAGTGGTGCACGAATTAAGAGTGGCATTGATGACACTTCCTGTAAGACAGGCTTTGATTTCACAGGCCATTTTCAGCCCTGGTGAGAGATGACACTGACATGGACTGATGTACTGGTGGTCCATTAGGCTGGAAGAAAGGACACATCTCTCTCTCCCAGACCAGTAGTGGTCTCACTGATGCTGTTCCAAGTGATACCCAATCATTAGCAGGATAAATAAGGAAACTGAGGCTGCTGAAATAACGAAAGGAGCAAGAGCATACACGAATGCATGCAGTCAAACATGCATGCATGCGTTTAAAAATAAAGTGACTTTGTCAACATAAATCAACCCAGAGAAACAGTAGCTTATTGTGCAAGTTCCTCAAACACTTTGTATTCATCCTGTTGGCCAGACTTTGTATGTAATTTGAAGTGCAACTATCATCAAAATTCTAGTAATGTCTGGAATTTTTTAAGTTTAGTCAGTTACGTCTGTTTCACTCCCTAATCCTGTGATAATCCCAGCCCCTTACATGCTAGAGGAGGGTAGAACACTCCACACGTAAAGAGATAAGGCTGTTAAATTCCAGAGGCGATGTCACAGTACACTGCAAAGAGAAGTACACAGGGAAGTAATGACTGAGTGAGGTAGATAATCCAAGCAACCAAATGATCCTGTATTTGGATGATATGCGTGACTAGCACATTTAGTCAAGAGCTAGACTTGGTAGAATTATGAGGGTATGCTTCACCCATCACCTGAGTTTTTTAAGCTTCTTATGTCACCTTAAGGGATAACTCTGGTTTATTACAACTTATAATAACAACTTATTTTGTCCATTATCGCTATTAGTAACAAAAACATTTTGATCTAGGAATTGTTGCCATCTTCCTATATTGCCACATTCCTCAAAACACGGCTTGTCGGATGATCCGAAAGGTTTTAAACCAACCTCCACATTAGACAATCTTGCTTGAAAGAGAAAACGAAGGTGAACTTTGTAAGCATTCATCACAGTTCAGAGACCAGCTTTTCAACTGTTTCAACTTTGCAGTAGTTGTGAGTGCACAACACAAGTTTTCCTGTACAATGAGGTATCAATACTGACATTTACCTGCACATAAAGTGGTTTAGAATATCTGGATAAACTTTATGATGATCTCACTACTCATATTATTTACCACACTGGATTTTGTTGTAGTGATATTGCCATGCTCCCAGATCTCAGGAACTACTTTGTGCAAAGTCATCATAACTGACTCTAGCTGTAATATATATGAATCATACTTAGTATGTTAGGAAGAAAGGTAAAAAATATGCATCCACAAATGTCTCTTCATTATAAATGATGACTTAATTATGGAAGGAGGTAAGGAAGGAAGCAACTAGGGAAGGACAGAAAGGCTGACGGATCAGGAGACACAGCAACACAAACAAGTTTCTGTGAAACTGCCATGCTCCTTCTCACATGATGGCCCCTGTGGAGGCTGTCCTAAGCCAATTACAAGCAGAGAGTTTTAGTTGGAGAGTTGGCCAGGACCGCCTGGAACAAGCCCAAAGTCCATCACCTCTTGCCCTTTCCAGAGAGGGCAACAAGATCTGGCTTTGGCCAGTCAGTCGGCTCCAACTTTTTCTGGTGGAGTGGCATTAATACTGCAGGAGGAAAGAGGAAACAAACAGGAAGACAACAATTCCCCCTATGTCCACTCATTCACGCAACAGTGTGTGTTTGTGTATGTGTGTGTGTACACCGTGTGCCTTTACTGCTGTGTCTGAGTCTAAGGTCTCGTTGGGCCTCAGCAATCAGATGCCTGGGTGGGAGCACAAGGGCCACTTCCTAGGTAGCAACACTATGAGGGCTGCACACTGACCTGTGTGAGTCCAATACACTGTATCTGTACTATTCTACACAGTAAATATACAGACACATGCACCTAATCAGGTGTCCAGTGGGCCCTCACTGGCTGCTGCTATGTCTGACTTCACCAAAAGAAGTCTCCTGCCTGTTGGCTTAACGACTGTGTCTGTCTAGGTGTTTGTGTGCGTGTATGTGTGGGTTCATATGCTGGTGTGTACAAGGAGGCCCTGACAGGAAAGATACTGTTTAGGGCAAAAGTACTTAGTGTTTTATTTATAGTCTATACCAAGTCTAAGAGTTTCCTACCTGGAGGCAGATACTAAATAACTAAATGGGTGTGTGGCACTGGACTGAAAAACAGTCACCTTGTGTGTATCTGTGCACACAGGTGCATGTATTTGGAGAAATGTAACTGCTAGTGACACACAGATTGTTGTGAAGAACTGGCTTGTTGAAACATTCAGTGGGACAAGACAACAGCAGAGTCAGAGGGAGAAAAAGAGAGAGATTCTCCTCCTCTCTTCTGCTTCGGGGTGCTGACCTCCACAGGCGAGGGTAGGCCTGTCAGCCACACTTATTAAGCATGATAAGGGCACAGGACCTGCTAGTGTTGCACTCTCAGCCCACAGCAAATACAAAAGAACCACAAAAAAAAAAAGACAAAGACAGAAATATAAGAAAATTCCCAACATTTACAACTACTACCTTTACTCATCTCCCTGTTTTTCCCCCAAGTTACCTGTGTGAGCTGCTTGCTGCTGCAGAGTTTCTCAGTGAGGGAGTTGAGCTGTGCTGTGATCTTCTCGTTGGCCCTTCGCAGCTCTCTGGCTGAAAGCACAGCATCTTTCCTGGCACTTCGCAGTATGTCAATGTGACGCTGTAGGGACTCTATGCGCTGCTGCAGAGAAGAGGAGGAGCAGTGCTGGGTCTTCATTAGCATCCTCTTCCTCTTCCACTTCTTTTCCTCTCCTCTCGTCCCTCGTTCCCAGGGCTCATGCTGTTCATCGTCTAACAGGAGGAAGCACACGCAGGCACCTCTGAGTTGACAAGTGCACGGAACAAATCCCTATTTAGAAGCAACTGCTGGGAGTTAACAGTTGTATGTAAAAGTGTCTTTGTGTATGCACAAGTGAAAACTGCGATGATTAACATTTTCCATTTATAACCAATTCAGGGGTGTCAAGTTCTGAAAAAACAAACAAAAAAAGCCCAAAAGCTTGTTAACTTCTTAAATACGTGTTTCTGATCGACAGCATGTACATACATTGAGTGTTCTTCCTGCTTCAATTAATGGTCGATTAGATTTTTGTAGTTTTGCATCGGTGTGAAAAATGAAAACGTATGCTACCTTGGGCCAGAACATGGAGTTGTTTTCTGTTGGATTCTGCTGCCGGCGCCTCTCTGTTTGAGATCAGGGAACACCTGTAGGACTGAAAGAACAGAAAAGTCTTAGAGAGAGATGAAAAGCAGCTGTTAAATGTAACACAACCGGTTGACATGTTGTGCTTCCCGAAACGCAGCTCATAATGACACTATGATCACAGGGAGTGCTCAGTTTAACGCGACAAGACAAATCACCCTGCGCTTTAATAATTCACCTGAGCGCGTTCAACCAACTTCAACTTCAACGCTTCTCAGCACGGATATTACTTCTGACAGATGCTTGCAAATGCTGCCTTTGTTCAATCACTGTCTGAAAGCCCTGATTCACTCGTACAGTATGACGTCTGTGCGCGTGTAGAGTCATTTGCACTGATAAGTGGGTATGCTAGTGTGTGTATGCGTGACACCTTCGAACTGCACGATCGTTTGTAGCGACATCAAAGAAGCCCCCCACCACCACCACACCCCTCCTTCTTCTCTGCCTGTTTCCTTTGTATATGGGGTCAGGTAGGATTTGATCAGTGCCAGGTTTGATCACACGGTGCCTTGCAGGGGGGAGGTGTGATGAACCCTTTGGTTTGTGACATAGCAACGTTGTGAGGGGCCAGGGCTGTCATAGCGATGAGCCCGGGAGGAGCTGATGGGCACATTTAGCAGATCTGGAGCAGGGAAACTAAAGGGGATCTGAGAGTAAGGGTCCTGACAGCTCCCCGGCTACATGTACAACAACAACCCTCTTTTCCTCTCCACCTTCTCAAAAAGAGAAAGAGAGGAGAAGAGAGAAAGACAGAATATATTGAAAGGTCCCCCTCTTTCCTCTCTTCATCTCTCTTCTTGATGGACATATCTCTCTGGGGTTTAGAGCTGCCATGTCCTGCTGTGAAGTGGTTTGATGCGGACAAGAGCAAGGGTCCAGGCCTATTGATTTCATGGTGTGGAGAGGAGAGGGAAAAGAAGGAGCAACCAGCCTTTGTGGATGCAAGAGCAAAGGAGGTGCCAGTTAAAAGATGTATAGTGTGGCAAGTCTCAAATGATGCAATAAAGGTTTAGTTACAGGAACATTCACAATCACATTGAATACTACCTGTGCAGAGATTTGATTGTTTATTTTATGGTAAATAACGAGCAGCTCACATATGCTTATAAATGTAAAGAAGCACTGGTATAAAAAGACACAAATTAAAACACAGTCTCTGTATCATCAACACACAACTTTATACACTCTCCAGTTCCTTTCCTACAACTCAATCGTCCTGTCATAATAAAACTGATGGACATTTTAGTAAAGAGGACATTCCTTAAATTACTGTATAAAAGGCACACAAACACGTAATTTAAATTAAATCAAGGCTCATTCTTCTGATTTTCTCTATTCTGTAAAATATTTTTATTGAATTTCAAGAATTGCATTGATTTTTGCCCCTGGGGATTCTGTCATTTTTGTACTCAAAAAGTCTCAAAAGGCCATTTGTAGGGTTAAATATCTTCACAAATATAACTACTAGAGCAGTGGTCCCAACCTTTTTCCTTAAGGAACCCCTTTTCTATCATTTAGTAAACTGACGACCCCTAACTAAGTGTCAAAATCTGTGTAAAAGAAGCAATTTTAATATTTTTATGAACTTTTTATACAAATCATATATTTTTTTTTTATTTCAAATTACAGGGTAAAGGTTCTGTGATAAGCTTGTGTTCAGGTCTTCAAAGTTTAGTTCATAAATAATAATCTACATTTTAAAAATAACAATTTAATTTAGTCTATTCAGAGAAATTAATGAAATGCTGAGATATAAGCCTATGGTGAATTTTAAAACCTTTAAACCCCTGTGAAACTTCGGCAATCTCTCAAGTTGGGAACCATGTCCTAGAGCAATAAAGTTTGGTAGGGGCACAGACAAAACTGTTATACTTATATATATATATATTTTTAGGCTTTTTCATTGATAGAGAGAGAGGGGATAACACGCAGTAAAAGGTCCACAGGTCAGATTCGCATGGCCGCTGCAGCAAGGACTCAGCCTTTGATACACATTAGGTGAGCTACCAGGGTGCCCTGTAACGGTGTACAATTGACCCAAATGACTGAAAGGTACCAGCAGATGTGTATATTTTTCATTACTGCCACCTGAAAATGGAAAGTAGAAAAAGTGCAAAATTAGTGGTTTTGGGGCCCCAGGCAGTCCCCCAACATGTACACAGATGGCCATTCCATATTTCCTGCTAAATATACAGAGTTTTAATGATTTATTGATACATTTCAAGGGCTCTAACATCATCAGAATCCTCCTAATGGTAGCTGGAGCTGAGGTGGTGGACAGAACATGTGCAGTTGGCACCCCACACACCTGGATAGGAAGATCAGAAAACCAGAAAAGTGGCTTTTGAGCATTTCTTTTCTGGAAATACTGTACGTGAATATACAATGAGTTCAGGAATAATTACCTTTTGCATCATTGTTTTCCTTGATTACTTGTAGTAGAGCATTAATCTCTAGCTGACTTGCTATATTATCACATGACCATGATGTGTTTAATTAAACATTAAGAGTTATCCTTTCAGGTAGTTGATTGGGCATAATAAGCCTCATATGTTCTTCAATTTCAACATTAAGACAGTTTGGAAGTTCACACAAAAATGCCATTTTCACACCAATTTTCATAGTCCATCACTATTGTGGCAAAAATGCCAACAAAATATAACCTACTTGCCATATCTAAGATTATGATGTAAAGGCCTTGAAATTTGGCACAACATCAATTAAACACTGTATATTTAGGAGGAAATATGGAAATGTCCATATGTATTACTTTGGGGGACTGCCTGAGGCACCAAAACCACCCATTTTGCACCTTTTTCCATTTTTAAGGGCCAGTAATAAAAAATCTATTTGTCTTTTAAACATCTGGATCTATTATACATCATTTTGTCTGTGCCCCTATCAGATTTCATGTCTCTATGAGTTATAATTCTGAACATATTGAACCCTAACAATCTAACAATGGCTTCCGATCAGACATAAAAAAAAAAACTATGCAGTTATTAAAACTCATGATCTAAAACATTTTAGAATTTATTTTTTGGTGTCAAATAGCATTTACATAAAGTTTGAGGAAAATCTCAACTGTAAACAAAAACCTCTACCTGATTTGACACTGAATTACCTTTAATTTGAATTAAATATTTAATTCTGCTAAATATTGTTTAGTAAGGTACCTAGACAGATTCTTTGTTAATACTTAAGAAACAATTTATTCTGAATATGCTGAGTATAACACATAAAACAATAAATACATTTAACATGTATTTATAAAAATTTTATTCTGTACTGATACATCCTATGCTCCAATAACTAAGTTTGTAATCAGTATTTTAGGGATTCAGAAATTGTTTATGATGATCTTTTACCACCAGAAAAACGATACAATTAAAACTGAAACAACTCAAGCAAACCCTGTATGCACACTCTCAAATTATTCAAAAGCTTTTCACATGAATCTAACTAAAATGTTTCTCTTACAGAAGTACTGTAGTCTGCAAGGGCATATGCAACATTAACATCTGACTGCAGTAATGCATTCCTTTTTTAATCCAAAAATAATTATAGGATGAGTGCAGACCAACCTTTTTGTTAGCGTGTTGTCTGTAAGGCGTTGTCCCTGAGGGCACGCTGTTGAGACTGTCCAAGTACTCTTCACCACTGTCACTGTAGAGAAAAGTGAGGAGGGTTATTACAGGCCAGAAGTTGAACTTGCAACCCTGGTTCTGAAAGTACCACCATTGGAGAAAAATCCAATTTACCTTTTATGGTTGATTTAGTTGACATCAAGAAAAAATATGTGCATTTCGGCCCCCCTTCCTTCCAACAGAAAATCAATGTCCCATCCAATTTCTGAGCTGGAAGTGTAAATGTGGGTGTAAATTAAGTGAAAAGCTGCAGTGTCTGGTGCTGATGGTGAATGCATCAACATGTATGAGAGCGGCTGTGGCCTTCATTAGCCCTCTGTGTGTGACAGACGTGTGTGAGAGGCACGGCTGAGCGGAGCCAAGCAAAGTTGCATCTGATGGACAAACGGTAAGGGCTTCCTGACACACACACACACACACACACACACACACACACACACACACACACACACACACACACACACACACACACACACACACACACACACACACACACACACACACACACACACACACACACACACACAGGTTTATTGACAGTGACCTTTGACGTGAAGGTGGAAGCCAGTGACATTTACGCTGGCGGGTTTATTAAGGTGGGGCCTGGGAGAAGCAGCAGAGGTAAAGACCACAGAGAGAGGATCTAACTGGAACATGACAGGGCTGGGGGCTAGTTAGGGTTAAACCCGGTCTGGAAGGGGCACTGGGACTTGCTGAGGATCACTAATCACCACCACTAAGGCCAGTTTTACATGCATTTGATGCTACCCGTTGTCATGCTGGTGAGACAGCTAAACAGGTCTGACTTAAATTTCGCCTTACGAATACAATCCTGAGAATACAATTAATTTTAATATACTCTTCTACTAAGTATGCATCACATGCAGATTCAAATGAACAAATACTAGTCTGCATGATACCCCACCTGTCTACAGCGGTTGTTATGGCGGTCACTTCAGGGGGATCAACATTTGTGTGCAGTGTTCCCATATTGTACATAGATACATGGGGACAAATGGGTCATTGAATAGTGTGACGAGTATGAAAATGAATTCAGTCATATGCTATGGTCTTCACAGTCACCAGATCTAGACCCAGTTGAACAACAATGGGTGTGATGAGGGGATATTTTTTTTAAAGAATGGAGAATCTATAAGAAGGCACGCTGAACCTGTTCTGGTGGCTAGTTGTGGCCCAACAACCAACTTACCAATACATTTTGTGTTGGTTCTTCCTTTCGAATCCTTTCCTTGTCAATAATCTGTCGCTCCACTGTAACGTAGTGTATTCCAAAAGTGATTAAGAGCATATGAAATATGTAAACACAATCATACATACTGCTAACTTAGAACTCAATACGATTCAGGGCAATATTCTCCATGCCCCCTGCTCCCATTCTGTTCTGCTCTCTTACAAAACTGCTGATCTGCTCAAAATGGTCAGATGCCTCCAGCAGCTCAAAACTTGAGAGATGGAGCCAGAGGCAGCGATAAAAAGGAGGGAAAAAACAAAGACATGTCAGTAGCCTTAACGAGTCTGACATCTTTATTTGGCACTATTTAGGCCAAACCTCCTTAAGCAGAAATACTGTATTTCCAGGAGCACCTACCAGAGATATTGCTGAAGAAGACCACTGTGAGATAAGAGACGCAGAAGGCTTTACAGTAACAAATCAGTTGACAGGTGCTTAAATAAGACAACATCTCAGTTTAGACCCCTTTTTCACAAATCCACTTAGATCCTCCTCTCAGGTAAAGCGTATATTAGACTGCTGCTTATTAGCCACATGGAGAGGCATTAGGAAAGCAGGGCATAGCTGCACCCAGTCCCTGTTAAACGGCCTCATGTGGATAGAGATGGGGTGGATTACAGCCTGATGAATTAGTTGGTGAAGAGATGGCGAGTTAGAAGGACTGAGCAGAAGAGCGGATAGAGAGAGGCGTACAGGGAGAGAAAGTGAAGGGAAATAAATATCAGCGATAGCTCTGAGTGTTTGAAATCAAATCATTCCGACCATCACTCAATAAATGTTGGCTCAGTGGCTTTTTTGCATAAAACATACATGAAATAATTACTGTCGATGGTTCTTAATTTAGAGGGTGTTAAACAGCTTGTAGACATCTGGTACTGAGCCGAGTAGGGTCATTCAAAATTTATCTAACTAAATTAAGGCGAGGAGAGGAAAGAGGAGGGTGGGTAAGATGGAAAGGAAGAGTGTGTGTGTGTGTGTGTGTGTGTGTGTGTGTGGGGGGGGATTCGGGGAGGCTGGAGGAAATAAGACTAGCACACACACATTTGTGAATTGACATGCCACAAGATAACCAACATGACTAGACGCAGGGTGGGGTTAGCTTCCATGCATGTATAGCTGTGTGTGTGTACGGGTGGAGGAGGTGAGTCGGGGGGGTAGTGGTGGGCTTGGTACTTGCAGGGGGATCCTTAGCGCTGTCAAGGGGGGGTTAGTGAATATGCAAAGGACCAGTAAATTAAATCAAACTGCCAAACTGTCAATTTCGGGGTAGCGTGACTAGTGCATGAAAATGGCATCACTGGAAGGTATCAAGGCTTTGGCGGCCCCCTTATCCCTGGGCTTTTCTGGCATCGGTTCAACTTTGTGTGGAGAGGTGGCTAATTTTGCATGCAAATTTCAGTCAATAAGCTCCAAGCAAGGCGTCCCAGGATATTTCAAAGGATCTGACAGTAGTTTCCCCCTCCTCTCTCCTTCTCTCTATCATTCTTGCTTGCATTCTTCTTTTGGCTCCTGAATACCAACTAGACAGACGATGAAATTCAATCACCCATTTGCTTACGCTTTGCATATGCACGCTGTCCCCTCGATGCTGCATGCCCCCCCCCCCACAATTCAGCCAGCCCACCCTCTCCACTCCAACCACCTAAAAATAATGAGGAGGCAGGCGGTGAGAATAAGTGCATCTGTGTGTGTGTGTGTATCATTACCTATCTACGCTCATGTCCTCCCACTCGTCCTTAGTGGGACTAGGGCTGCGGCCTTGCCAGCTGATGGCTTGATTGGGGCTGACTGTTCGGTGGCTGCGCTGGCGTAGCGGACCTCTGAGTCTAGTTGTTTTGAATTTGACCTTGCAGCTAATGTTGCTAGCGATCCCGCCTGCCCGCACTGGTCCAGGTGCACGGTTCTTATAGAAGTCCCTGGCTGCTTTGAGGATCCCTAGCTCCTGTCTTAGCCTCAGCAACTGATGATGAAGCTTGGTAGCCTCTTTTTGAGAGGCAGCCAGTCGGGCTTCTAGAGCCATGATCTCACTGCGATGCTGCCCCTCCTGGGCCAGGGCTTGGGCCTGGACCTCCTCTTCACGGACTGCTTCCTGGGTACGCAGATGATCCAGAGAGGATTTGAGTCTGTTGCAGTTGTGGGCCAAGTCTTCCTTGGCCTCAAGTAGCCGCTCTTTCTCTTCCCTCAGCCTCTCTGTCTCCTCATCCAGGGACATCATCCTCCGCTCCAGCTGTTCAATCTGAAGGAATTAGATATATGGGGCCTCAGTGGTACAACATAGTTTTTTTTTCCCTTTGCAAATCTGTCATTTTTATCATAAAAACTTCTGAACACACAGCTCTTGCAATACTAGTAACAACATTCAAATCTTGAGTTTACCCTTTGTTTCTCTACAGTATATGTTATCAGCAAAAGTGTATATGAGAAAGGCCAATTCCTGATTGGACCTGTGTGTGGTAAGATGCAGACAATGGTTTTCCTCTTCAGACATTTTCTCAAGGGTGTACGTGCCAATGAGTATATGCTGTGTGTATGGCTGAACCAAAGAGGGTAGCAGCACCCCACTCCACAGCCTGGCATGACTATGGACAACTGACTGGCACCCCCTTACCCTGATCACCCCTAACTAGGCAGCAACCACGAGCACTTAGTCTATCTGTTAGATCTTTGGTGGAGACTGTTTAAGAGAACAGTGGATGCCTGCTGGGTTTGTGCCTCCAGGCATTTTTCCCCTTTTATTTGGTTCTCACTCTGCCCGCTGGTGAAGCCTGGTACCTTTCAAACTAAATTAGATGGCTATCCCAACCCTTGATGATTCACTGCCATGAAGGCAGAAGGGGGGCTATGTATGAACTCATGCAAGCAGGGGTTTTGAGAGCATGTGTGCACAAACATGTGCAACCTACTGACAGCTCTGATACAAAATTTATGTCATATTATCTACAGTTTTCTGGGATAACTTAGTAAAATAGTCTCTACTCCAGCCCTACAGTTATTTTTTTTGTTATTTGTAAAACTATTTTTACCTGTAATAAAAACAAACTACTTCCTAGCTGACACTCGACTTGGAAATTACTACATGACCAAATCTCCAAAGACTGAGAACACTTATGAATGATTCTTCATAGAGCAAAAGCAAATTGGCATTGTGCATAGTTATGGCTCTTTCGGGTTTCTTTTATTGGCAATGACAAAGAACACTTAGTGATGGCATAGTGCTGTACCTTTTTAAATGACTGTTCCATTCGCTCTGAAGAAACAAAAAGCTTTTTCGGAGTGCTGCTTTTGACCTGGTGCTCCTCCACCACTTTGTGAAGCAATTCTGCAAAGGGGAACAAAGCTTGTTATTGTGACATGATGTGTCAAACTCAGGCCGCTCAATCAATAGAAGGATAATAAAGAGGGTACATTAAATCAATTAGCATTACTAAGGTTTAATTTCCTTCTTAAGGTCCAGTTTCTTTTCTTTTTTTCTTTTGTCAATCAAATCAGAAGGAATGCAGAATCACTAATGTTGCTGTCATGGGGACTAAAAACCATCTCCTGTTTCTAGAATCTTATCAAATAGTCTTTTTTCTTACCGATTAACAGAAAGGTGTTTTATTTAGTAGTCCATACGGAAATAGGAAAACAGTGTTCAAAAGCACACACTGGTACATGTTATGTGCAACCTCCCTAGGGATCTTAAACAAACGAAGAGAAGTGCTTGAATCCCTTGTGAACACATAGCCCCAGGCTGCACTGCTTTGTAGTCCACTATGTTTCCCCAATGGACAACTAATCTCCACAGACTAACATGCTGCTTTATTCTGAGAACTTCAATAGTGGCCTTGGTAAACATATGATTTAGGCTTTATGATAACAACAGAATGCATGCAGGAGTCAAAGTGCTTGGGGATTTGATGCACACATATTCATGTGCGCATACACAATCCAACAAGCCTCAGTGTCACTGTTTGACATACAGTATGCACCTGCAGAAGAAGCAAAATCTTCTCTGCTCACCTAGATGCAAAAGGGCAACACAAAACAATATAAAACTTTCTGCCTTTCATTCTCTCCTCTTAAACATTCATGACAGGACGACTAAAATAATTTGTACAATGAGGCTGGAAACATTAAATATTCAGGACCTTGACTTTTCAGGTCAGTTGATCTTTTGGAGAGCGAGTTGGAAAAAGAGGCCATAGAAGGAGAGAGTAAAAAGAGAGAGGGTTATGTTGTGAGGAGCTGCTGCTCCCTTGCTTTGCATTTGACACTTTGCCCAGGGAAGTTTGTTACTTTGAATTAGCCTGCTCTTTTGTCTTCCCAGCATGTCACATTCAATCAGACAGAGCACCAAATAGGACAGGAGGGCTGCCGGGTTCGCTGGATACATAACCAGGTTGGGAGACAATTATCCAGCTCCAGTGCTGGTGGCTTGGGAGTTGGCACCTCAGCACTACCTTGATAAGAAGACGTGGTGGCTCCCTAGTCACCCACAGTTGGAGGAGGTCCTGGCACTGCAGCATATATTAACGTCCCTCCCACGTCTCCTCATGGGCTGCAGCACAAAGGCCCTGTTCCTTTCATCTGCTGCCTTTCGTTAGTGTGATCCTGGTGTGAGTGCTTCAACCCTCTATCCCTTTGATCGGGTCACAGAGGTTCTTCAGGAGCAAATATTGTGGCCATTAACAATTTTTTCCCCAATATTGTTAAATCTTCTTCCTGGTGACTCTAAACCAATTGGTTTTAATCCAGAAGTAAATATTCCAGACATTGACAAAATGTTACAGCCTTATTTAAATTACAAAATAACAAACACAATTGGCATTTATTGACTCACACAGTTTATGATAATGTTTTTCAAGGTAATCACCACAATATACAATTTATTTAATTTTAACAACTTTATAAACCTAACATATAATTAAACTAGGTAGTGCCTCCATGCTTCAATAAACACCTTTTTATCACATTTTGTCTTTTACTTTGTGAAACAACGTTTCAGTCGGTTTTGTTTTTAAATTTCGGCAAAAAATGCACAATGAGAATAAAACTGTTTAGATCAGAACCGAAAGTGATTTATGTCTGTGGTATTCCCATGTAGCAGATGTGTTCCTATTCAGTATGACAACAGTTATTGCAATAACGTTGGTTGTTATGATAAAATAAACCTGTGGTGATATAACAATCATTTATGTCATTCATCTAGATGATATGAACTATCATCCTGCAACAACATAGTGCCATCAAAACATTTCATGGATCGTTTTTTTGCTCAGCTTCAAGGCTTTTGTATTAAAATCCCAACATTTTGTGAAGTCAGACATATGTAGTGCTGCCCCTAACCTTAAATTTGAAATTTAACTCACTTTGAATTTTTACCTGATAAAAACTGGAAAATGTTTGTAAATGATAACACAAAAGACAAGTAAGAAGATACTGTGGCTCTTGTGTAGCATTTATATTTAGTATTTCATTGTCTGACAAGATGTAAAACTAAGTATGTCCTTTCAAATGAGACTTTGTAGTATTCCTGACTAGATTGTCAACAGGAGAGGACCTACTATTTTAATTAGTGCCATCCTTTAAATCAAGTACTTGCATCTCCAACAGACACCATCATTGGTTGTGAAGAAAATTAAAGTGATCTAGGACAGATTTGTTATTGAACTGGTTAATTAAGACCAGCGGTTGCGGTGGTCAGTGTCTGACAAAAGGTTGCAGATTGGATTAAAAGCGATGTTTTAACACTGGGAATGATATATGCAGACAAGATGAACACTACTTGATCTCCCAATCAATTTGCAAGGAGTTGATCAAGTCTTAATTGAGTTGTCTTATTAATTCCACTGGGAGTTGTCTTATTAATTCTGCTCACTAATGCACATGGCCCAGAGGTAATAGGATAGCTTAAAGGTGCTGTCATGTTAAACATGCACTTTTCTATTACCCGGTGATACTTCCAGTGATTTTTACTTTGTATCTGTGGCCACATCCTTAGGTAACATTGCAGAGAGCTATACAGTAAAATTAATGCAATAATTCAATTTAAGCAAAATACCAAAGGAAAAAAGAAATGAAAAAAAAAAAAAAAAGACTGAAGACAAAAGGTGATTTTTAAAAGAGTCTTTTTCACCTGGTCATTTTTGAGTTCCCATAAAACCTCCCCAATAAAAAGGAAAAAAAAGGGTTCACCTTGGTGTTCATTAGCAAGACACAGGTGGAGCTCCTTCACTGTGGCCCGGTCCATAGCAGCCTGGACTCGCAGCATGTCCAGCTCCTCCTCCAGGCCAGCTCTGCAATCACACATGATAACCTTTTCTTCACACAGCTCTTACGTCAAATCCATACTTCTTCAAACATTAATGGAATAACAAAGAGAAATATGAAACCACTACCAACACAAGCATTGTACAGTATAATGAGTATCTTTTTAAAATCTCCACAAATATCTCTCTGGATTCCACTGTGGACTCAATTATTGTAGAAACTTTTTTTACACATTTTAACTTGAATCTTGCACTGGCTTTCTCTTCCCAACAGAAAAGATGACATGGTGAAGAAATCAACTAATTAAAATGCTTTTTAATTCATCTGGAAATCAAAGTGACAAGCAACATGAAACACCAAGGTAGGAAAGTACAGTGTGTGTGTGTGTGTGTGTGTGTGTGTGTAGGTGTGTATGAAAGTGTGTGTGTAACAGACAAACAGAGTGGAAAGTGTGCACAATTACCTCGCTGCAATTAGCTTGATTCCTGCTAAAGGCTAATTATGTGGAGCCATGCTCGAGACTTTGCACTTTCAAGTTATTATTAGGACCCCAACTGAAGTCTACTGAGGATACGCACAAGCCCACTGAGACAACCACACCTGAAACACACACCTAATTTCCCTCCCCTCTGCTCCACAGAGTCAGAGAGAAATACTAGAAACAAGCTCCTGCTACCGTAGTGGCATTCTTCCCTCAGTTAACCTCATTACAACAGTAGGTCTTCCTTCTGACTGACTTCTTAAGGCATGCAACGAGTGCAGTATGTGTGATACACTCTGAAATGTTTGAAGAGTAACAGGGCATTTGTGGCTATGGTGAACTATAATGAGCATAATGGCAATTAACTCAAACTAGACGCCTGTTTCGACTAATCTAATTTTTCTAGATCAACCAGGAGATTTTTCCATACACATGCCAAGAAAAATGACTTGGGAAAAGTTATCGCCATAGCACAGGGAAAGAAAGTAATTAGCTTTTTAGCCCACACATTCCAGTAGAGGCCTGGTCTAATGGCTGGCCGAGCTTAAATAAGTACACAAATGACTCTCCCTGAGGGAGGGTGAGGAAGCAGATGGATATGTGTCGCTCCTCTATAGATTTTCCTCCATAAATGAACTCAAGTCGATGAGGCACCGGCACTGCCTTATGTGTCCAGGCTGTTAATGGGACAAATGAGCTGAAATATGCAGTATGTGAAGGAGCCTGTTCCATCTCATGTTTCTCTTTTATGCCTTTTCGGATGCTGATGGTATTGACGCTAAACCAAAGTTCATATGCAAAACATTCAATTTTGTTGAAGGATAAGCATACTTTCTTGGATGGAGAAGGGATTAGGTTGCAGATGGAGTTCATTGGCCAGTTTTACATCATAACATTGTAGAGATGGAAGACTCTTGCATACCTATTCGGTAACACATAATTGTCGCAGTGTGTGCAGCAGTCTGCTCCAGAATGGGGATTAACAGATCTAGGGATGTCACAAGAGCAGTAATACAAATTTGGTGACTTATACTTAATATTTGTAAATATAAATTAATACAATTACAGTATAGTTTGTGAGTCAGTTTGTGCAGTTACAGACTTTTGTTTTGCATCAAAACAACACATATGAAATGACAGTATCTGTCAATGCGCTAATCTTGGTCAGTGACAGAAAATTCTCATTTAGTTTAATGAAACTATGTCTGTGTAGACCTTTCTTTTTGAGAGTTATGCAAATATGCATATTTTAAAACTATGATTTCATTCACGACTGTACAAAATAGTCTTCTTTTTTTGTGCTTCAATCTCCACTTACAGTCTCACTCCTCACACTTTGTTTCCTTGTGAGAGTAAATCATTTGATTAACAGACACTGACTATTTTTAGCCTATTGGTGTCTTGATTGTGGGAAAAGAGTCTCTTTGAAAATTTGAAATGATGTTTAGGCAACACCGTAAGGTTGCAGTAGCACTGAGCTAATCCCTATCTCAAGGAGCTATGCTTTACATCTGCTTCACATTATAGCCGCCAACACCTGAAACAATCTCCAGATGTCAGACTACATCCAGTTACCTGCAATTTATCTAAAATGAAACCTGTCATGTTTTCCTGTCATATCCAAGCTATCACAGTGGAAAAAGGTTCTCTACAGCCATACCTCCTATAGAGTTTTTCAAGTCTTTAAAAAAAAAATCTGGATAATAAATCAAATGAAGCTAGCTGGACAATTTTCAATTCCCTCTCAACTTACCCACTACACCTAAGGTAGAATAACACTCAGCAGGCATAAAAGCAAAAGAAGTTTCTTACAAACCAAACTAAAAGCAAAACACAGGTGTTATGTTTGGTAATGATGTGGTCTGCAATGTAAGTCTGTGTCTCATGCCGCTCTTTTGGCCCCGTTTTTGAAAACATTTTCTCTCTCGTGCAGCGCTAGAACTTCAGCCCTGAGCTATCTACTGCATGTCATTTGATCTTGTCTCTACCTGTGTTGCACCTAACACAGCTTAGAGCACAAACTGCCAGCCTCCATCCACAAGGGTGTACAACACAACATCATCTGCAGCCATTGTGCTTTCACATGCCAGCCTCCTCTTGGTTTCTTGTTCGGCACATAAAAATACACAGTAAGAGCAGGGAATAGGGTGAGAAAGCGAAAACACCTCTGGCATTTTTATCGCTGGGGAAAGAATCTTGTTTTTGGGGGTGTGGGGGTGGGGGTTCCCCCTTGGTTAAACTCAGGCTAGAGGGCTGCTCATTCATGGAGGGAGTTTGGGTGGATAAGCCACTGCTGTCAGCAGAAATGGTGACTGGTTGAGTTTACATGGCTCAGTGCTGTATTTTAGCTGCGGGCAATGCAGCGGCAGCAGCAACAGTGAGTCTTTAAGAGTTCTCCAGCCACAGGCCACTGATATAAGAGGTAAATGGGGATTCATGTAATAACCACTAGTGGAAACAACCTAGGATGTCCACAATAGTCCCTGTTAAAGAGGCTTGTTGATGCCTCTAGGTATCCTAATATGAAATAAAACAATATCGTAATGTTGTATTTATTATACATGAGGGAAAAAAAGACATTTGTATAAGTAAATAACACTTCTGCAGTCAATGATTATTTAAATATGAGAGGAAATAGGCACACTACATTCTCTACTGAATGCGTGAACTGTATTTTTGAGGTTCTTTGAAATAACTGCGTTCTTTATGCTCTAATTTTATCTTGTTATGAGATTACTGTAGCTAAGACTTGATGGTGCACTGAAGCTGGCATCATAATTAATAACTAAGTGTGAACCAAGTTTGTTTTTTTTTCACAATAATTAATTTACCAAATAATTAATGAAGGAAAACCTTAGTTGTCTGATATAGAAAACATGTATAAAACATTCTGTTTGTGTGTGTGTGTGTGTGTGTGTGTGTGTGTGTGTGTGTGTGTGAGCAAATGTGTCCCTCCTCCAACTAAGCCCTGGTCCGGGGGCAAAAGACTCTCATTACTTCTAATACCTTTAAGCAAATCAAGATGAAACGAAAAGAAATAGAGCAATATGAGGAACATCAGGGTAAACTTTATTAAACTTAATTAGAGTCAACGTCGCTTACTGGGGAGGTTCACGTCCATAATGGTCACTCTCTACAGAGGAGCTTTCACTGCTGCTGCACTGCAAATGATCTCAAAGGCTTTTTCCCCAGTAATCGCTAGCTAATTTATGCTTTGATGTCGTCTGAGTATAGCATCTTAAGTCTGAGGGCGCACTGCATGTGTTTATTCTGTTTATGGGGCCTAAATAATCCCTGCCTCTTTTTACCAACAGACCTTTAACAACAATTAACAAGCACAGACATGGAGTGCTGCAGACAGATGCATAATGAGGCAGGTAATATGATCCCACTGTGAATTTTTTAGCCCACCCTGTCCGTAGTTGCTTGCCAGCCATCTACTACAATCAGAAGGAAATCTCAATCCAAAAACCAGCCTTTGTGTCAGCTAGTTTATTTGTCTCTGCCTTTTGGCTTAAAAACACGCTAGCATGTATCTGAGAGTTATTCTAAATTGGTTAAATGTTTAGAGATGGGTCTTCATATCAAATTTTGTCAGAGCATAATCACATTATTACAAAAAGGAGAGGCTATTTTTGTTGTAGGATTGTTTGCTTACTAAATATCGAAAGTAAAAGGGAAATCCCATACCATCAAAGAAAGCTGAAATCATAATATTGCTAGCATCAATACATGAAGTGCTATAGACAAATTCCATTTCTAATCCATGTGAATTTTTGAGTTTACTGTGGATACAGTAAATTGTTTCTGTCAACAGCTTTTTAAGTGACAGAAACGAGACTGGAAAGAAGTTAAACTTCTCCAGAAAGATGAGGGTTTTTTTCAGACCAAATTTCATGACTAAATGTCAAAACAGTAGGGGTGTCACGATTTCGATCGAAATTACAACTCAATCTCGAACTTCGAACTCAAAGGTAGAATCAACAATGCAGCCACACCCCCAATGTCACGTCCAGCATGTATGCCAAGGCGCAAAAACACACACGTGCTGAACTGCGGCGTCAACACTCCTCTAATTTTAGGCTGCAGCCAGTTAAAAAATACACATCAACCGACCGAAATCGAAGCCCCTCTTGCTACTCTGAAATCACCAGTGTGGAAGTATTTTGTCATTCATTCATGTCAATTAACACTAACTTAGCCTACTCAACTTAGCAAGTGAAAAGATGATCTAGTTACAGTCCAAAATTACTTTAAGGCTTAAAATGCACATTGATAAGTACATATTCCATGAACACAAACATTGGGTCTCTTCGGAGTGTGCTGAAACAATCAAATCATCATTTCACTATGTTCACGTCTCTGTTTAATGTTTGTTCTGTTTACAACCTCGCAGTTGGAACGGTTTCAAAATAAAAGCCCCCCGAAACAGAATAGGAAAAGGCCAGAAAAGTAAATAACATAAGGAATGCATTAATAGTAATATTAAAAAAAGATCGAAAATCGAATCGAATCGAGGATTTGGAGAATCGTCACACCCTTACAAAACAGGAGCGAATTTTAGATTCCAACTTTCGGCCTTTTTCTGCATTTCATCCCCTCTTTCTCTCTCCCCACTTTCCTGTCTTTCTTAAGCTGCTCCTGGAAAATTGTCTTTACTGTAGTTGCACAAAGGTACATGACACCGTCACATGATCTTTCCATTAAGTGAGTTTCTAAACTCAACTTCAAGTGTCATTGTGAGAACACTGTGAAACAACAGCTCTACAGTGACAGAATGGAACCACTAGTCCTTAGGCACATAGAATCTAAAAATAACTACACTCACTGGTTCCAAACTGCTTTAGGACACAACGTCAGGGCAAGAACTGTTGGGACCATCATGACATGAGTTTTCACAGCCAAGCAATGCTACACAAAGCCTAGTAGCCCCATGTGGAATACATATACGTCTGGAGAGAGATAAAAAAGTTGCTAAAGAATAAGCAATTTGTTGCTCACTGGGTGCCCAGTAAATCAGCTAAAAGAGCAGAGAAAAGAGACCTGTTTCACCTTCTTCTTCTTTCAACCTCTAATTCAAGTGCAGAGATTAGAGGGGGGCCTGGGCTTCATAACCTTCTCTTAACACTGTTGGGACCCACTGTGCAGGAGTTATCCCAGCAATATTCATTCTGGGATGGTCATTTGGGCCTCAAGACAGTGTTTTACAAGTGCTGTTTTTGGAGTAGGTGATAGGGAGCATCTGTCCACAATATCATGACAATAAGGAAGAGCAAATGAGAGACAAATGGAGAGTTTAAACAGACTCATCTAAAGCCTGCCACTAGGCATTTAAAGCTTTACAAGGGGCCTTTATTTGGCCCTAAATTCTTTAGCTGCCAGGAGTTAATTAGCCATTAGTGGATAATTTCTAACACTTATCTAGCATAACCTTCACAAGCACAATCATTATAATACGGTCAACGGAACAACAAGCTGCAACTGCTTGCCCCATGAGCTTCCAGGCAGTAATGCTTCCATAAACTCTTGTTGTTGTAGCAGTATGAAGCACACACTTTCCTTCTCTGATGCTTCTCAACAGAAATTTTCATTGCAGGGAAGTAAGGTTGTTTGGTTAAGCTGGCTTCGTCCATAGTCCCAACAATCCTATCTGTTCACTCATGCTACAGGTATAGAAGAAAGCGAGGAGTGGAATAGAGATGAGCAGTGTGCTTTCGCTTAGTTTAACACACTGAGCTATGCGTGTGTACAGATGTGTGCCCTGGAACGGAGAGTTTTTCTAAAGCACAAGTTTAAAGATCCCAGCCAAGTTTACTTTGCACCAGCCATCCGGGTAAGAAGGGGCCCTGGGGGCGGGAAAGGAGGAGATGAGGTGGAGCTGGTCAGGGGCACATGAAGGGGATCAACACTAACCCCGGAGGACAGGCCAGTTACACAGCTAGGAAAGAGGCCAGCCGTTCTGCATCCCTCGTGGTTTCCCTCACAGGTCAGTTCCAAGGACCCTGCTTGTTCACTGTAGCCTGCTCACCCCCCCCCCCCACACCCCACCCCCAGACCATCCAGTGCGCCGCTCTTCTCAGCTCTAGTCGTGGCCGGGCAGGCAGGCAGGCGGATGGACATCCCTTAACAGGCAGCATTGGCGGCACTAGGGCTGCTAGCCTGTAATTAGCTCGGACAGCTCAGGCTTGGAGAGAGGCAGCCGGGCTATATCATAATGAGCTCAGCTGGGATTAGGAGGACAGGGCAGGGGGGTGAGCAGAGGGGAAAGCAGTAGAGGGGGTGGGGGGGGCAAGTACCAGAATTCTGGCCTCAGACTACTGCAGTATCGCAGAGGGCCGGAGGGAGACAAGTGGGAAGACAAGTAGGAAGAGGGGAAGAGGAGGGTACAGAGGCATAGCATGGAGGAGGGAAGAGGTGAAGAGAGGTGAAGGCTAGGGTAGGTAGGAGAGAGGAAGACTGTGGCTTTAGGCCAAGCTTTGTGTAGCATCATAGTGGGTCAGTGTTAGTGGTACAGTTACAGGGGCTTCTCTAGATCAAACAAGACAATGGCTATACTACTCCCAGAGACAGAGTAAAAGAGAAAGAGACAGAAAGAAAGAGAGAAACTAAGCATCAAAGAAAGAAATTAAATGTAGTAGCCTTTCGAGAAAACTCACACTGTGATTAAAAAAGTCACCAAACTCCAGCTTACAGACTGCAAAGTATCTTATTGACACTCACTTAATAACACTAGCAACAGGACAACTGTTTGGCATAAATGTTAGATTAAAAATGCAATTATTTCACAAAGACACAGCCAGGGATTCTGATAATGTGATTTTACTTCCTGCACTTTTATGTGTGAATTTTTGGGCAGCCAATTTTACAAATGAGCAGAGTCTAATGATCTTGCTTTGGCCCCTGCTGGCTGATAATGATGTGGAGGGCTAGGTGGATGCTGTGAAGTTGGGAAGGGCACACTCAAATTTTAACACCCACAAACAAGAAGGGACAGTGGGAGAGTGTCGGTATGTGTGTACACGTGCGGTTTTAAGCGAATGTGTGTATGCACACTCACATGTCCAGTGCTGGTTATTATCTGTGTTTCAACTGGGCGACTCTGACAGCGAGTGACTTACTTTTCAATGGAGAGTTTCCTGTTGGAGTTTTTCAAGTAGGCCAGCTCATTCCACACTGCATCACTGTTCTCTTGTCTTAGCTGCCATGGTTCTGCACGCTGCTTCTTTCCACCTGGCCTGCACACACGCACACACACACACATACACACACACACACACACACACACATACACACACACACACACACACACACACACACACACAGACAATATATAAGAAGAGAAAAGTACAAATGTAGAGGCAAGTAAAGGCAAATGGAACAGATACCCTTAGCACACATACACACACATGCACATTGAAAGCAAACACACTAACAAGGGAAAATGTTTGGTACTGTACCTTGCTGCCTCTGGGCAATTCACGTGGGGTAACAAGGCCCCTTAGTCTCGCTCTGTTTTTGTTATTCAGCCATCTTTAGCAGTATTCAAATGAGCAGCCTTGACTTTGACATTTCAGTGGCAAATCATGTACACACGTACGCATGTTTGTTAAAGCCCAGGGCACTGCCCGTGTGGCAGGGCGGTGGACCATTCCCTGTGTGCCATGCAAATGTAAATAATGGCAAAAACGCACTCGCAAACGAGGTCATTCAAATGTCTACACCTCACTTATGAATACTTAATGGCACTTTGCGCTCAGTGGCTGCCCCTTCCATTGAACTTCCCCTTCAACACACACAGACACACAGACACACAGACACACACAGACACACACAGACACACACACACACACACACACACACACACACACACACACACACACACACACACACACACACACACACACACACACACACACACACACACACACACACACACACACACACACACACACACACACACACACGGACACACGGACACACACACGGACACACTGTCCATACTGCCCCCAACTGCATCCCTGCACACACCCAACTCATCAATCAGTCGCAGCACCACATATTCAATTCCAATTAGCCTTTCATTTGCAAACTAAAATGGCTTTTAGTGAGTCCACAGATTGCAAAAGTAGCGGATGAGAAGAGAATACCATTTTTGTCACACACACACATCGACACACATACTACAGTTTCTCATTTTTACCCAATCAATGAGGTAGAGGTGTGGAAATGGATTGCGAGGGTCACTGCTATTGCAGAGGGCTCCTTTTCCAGTGGTCATTATTGGCTATGTAGACACAGCCACGCTACGCTAATACCAGTTAAACCCTGGTGCCTGGGAGTTGGAGGCTACTGAGGAACGGCAAATGTTTTCATTTAATACTGCTAATGCCCCTGTGAGCAATTTGGAGCCCTTGAACTTATTCGTAGTGTATGTGTGTGTGAGTGTATATGTGTGCTATCTGTGGGCTTGGGCTAGTTTCCCAGAGTGCAAAGCTACTTAACGGATAATCTCACTGTATCGTCACAGAGATTGATACACTTTTACTAATTCTATTGCAAACACACAGCAATCCTATCACCGACTGGAACTGTAAAAGTATATATTTTACCCACAACTCTGTTTTAATTCTCTCTGTGAGATTTTTAGGTATGTAGTGTATCAACTGCATTCCATATGAAAGGTGTATGAAGCTTTATTAAGTCACGGTAAAGCTTTATACATTTTAATTTGTTTACAGTGGGCCTAAAAGCTGTTGAACATGGAGCCATGAGAGAGCTATCTACTTCAGGCCTCAGTGCTTCCTCCCCTATGGTATCCTAGTTTCCATTATTAAGCAGGAGGAAATAGAGAGAACTTTTCCATGCCGCTGCGGCTAATTGCTCTGATTCAGGGGGAATCTGTTTATGGGCGCAACTTTGATCAGAGTACGGATGCTTTAATAACCTTTAATTTTATTTGCTCACCCCCATCATCCCCAGTCTGATTAAAAAACTTTTTCCCTTCTCTAATATAAATAAGAAGTTGGCTTTTTTCTCCCTCTCCTTCATGCCATTTTGGGAAAATATGGTGGTAATAGTGAATGGCAGGGTGGTTTCACTGGGACTGGCCAACTGCTCACTGCCTGCATGCTGATGAGCCAATGGACCCTTCGTCTGCCTTGTGATTGGTTGGTAGTTCTATCCTGGGCGGGACTGGCTATCACCCCCCCCACCCACACACACACACACACACACACACACACACACACACACACACACACACACACACACACACACACACACACACACACACACACACACACACACACACACACACACACACACACACACACACAGGTGACGTCACTCTGCAGCTTGCCATACAGAAACCAATTGTCTAATTCAATACTTTATTTTGCTAATGAGATGTGAAGATTGATATGAGGGAAACTAAAATCTGGAAGTTATAGAAAAATTATGTTAGTATAACACTGATGTATATTATTTGGCATATACTGTGTGTATAAACTGAAGTATTTGTAAGAATAGACATATGTGAGCGGCAGGTAAGGAGAGAGACGCATTGCAGTTTTATCTTTTGGTCCTGCACACAAAAGGGGAACAAAAACGACCCCCCGCATCTTTCCAAAAAGGCAACAACACAGCATGGAAGCTACAGGGAAATCCCTAACAAGCTCGAAATGCAATGAGACTCGACGCCTATCCCCACTGACTTGTTAGGGCCCTGATTTCCAAGCACTAATGGGAGTATTTAAGTCATTTTCTATTGTCTCTCAGTCAGGCTGGCATTACCCCAGTGGGTTTAACAGCTATTTAAGGATGGGGCTTAATGCCAAATGAATGCCAGGATCATAACATTGAGTGACTGGCTGGTGCCATGGAGGGCTCTGACTGAAAAGGGCAAAGCTGCCTATTGCATCAATTTTTCTGTCAAATCAGTCATGAAATACAGATACACTGACACTGATACTACAAACTTATTATCATAGACTTGTAGGTCTTCTTAGCTCTTTTCTCTTAACCACAGCCCCACAGTCTTATTACATGAATTTACATATTTGCTTCTCACAAAAACAAGGTCGTCATGCAGTCTTTGACAAAAGTGCATTAACCAAACAGAACATTTCTTTGATAACCTGCTAAAATGTATAACAGCAGCACAACTGGTGTTGACTCTGAGAGTTTTCTCTCCCTACATCTCTCTGTCTTTGTTCCCACTGTCTCAGACACATGCTGTTGAGCCGCGCTGAGCTGACATGAGCCGAGTCGAGCCTAGCGCTGAACACACTCTCTCTCACTCACTACACTTTCACACGGGCTCACATTGCACTGCTGTTTTCTTTAATTAACCCAGAGAGAAAACAGCTGACGGGGTCAACACTTTGCTCCCGAGCGGCCACCAAACATATGCACCTTTAGTTACATTTTAAAATGGACTCATTGACGCTGTTGGAGAGAAGAAACAGAGACAGAAAAAGTGGGAAGGCTGGGGGAGACAATGGAGAGAACAAGATGATATTTTCCACCACATTTTCCACTTTGTGTAAAAATCCTGTGGTTTCTGGTGAAGATAACAGGTCGAGGCAGGAAATGGCCCTCCCTCCTCCCCCTCCCTCCACAGGCCTTCTCAAACACCTTGCACCCCCCAGGACCAGACACCTCCAGCCTCTGGCTCTCACATCCTAATGAACGCTGAGGGAGAAGAGACGCAGAAGCGCGCACACACTTGGCACAAAACGGCCCAAATTGACTGGGCTTAAAACCTCTGAGCTTTTCAAAGGCAAAGGTAGGAATTTCTACCACTTTCCCAAATCCAGCACTCAGGTCTTGTCAGACAACATGTGGAGAGGAATGAGGCCCTAAGACTATTTGTGAGTGGTTTCAGAGGGTTGTAGCATTTCACAAGGGCTTTTAACATAAGGCAAGTTGAGTTATGTGCTTTGAAATGTCTCTTACTGTCTGCTGCTGGGAAGAACACAAAGTTATCCAAGTTACTTTGTGCATGCACAGATCCTCTGTGTTTCATGGATCCAATCCTGTGCATTGTGTGAGTCTACAATTTATTATTTTATTTATTTTGTAATATTTTTTTTAAACATTTTTTCCTCTGTGTTGTGCGATATGAATTTGTTACTGTGTACTCACAAGCCATTTGATTTCTCCATCTCTTTCAGCTGGTCTTTGACTGCCTTGTAGTTGGTCTGAATCAGACTCAGGCGTTCACGGCGTTTATCATGAGCCCTCCTCAGCTCTTCATTCTCCTCCATCTGTAAGACACAGTGACATGATTTTTTTTCTCTCCAAAAGTTGCACATGTCAAATGAAACATAACTTAATTGAAAAAAGGAGTCCACTTCATGTACACTGGCACAGCAGTGTGGCAGGGAGTTCGAGAAAGCCCCTCACCGTCTACATATTTAAACTGGTCTACAGCTGAAACACCTCTGCCTGACAGAAACCAGCAGGTTCAGATTCTTTTCTCTCTTCGCCTTCCTCCCTGACAAGTGCTTCCACTCTCACTGGCCAACTGAGACATCATTAAAGGACGACATTTACATGACGTGTCAATGGGGCCACAGAACACCAAGGAGACACACACATACACACACGCACATCACATACACACTTTTAACCAGCGAAGAAACTCACTCACTGGAGTTACCAACTGACGACCAGCATGTGTTGTGTTGGTGGGGGATGTAGCGGTGGGTTTGTTGCTGACACTGTTGTTGACAGCTATTAAAACACAGCAAGATTGGGCTCCAGCTTTAAAGAAGGAGTAAGAGAAGACAACATATAGATTTTTCTTGTCAGGGGCACCCCAACTCCCCATCACACTGACCTTAACAGCGAGGGCGATGGAGAAAACACTTTCAACAGGCAGGACAAACAGAGGTGGAAGGAGAGCAAAGGAAGAGAGAAAGGCAGCTGATGAAAATAGAGAAAAGAAAAAGAGAGAGAACAGAGAAATTAGAAAGAGAAGAAAGAGAGAGCAAAGCAAAAGAGAAAGTGAAAGGAAGAGTGCAGGACAGGTTTCTGCTTGAGTGGCCAGGGCTAGGGAGAGTTGTCGAGCGCTTTCTGAAGGGAAGGAGCTTGTTTACTGCTGATATGACACGGCTGCCCTGCAGAGAGGGAAATGCGAGCCCTCGGCCCTGTTATTATTAACAAGGACAAAGAGAACAGAGAGCACACAAACATTCTCCGGACACACAACGAGTGTACATGCGCGCACACGTGTACACACACACACACACACTCACACTGCCAATGTGACAAGTATGGATTTTCCCTAGTGCGGATTATTCACAGAGGACATCTGCAAGACATCCTCGGCCCCTTCAAGCTGCCCCCAACCTCTCAAAAACAAGGCTCTAATGAAAGGGGCAGAGCAGAGCAGTGTTAACTGGTGGAACTAGGAGCTGGGGGAGGACACAGAAGAGTTGAGGCTGACTGATACGGGGGGGGGCAGGATGGAGCAAGTGGCAGGGCATTAGCCACATCATGGCTTCCCAGGCTCCTTATAGAGCTTCCCCTGGGCAGCCCTGCGCTGGTCATCAGGCCACAGACCCTTGCCCACCGATCAATACACCCCCTTACTCAGCCAGCATACACATCTGTGGACGTTCTCAAGCTGAAAAATAATTACACAGCAACAGCTACTGTTTACTTGAAAGTGTGCAGAAGAAAAAAAGAGGCCATTATTATGAGAATTGTTTGTTTGTCTGCTGCTGTTAGCTGCTAAGGTCAACATGTCAATGGTACAGGCTTGCGTACCCAATTTGAAAGGCATTCTATTGGAAAGAATTGGGTAAGATCAACTGGAGAACAATGGACTGGACACAATGAAGTACTGTACTCTAAGATGCTGGAGGTGAGGTCTCAACTATAGGTGATGGAGGGCATGTTGCCCAGTGCCAGGTTGAAGCACTAAATCATGCTCCGAACTAATGCCCTCCTTAATGTGGTCACAGATTTGAGTTGCCAATCACAGTCTTTCTGTGCATACCTTTGCTAAATGCCCCTCAACTGGCAGACACATAAATGGCACCATTAACTAAGACAGTCATGCGTGTCGTTTGGATCTACGTTGAGCATTACCGTCTGACTAGGTGTCTGCCAGTGATGTAATTCAGACACTTCAGATCTGACAGGAAAATTATGCCTAATGTGTTCCTGGGATTGTGTTCAAAGGGAAATGACCTCTGCATAATCACTCACTCACTGGTCAGCCTGAAAGATGGAAAGGATAAAGAAAGGCAACAAGGAGGATAGCTTTAGGAGAAAGTCCAAATAAAAAACAGACAATACTAGTGGAAAATATACTCTGCTGACATAAAATAAAAAAAGAGAAAGTCCCATTTTGAGACCTTAAAAGAAACATAGGGGAGAGGTGAAAATTAAGTGTATTTTTGCTTGCAGTGAATATGAGAGAGAGATTTTAAAAAAGGCATGGGAATAAAGAATAGTGGGAGAAAGACGTCATAGATCATGTGAAGGTTAAAAGACCAATAAAGCTGATTCGTTTAAGGGAAAAAACCCTGCTTTCACCAGCGCAGCTCCTCTCCCGCTGCTTCACTGCCTACGCACGCCCTGTTTGTATGTGCACACATGTATGTGTATGCGTGAAAGACACTGTAAGAGAAGGTCATGGAGGAGGCAGTCGCAGCACTAGTGCAATTGAACCCTTTGGAGACTATGACTGTTACAGTGCTGCAGACCTTCCTACAACCCAGCAGCTGATGGCAGCAATCATTTGATAGATAGTTGGCCGAGCAACAAGCTGCTCCATTAGGCCTGTCCAGTCCCCCACACTATCAGCTGGACACCACCATCCAATTGAATGTGCCCTATTCAGAAAACAATACCTTCAAGTAGTTCAAAGTCACTGGTAGTTCAAAGTCACTGGCATGTCAACAGCCACGGGCATGTAGGAAAAACACTGAGACAGAAGATTAATATAGAAAAGGCAAAGAGGGGGATGTAGGCTCCAGGAAATAAAGGCCATACAGTTAAGACATAAAGACGAGTTGGGGATGAATAGATTAATGTAGATGAGAGAAAATGAGAGGACATTATGTATATTAATATATGTTAGCTATTTACCTTCAATTGCAACAGCTCCTCAAGGTCTTGAATCCTCTGTTCTGCTCCTCTTCCCCTCCCACTACCCAATTCCACACTGCCAGCTGGGGACAGAGACCTGGACCGCTGCACAGGTGTACCCTGGGACAGGTAAGCAAAGAAGTACTGGGGTGAGAACCTGAACACACTTCACTTACACACACAGGCACAAACCCATGCAACAATTAACATCTGTAGAAACACTGAGTGAATGCCAATAATGGAATTATCCATGTTCACGCCATTCCCCTCTCACCTTGAGTAAAACATGCACATTGTCTTCTTTGGTACACACACACAAACGAAGGTGCTACCAGAGGAATAAAGCAAGGTGCAGCAGCAGTCTGCAGAAGCTGAAGGGAGGAGGTTCGGTTGTGTGTGTGTGTGTGTGTGTGTGTGTGTGTGTGTGTGTGTGTGTGTGTGTGCGCGCGCGTTTGGAAGCGGGAGTTGCAAGCTGAGAGCGGCAAAGGTTTCTCCCTGTGACTGGCTAATGAGTATGTTCATTTCCATTTACATTGTTTCTTTGACAATAATGATGTCCCATTAGGGGAGACTAAAGGGGCTATAGATTCCAGAATGTGCAGGGCTTCATTACAAGAGGTGGGCAGGGAGGCCGCTCTAATTGCTCTACTAGGGGCCTCCAGGTTACACTTGATAGGACAACTGGAAGAGCCGCCGATTAGGATGGGGAGGGGGTTCTAGCCAGCCTGTTCTGTAGAAATAAATAAAGAAGTGAAGAAGTGCTGGGGCCGCACTGTAGAAAAGCAGTGGGAACAATATGCTAGTGGAATATGAATATGAGAAGATATGAGGCCCCCTGTGGTGCCAGGCAGGGCTGACCAGATGGCAGGCTAAAATATGCAATGCGACTAAACGTACTACAGTCCTTGGGCTGGAGTGGATGAGTACAGGGGGAGGTGGTAGAGGAGTGCGCAGGTTTATAATAGAATGGTTAATCAATAAGCCCCCTCCTTTTTTTCTGATGGCTGTTACAAGCTTTGTTGTGTATTAAAGTTATAAAACTTTAGACTTCAGCTCTGGTTGATTTGGGGACACCTGTGGGTACTGGTAGAAACCGCAATGCATTTTAATAACACAGGTCCCATTCAAAATGATACATGTATCAACAACTGGGGGCAGCAAACATGTCTTGAGGGCCTACTCAGCAGAGCAAGAGCAACACATTTTTGTTTACAGTTAATTTCAAAAAGCTGTTTTTCTGTGAATACCAGACAAGGCACTCAGAGAATGCTAATACTGTCCATTTAAAGGACCAGTGTGGAGGATTTAATGGCTACTGAACACCACCTGAGTCTGTGTTTGACAAACTGGGAATGAAGACAGGCTCTAAAGTATGTAGGAGAAACTACAGTGGCCGCAAAACTAGCAAAAAATGCAAAGCCCTATCTGCAGCTAGTGTTTGGTTTGTCCGTGCTGGGCTGCTGCAGACACATGGCGGTTCAAATTGGTCATGGAAGGCAATCCGGTGTCTATAAATAAAAACAGCTCATTCCATGGTAATTTATATATTTAACTAATGAAAACATACCTATGAAGATCATATTCCATTTCTGCCGCTAATAGAGCCTTTAACTGGAATGAAAAATGCTGGCCAAAAATGTGGTTTGATATTATGAAAATATTAAGTAATTGTAACGAAGGCTGTAACAAATAGTTGGAAGCATATTAGAAGCATAATGATAATTGTTGATAATGTTGACATTCAAATTCTAAATCCAAATGGGCATTACAGCCCTATTAAGAATAATAACAAAAATAACTTGTCACTTGTCTAGTCACAGCATGTTTGTTTTCACATCACCACAGTATGCATATTTGTAAAATCTGCCTGTGACAAAAATTTCTAAGTATGCTAGTGTAATTGGGAATGTGCCCTTGGGCTACAGTTGACTCCAGTGACCTGGTGTGCCAGGTTCTGCTATCATGCCTGCATGGGTGCCAACCATGTGTTCTAACTCAGCCTTAATGACTCTATGCAACTAATTAGCAGATTGATCTGCATATTCCTGATGAGTGGCAGGCCAACTGGCTTAGCTTGTATGTCCAATGGGGAAACAGAGAGGCCAAAAGGGGAATCCAAATCAACTAAAAGCCCTAAACTTAAAAGTAAAGATGACCAACTATAAAGCATGACTTATTGAGGATGGATTTTAAATAGTTTTTTAGGTAGTAGTATATTTTGGGTAGGATTTTCTTTAACAATATTCCAATATTAGTGTTCTTCTGTATGTGAGAACCAGAGGAGATAAACTGCTGTGTGCTTTGTCCACAAGGAGTACAGAGGAAAATGACATGGCGACACTGACTAATGACTGAGATTTGCTGCAGATGTTCTCTCTGGTCCAGTTGGACGCCTGTCTGCCACAGGTTCAGAAGACACATGAATGCCTTCTGTTTGTGTGGGAAGCTCTATGTTGTGACACTGTTGTTAATGTTCCACAAGACAGGCCCGTAAGATAAAAAACAGAACACGAAGCAAAGAAAGACGTGCCCGCTATCTACCTCAGCTCGGCAGCTGGTTGGCGGCCATGGCCTGACCTGTGCATCGCACCCTGTAATGGCTCTGTAAACATGAGAGTGCAATACAGATGGAGGGGAGGAGGGCATACAGTAGGAGGGAAATGAGGAGAGAGGCCCATATCTAAACAGAGTCTGTATGCAAGCAAGACTAAAACTCTTATTTACTGAGGGGTCAGTGTCACTGGCTGTAAAGCAAAGAAGAAACATTTCATGGACTGCCTCCCTCTTCCTTTAACCTCTCCTCCACCCTCTCTCTCTCCATCTCCCGGAGAGAGGGGTCACTGTCATCAATGGGCTTCTTTATGATTGCAGCAGCGTGTCATGTGTGCGTCTGGAGCTCTCAAAGCTGAACTTGTTCAAATTCCTGGGCAAATAGGAATGATGTGCACACACACTGAAGCACAGGATAAGACACAGTCATAGATAGATAGACATACATTGACATGTAAACACATGGCTGCAAACATAAACACAAAGCAAATGTACACCATTGCAAAAATCTATTTAAAAAAGAGCACATAATTTGAAAGGATACATTGCCAAACAACTATAAGAGCAGGTAACCTGAAAACTCAAAGTTGCAGGTAAACAACATGGTGTGGTGCAGTGCCTACAAGAAATCCACTCACAAACGCAATGCCTAAGCGAAAGGTAAGCTGTGAAAACTTTCTGAAAACGTTTGGTTGCCAGGGTAACTGCAGTTCTGAGTGCGCTATCTCACCATAGGAAGTGTTTTCTGGCATGACCACTCACCGACGTTCCACTACTTTCTTCCAGGTGCTCCAATATATACAAGCAGGGCAGTGCTATAGATACTTCACTGAGTTCTCAGAGAACTGGGATTACCCTTTCGAACATCGCACTGTATCTCACTATGGGAGATGTGGCCCATTCCTGAATTGCGTGCTCTGATGCCAATTCAACCCAGGAAGGGTTGAAAACACATATAGGCAATACACAAATACAATGAATCCACACTAAGGAAATAGTGAACCAACAAAGATGCTGTCAAATCAAGGCAATAAAACCAAATAAATGTTTGTGGGGATGCCCAGCTCACAGCAGTACAAATATCACCCACAGAAATGCCCATAAACAGGGCCCATGAGGTTGCCATACCTCTGGTGGAATTAGCTGCTGGCTCCTCAGGCTCCAATCCACAGCTTTCATAAGCCAAACTAATATCATCCACTACCCAGTGTGACAGACTATGGTGAGATAGAGGTTGTCTTCTATCAGAAAAGGCCCAAGAGCTGGTTACTCTCTTCCCCCTTATCATCTCATACGCAATACACAGCCGCTTGCGCACCTAGTCCAGGTTGACCTTACGTGGGTGCAGGGGATGGAAGGGACTTTGAGGCAAGGCCCAATCGACAAGTGACGCTCCAGAAGTCTACCTGGTAAGGTGCTACAGTACTCAGCATCAGCAAGTGATGCCTAGGCATGCTAGGCGCAAAGCACAGCGGATGGGAACACACGCAAAGCACAGAGGATGGGAACACACGCAAAGCACAGAGGATGGGGTTCCTTCCCAGAGATGATAAAACCACAAGTGGCAGAACAATGGCAGGATGCAACGTCCTATACCTTGCCATTATCAGCTATACCCTGAGAGGATACGGTGGTAGACAGAGTAGCTAATGAAAAACCTTGACGGCTAACAGTAGCTATGAACACACAAGCTCACCTTGCAGTGCTAGCCTGTCTGTTAAAGCTGCGCAGAAGGCTCATTTCAACAGCTTTTGACCTTGCCAATTTATATAATTGTGTAAATGTAATGTAATGAAACATATCAGGTTTATGGTTTCTTTGGAGCACCATCATATTTGGATATTAAGCAGCCAACAGTGACAACTACTCAAAATGTTCAGTTTTTTAATGACAGTAAGGTTTAACTTAAAGGTTTGATTGTAGACATGATGGTTACTTTAAGTTTTACAAAACGTTTTGTGGGGAGAGAGGGTCAAATACTGGCTGAAGACAAGAACATGCCACTGTGCCACATGACTGGTGGCTGGTTGACTAAAGAATGTCCAACCACTCCTTCTGTAGAGACAGGGAATTAACAGGGAAAAACTACTCTGTGAAATATGAAATAATGCCTTATATGGGATTCATGAGCCCAAGTAGTGAGCGGGAGGAAGGCTAAGAGCCATCTATATATACACATGCCCGGCAGAACCTGCTAACATTCGCGGCTCCACAGTCAACAAAGTTAACCCAGCCTCAGGGTCAACAAAGTACAGTCGACGAGCACCCTTTCCTGGTGAAGCCGAGCCACCAGACCTAACAACTTTTTTGGGGGACCCCTGAGATAGATTAGTTTAGACTGTCTTTTAAAAAAGACAAGATGCACACAATGTGTTAGACACACAAATTTAAACATTTATAAATCTGATTATGATTCATGTTCCTTATTCAGCATAAAAATGTATCAAAAATGTATTGTGTGAAAAATGCATTATAGTCCGACTCTAATTTTAAGTATCGGCACTAGGATCAAAATTGGCACATTTCTTAATAATTAATAGTAGGTGCATAACCACAGACAGATTGTCTGTGTGTGTCTGTTTGTGTGTGAGAGAGTGTGAGTGTGTGTGTTTGTGTCCTAGGGCAAACATAGCAGAGCCCCCAGAACAGGGAAGTACATCAAATGATGTCAATACTGTTTATTTATTTTGTACAAAATAATTACATTACATGTATAAACTGCCAGAACAGAAGCACTTCCACTGAAACTATAATGAGGACAGCTGTATAAATCAAACAATGTGTCTTCAGGCCAGCTTTAGAGTGAGTGAGGCCATCTAGAAACATGTCCTGCCAAACTTATGAGTGGAATACTGAGAAGATCAAAAGCTTCTTTCTTGTTCATAATGTACTGCTGAAGCGGTAAATTAGCCAGTGCCTGAGCCCAAGGCATGCGTGAAACCAGCAGCACACGTCGGCCTGGTCACAGTAGGAGGGGCATCTGTGTGTGTGTGTGTGTGTGTGTGTGTGTGTGTCTGTGTTGGGGAGTTCAGGACAAAGGTTGGCAGAGGCAGGGTCTGATAAATCACATGATTCTCAACAGACCATTTCCTTCATATCCCTTCTCTATGGCTTTGATCTAATCTGAGAGAAGTGGTAACGGATAAGTGTGGGCAGGTTAGCTGCTCACCCACATGCTGTCTTTGTCATAATTGGCAGTAGTGTGTTCTAACCTACCTGCTGTCTTCTAACAGAAATGGTGGATCTACGTTGAAGGGTCTTATCCTCTGGCCTGGGATCTGAGCCTCGGGTGGAGGCCCAGTCAGAATCAGGGATAGACCTCTGAGCTGCAGCATCAACCTGCTCTGACACCACCGCCTGTAAGAAAAGAGACACAATGCAGATGTGTTTGTGTTTGTGGTTGAGAAACGAGAAAAAGAGAGCAAGCCAGACCTATGTGGTGCAGAGAAAGTGACACAACAAATTGTGAATCCAAAGTTATGGGGACCTGGCTTGCTGGGGAGTAGTGCTTGAAATATGCTTCAAACTTATCAGACTTCATAGTAATTTGACACAGTATGTTCAACGTGTCAGATTCAACAGGTCGATGTTCTCATGTAGGTAGAAGTAATGATCTGTGATATATCATAATGCCTTGAAAATATTTTTTCTGGTGCTTACTGCATGCTTGTGCCAGCCTAACCAAACCAGGTTATAAACAAAGGCGTTAACATTAAGCTGACAGGTTCCTACTCAATATTCACAGTTTTTATTGGCTGTTTACCATTATTAGAAAACCAAAAACATAAAACAAACAAAAAGAGAAACCAAACAGCCATTCAGTCACTTTCTGTGTCGGAATTAGTCTTTGAAACATATCAAAATGGTAAATTAAGCAGTTAATATCATTACCAAAATTTAATTAACAGCAGTTGTCAAAATCAATTCAGAGTTTTAAGTTCAATAGACTAACCCTTGCATACTGGATGTCCGCATGATATTTTCATAATGTTGGAGTCAACAACCACATGCCATGTGGCAGTGGGACAGCTATCTACCACCTCCAGAATTGTGGTGAGTGTGCTACCATGGCCCATCTATTTATCAGTGTCTATTAGCCAGTGTCGTAGCAGCATCTGCACACCTCAGCACACAGCAGGGACTACCAAAACAAACTAAAGGGGACAAGGATAAAGCAGACAGCCCACCAACAGAGGAGCAGGTTGTGATGCACACACACATCCACGTATGAATACACTCACACATGTACATTCCCATAATGCAACCGCTCAAGTACTGATTTTATTATGTCCTTGTCACTTAAAAGTGACATTCTATCTTCACACTTTTGCTGCTTCTGTTATGAACAGTTAAGCCCTTTATGAATGTCTGCGTGTACAGAAAGGGTGGCTTTGAAAGACAGGATGCATTCTGTTTTAGAGACACATTCACTCTAGAGTCAAAGGGCATATACAGTATATACACTTTGTATACGATTAGTTAATGCACGAGTCCTTTATCTTGAAGTTAACACTCCACCACCTTACTGCATATATTCTCACCTTTCTTCTCTTAAATCCTTAATAAAAAAGTGTGAAACACAAAAAAAATCATCACCTGCTGCTTTCAACAACACTTCTACTCAACACATCAAATCAATGCCTTTAGAAAAACAGAGGCCTTCACAACTCTGTTGTACAAGGAGGCCCGATACTGAAGAAAACCGCACAGGATGTCATCACCTTTTTTCCAATGAGTCCTGATTGCATTATCAGAAACCTGGCATCTGGGCGTGACCTTGTTAACTGCCAGGGTAATCAACTTTAACCAAAGGGGAGGAGAGGGGATGATAAATTATTAGTGAGGAAGATTTTGTTCATGTTTTATTAAATTGGCCTGTCAAAGGGGGTTGGTCAAATTATCTGGGGCCTCGTTTATTGGAGGCCGGCCATATTGGCGCATCTGTTACAATTATTTATAATTTCTAGGCAGTCAGGAGGACGGACTTGGTTTTTCGGCATCAGCTACATAAAGCAATTTAGAAATTAACTGATGTGGGAGTGTCTGAGGTTTTTTCCCTCTCACAATCTCTCTCATCCCCATCCTGATTTTTTAATCCAGCAAAAAACAGAACACTGTGAGACAGTAAAGGAGCAAAGATGTAAAAGGGAAAAAATAAACATATTACAACATCTTATTGTAAGCAATAGACAGGGAGAGAGCATGAGATTGAAAGAGAAGAAGCGAGCATGCAGGTGCAGTGAAAAAGAGAGCAAGAGATGGGGGGGGGGGCTGAGGGAGGGATGGGGGAAAAAAGAGAAAAGCCGGTCTTGGTAATTACTGAACACGATTAGGTTCTTGGGGGAACTTGTCTGGCACTGGCAGCCCTCGCTGGTGAGGATGCGGCAGGCAGGACCATATGGAGGGAGGCTTGTGATTGTGCTCCCTGAAGCTCGTGACCCGTCTGCTGCCGAGCCCTTGAGCTGAATGTGAAATGAGACTTGCCAGGCCTAATGTTCTACACATGCACCATTTATGCCACAAAACAAATCTGATCACTGTTAATTATGTAGCAGCTATAATCAGGAGGGGCCCCGCCACACACACACACACACACAGACACACACAGACACACACAGACACACACAGACACACACACAGACACAGACACAGACACACACACAGACACACACACAGACACACACACAGCACACACACACACACACACACACACATCTGTGGAGGGACAGAATTTGTGAAAGTGATTGGATAGGCTTCAGAAGTCAGGGCTAGAAGGTGCATGCCCCCCCACCAGGCCAGGTGCACTTTGTATTCAACATGGTGATTCTTCAAAGAATGCGTGTGTGCATATATGCATGAGCGTGTGTTAACTGGTAGTGCAGCAAGGAGGGACTTTAATAGAAGGACAGCAGATAGTGAGTAGGATGTGGGGTGTGTGTATGTTTTTGTGTGCGTATACACAGCCCTGAGTCCTCCCACACAGTCTGTTTGACCTGAGTGTATGTGCTTGAACGAGTGAGTGTACGTATCTGCAGCGGCACATGGCTGTGCTTCATTAATGAGGCGAGCTGTGCTACACAGAGGTTCTCATCTAATGAGAGCAGTTGAGCTGGTAAAACACACCACTGGAGTCCATGTCATTAGTATGTCTCTGGCCCTGGACATGGCCCAGCTCCAAACACGTGCTCATACACAAACTCATGTTCACAACTATTGTGAACAACTAGCTATTTACTGATAACACACTCGTCATACACAAGATAAGTGGTTGACAAAAATGCATTATACCTCATAAAATGTTTCAGATTCAGAAAGCATAATTTGAATGTTTAACGGTTGCACGTTTTTCATATGGGAAGGATGACTGATATATCTGAAGAGAAGAGTCATATGTAAATACAAGCAGCAGTTTGCACTACATTTTTAACATACACTCTCTTGAGGTCTTGAGTTAAGCTAAAGGATGGGCAGTCAAGATGGGGAAAAATCTGAAGAGCAGCCAAAGTCCAAAGAACACCCACCTGAAAGACCATTCAAAGATATCTAAGCTTTCCATCACATTCTCCTGAACATCAGCAGAGAAAATCACAAGTATGCTCTATTCTTATACTGGTCTAAGGTGCACTAAAAGGTCATAGACCCTAAAGATCTGAGTTATATACAGTACATAAAAATACACAAAATAACCCTCTGGCTGACTCCATTCTGTTTGTTGCGCTCTTGGTTGAAAAATTAATTTCCATGGATCTTTGTAGCATTATAGTTTCATCGTTTCCACTTGATAGTTGCTATTAATGATGATGATGATCAAAAGAAACGCCTCACCTAAGCAAAACGTGACCCGGCCGGCAAGGAGGTGGGTGTATTCATGCGCATGTGTGTGTAACTAGCACTTTAATTATACATCTAAAAGCATTTAGATTGGCTAACATAAATAACAAGCCAGAAGCAGATGTTAAACACCATCTCAACAAGCTAAGGGAGATGCACCATGTGGGCTTCTTTCAATTTATAAAAAAAAAAAAAGGAGGAAAAAAGCCTGGCCACCTTGGGAAAAGTTGCTTCGATGCTTAAGGTTCAGTCAATAAAAACCCCTACGAGGGACGTAAACGTGTTAACAACATTTTGTTTTTATCATAGGCTAAAACTGCGTAAAACTGTGAGTAAAACATTTTCTTGAAAGTGAGATGATGCAGGTGCACGATTCTTCTATTCTTTAAGGGAAGCTGTGGTAAGTTTGGTGACTCGGCCATTATAAGAGGTCAAATCTATGAGAATTTGTGTACTTAATAGTGTGAAAACATGCCTTTTTCACAGAATGGATTGTGGACGGATTGGAGCAAAGGCAAATATGTTATTCATAACATTACGATGGCTCTGATCCATTCAAGACTCCCAGTGTGAGAGTGAGCCAGCATGCACAATACAGTACCCTAAAACTGAAGCAGCTAAACGGAATTTGACCTCTGTGGAAAAGGCCTATTGTACATTAAAAAAGTTTCAATAAATACTTAAAAGACACAGGGGCTTCTCTTATTTTTATATGAAACTTTTCTGGAGAACATGAACATGCTTAATTTTCCTTTTCCAATGCTGATGAGAGAATAACCAGTACTTTGACTGACTGCCCACACAATTAACAACTTACCACTCATTTACAGTGGTGAAGGCTCCAGAAAGCCTGAGGTCTGCTATGGATTCTAATGTTGGTCTTTAATCACCGCTCTGACAATAGCCAAACACTACTATAAATACAATGCTGCAGTTAGGGAGATAGTTGTAAATGATTAAATGTTCACTCTAGCTAGTTTTTTGTCCACTAATGAGGGCTCTTCCCTGCTTCTAGACTGTGATGGTGACCACCCAACCTGGCAACCCAAACCTCCCCAACCTGGCAGTTTATTCAGAACGCATCTCATTGTGCGTGGGGGTCACCCAGGTGCCTGATGAGCAGCCAGGCCCTACAGCTAAAAGATCAGGGCATGAGGCCATTTCCAGTCTGACACTATGGAGACATTTCACTGTTGTAAGTACACACACACACACACACACACACACACACACACACACACACACACACACACACACACACACACACACACACACACACACACACACACACACACACACACACACACACACACACACACACACACACACACACACACACACACACACACACACACACAAATACAGAACACCTCAAAAGGTAGTGCTGCAACAATTAGCAATTTGTTGACTGACCAACTACACTTTTGATGTTTGATTAATCCTTTAAGTTAATTATAAAACAAAAACACCAAACACTCTTTGGTTCAAGATTCTCTAATATAACAATTTGCCTCTTTTCTTTTTTAATGACTTCAAACTGAATATTTTTGACATCTAAAGAGTTTTCCAGTATTTTTCTTGCATTTCTTTTACACTAAATGAAGAATAATAAAGACCGTTAACAGGGACGCCCTTAGAGCTGTTGCATCATGTACCAAGGCTGAGTCTCCCCATTTTCCTGTCACTATCCATTCAACACCACAAAGAGAAAAAAAAAATTATATATATATAAAACGTCAACAGATTTATCATATCATAAAAATTATTGTTACTTTAGAACTAGGTAAAAGACTAATGTTTGTTCTATGTGGAGCAGAAACTTTATAAATTTAAACAAAAGAAAAGCTACATTCATTTTTTAACCTATTGCTGACCCCACAGGTTAATTGATACAGGAGGTAAGTGTATCCAAAAAACATCGCCTGGCTCATATCAACTGAAAGGCAAGGCGGAACTGTTTGGTTACTCTAGACATTGTTCGTCTTTAAGCCTTTGTAAAGTCTTGTTATGCTTCCTGTAAAGAGTTAACTTGACATAAGACAGGAGAGAACAGACAGTCAATCTTGGTGCACAGCATGGAAGTATAACACACAATGGGTGTTATTCCTCTCACCCACCCTCCTCCTTTATCCCCGCTCCCCCCCACAAAACCACTGCGGGAGGGGTGTTCAAAGCCGTCGCTCTGGTCCATATTCAAATGAGCGCTGCGTCTCCCCTCCGTGCTCCCGTTGCGATCAGCACTTTGATCACCTCCAATGGTAACTTCCACCAAAACATTTAAAATTAAAATCAAATCTGCCTTAACAACCTGAGCATTAGAATTTAACAGGTGTTCGGGAGGAAGTTGTTACAGAATTTGCGATTATGTGCTCGGATACACACACCTTCAGTCAAACATGCGCCTACGCAGACACACGAGTACACACAAACGCACAACCTGTCAGTGAAATTACAGAGTGGGAAACAGAAAGCCCTCCTGACTGAGTGCTATACCTTGGGATACCTGATCTGTTCACTTTGATGTCAGTAGGTAAGAAAGTTAAAGAAACAAATCAGCCAGACAGCAGCTACATGTGTTCAGTAAACAAAAGTTAATATTAATTCTTAGCATAGGTTATATACAAGGTATTTTTGTAATTACATCTCAGCCTTCGGAATGTGTGATCAGTTTTTTCATTCTGACCCGAACGGGAAGAGATATAGGGTAGAGTGCATGTTCTGTGTGATAAAACAAATATACTATACATATGTATATACACTCACATACATGAATGCATGCATATATGCATGCATTCATGCCCACTCTATACACACACACTCACACACACACACACACACACATATAGACACACACATACACACAGCACTAACTGCATCTTCTCTAAATGTAGTATTAATTACTGGGGGAACACTGCAGTACTGTATTTAATTACTGACTAAATGATCCATTTATATTTCACCGCTGGTTAAATTAACAGGGTTAAGTGAGACAGGGCGATTGTAACTCACTTAACATTTGAGCTGATATCTTTTAACTTCCACAGTCTAGGGGCAGCGCTGTCAGAAAATATCAACCAATCAAATTAAACAATTACAGTCTGCGGAGGCATAGAAATTACTCAACTGCTGCAAAAATATTATCTTCTGCAGCTATATCAGCCATATTGAGTTGTTTTATCTGCCATAGGATGTAGTTTAAACTGAAGCAAAAGTCAAAGAGAGACTCATTATAACAACAAGTGCAGTGCCCTACAATGCTGTTGGAATGAGGCTGTGTGGCTGAGGGGTACAAGATATAGATACCTGTTATTATTCTTAACCAGGTCTTTGACACTGTGTGGTCTAAGAAACACCTATCACCATATCATTAGGAGTTGTTAAAGGACACTTAAAATGTGGCTGCAGCATTAACATTATACTAGAGCCTCTATTGCCTTGGGGTGACAGTTCAAAGGTAGCGAGCTAAAGCCAAACCCCTGCTGACTGACAGATGTAGAACTGTAACATCATCTTCAAGAACGTTAGTGGGCTCCAATTAAATCACCTCTCCCCACCTCTTATATATCTTTGCTATCTGACCGGAGCGTGTTAAAAGGACTTCCAGGAACTTGGGTGGGAGGATAGAAAGAAGATAGATAAAAGAAGTAAGTCAGAGAGTGCAATGCATGCCCAGGACAGAGCTAGAGAACATCAGATAGCTGACATGAAAGACACAGGTGCTAAGAGAAATGGATAGATCAAGGATGAAGTAGAGCGATATTAAGAGAGTGATTCTCAGTTAAAGAGCAGCACCGCAGGCCATGCTGGGGCTTGCCAGTTATTATTGTGCCTACTAATCAACCTACACATTGCTGTATAGAAACAAGACAGATGATATGAGAGATATATCATAAAATAATTAAATATTTACTTATTGTGTAAGAAAAGCATAGATACATTATGCAGGGAATCATAGGCATATATATTTTACTGTCTACACCCACATACATGCTTATTAAAGTTCAACAACTTCTGCAGCAGAGAAGACATCCTATGAAAACACTTCTTAGAATCTTAGAGTTGCAATGCACTTGATAAACTCTGAAAAGAGATGTGGAGGGAGATGATGAAGAATGAGAATAGTGATTACCTTAAAGTTGGTTTGTTTGTGTGGTGAGGGGTAAGGGGCTGCGTGCTGAGCCTGTTCTTGCTGCAGTTGTTGCTGCAGTTGCATTTGCTCCTGCTGCTGCTGTTGTTGCTGGGCCTGAAGCTGCAGGATGTGTTGGTCTTTCTGAGCCAGCAGGCTGCTGAGCTCCTGGTGACTGTGACGGAGGTTGGCCTCACTACAAGTTAGGGCCTGGTAGCACTGGCTCAACTCCTTGTACAGCTGTTGACAAACACAGATGGGATAAATGTTGGAAAAGCAGGGGGAGGGTAGCAGGGGAGGTGGAAAGAGGTAAGAGAATGGGTCAACCAGAGATGGGATATAAAATGGAGAAAGAGGAGACAAAACCACTCATGAGATTGGGTGACAGAGACAGACGTATGTTTTCATATGGGGATGTTTTCTTTTTTCCATAAGACATACGCTAAGATCATCATAGTAAGGATGAAAAGAAAAAAACAAAGTCTAAAAAGACAACAAAAAGAAGATTGTATGAAATGAGACCAATGGTCCTCAAAGTTTATGTTTTATGACTAATAATTGCCTGAAATCTCTCCCTATCCCCCCTCCCTGTGTGTGTCACTGTGTCTGGCACAGTGGTACAGTCATAAGAGAGAGGGATGGTAGGTTGAGAACCCATTCACAGTAACAGGATATGGTGAGAAAAGTCCATCCTTACTGGCACTAGTCAAATAATTGTAGGTTACAGCTAGCTTGGAAATAAATCACCACAGTGAGTGAGGCTTGAGTGGAGTGCAACAAAGTGGCAATAATAATGAGTTTGAGGTTTGGCATGCATGTACCCTCTGATAGGAGGTGGTGTCAGCAGTATGTGCCTCTTCTTGGTTCCTCAAGACTTTCTGTGTGTCTAGGTTGAGTCCTTCCAGTTGCTTGATCAGATGGTTCTGCTCTGCTGCATGTTCTGTACTCTGTTTGTACAGGGTCTGCACTTCTGCATACTCACGACTACACACAAACATACACACACACAGACACACAACACGTTATACAAAGTCATACTGAACATGAACTTTGGCTGTTCATGGAAAAATGTTGCATATATACACAATAGAGGAGTACTGTCATTCTTTTCTCCTTTAATACACTGAAATTACATGTCCATATTTTTGGATTTATTTCAAGCTTATAAATATAGAGAAATCCATAGTGGCTGTTTGGCTGAGCTCCAGGTTCCAAGTTCCAGTCACATCATCTGCTGAGTATCTTGTTTTGACTTGTGTTCGACTGCATTAAATTCAACCTAAATTCAACCCTTGTGAAAACCCAATGTACTCACAATTCAAGGAGGTAGGGGAACTTAAGCGGGGTTTTTTAGGTTATTAATTACAACATCACGGCAGGAGATCCAAACTTACATCTCAGCCCAGTCCATTTCCAACTTGATGCTCTATTTACGTAGGGTGCCATTATCTGTTACACGTTCTCATTACAATGTCGAAAGACTTGCATCTTATTAGCAACATGACATCCAAATCTTTTTCACTCATGCACACTGAAAACTGTAGTACTGCATTCCCAACTGTTGAAAAAAATATGCATTCAAGCACTTAAAACTAATAATAATAATATAAAAACAAAACTTTAGCCTAGTCCGCTATTGAAATATAAAGATACTATAGAGGCTTAAATAATATTAGAACATTGACAAAATTTCATAACATAAACATTTTACAAAATAAACATATGTACATAAGTAGCTCTTACAAAATCATATTTAAAATGGGTGTGAGGAGGTCTGACAACTTACTTAAATTCAGCATGTTGAATTATTGCTTTTCTTAGATTTAATAATTAAAATAAAAGTGTAAAGTGAAAAATGTATTTTAAAAAAGTGTAAAATTTGATTGAATTTGAATTATTCCCAACTCTAATAATCACAATACTGAAAAATAAACTGCAATATTATGGTGAACCAAGGACAATGATAAGTTTGTTTGATCTTTCTTTAGTTAACAATGTCTAAATTTGATTCATCATAACAATGTTTAAATCAACGTTTATTTTGAAATTTGTTTTGTGACTTATGAAATCACCAGAAAGTGCCCCTCTAACTTATAAGGACATCTTTAATCACCTAGCTAAAACCTTAAGAATGGTCTCCATCCCCGGTGTGACTGACACATAAGAGTGCATCTGGCATTAAAACAGAAAAGTAGTTAAAAAAGGTTGAGATTACCACTAAGACTCCTACGGTTCTCACAGTTTTTATCATATCGACTAAAGCTTAGCCAAAGCCTGCCCCGTTTCCCTTTTCTCCCTCTCTTAAAGCACATCCACTATGCAGGGCTTATCAAATGGCTTTAGGTGAGCAGAGTAGAAGAAACCTGTGTCACCCACAAGATTCACGGCATAGAGAGCGATATACTAACTGCTGCAAACACATGTGCGGGGATATACACGCATCTGCCTGGACAGGACAGATGCATACCTCCTTTAACTGATGAAATTACCCTAAAATATCACTTTGTTCACCTGGTTGTTACAGACACTGGGCTACGCTTAAGTTGGTAGGGCTCACCGAAGTTGACTGAGTTGCCCCTCTTTTGCTGCCACCTCCCTTTCTTTGGAAGAAAGTTGGACTGCTAGACTGCTACTGTGGCTCTGCACAGTAGACAACTCTTGCCAGGCCTTGTGTAGCTCCTCCTCCAGCTCCTGGTGTACAAGAGTAACAACACATTTGAAGCACGTTCAGGAAAATGAAGGAACAATCTGATATTTGAGAGGAGATAAATAGATAAATTACACCTGAAATCACTGAAAAGCAGTAACGGCACTGATGATGATCTACAAGGGTCAAAATACTGCTTTTCATGTGGTTTTTGCCCTTAAATATAAAACAAAGTATGTATCGATAACACTTTTATGTCAGCTTTTTTTTAAAAATCGCATTCTGTTTCATGTGGGGACATTTCTTCACTGTGTAAGCAGTATTTACATGACCCAGTCCTTAATCCACTGCAACCTACTACACACATGTTGCACTGGAATCAGAATGTACTCTTCAGTTTTAATCCATTCAGCTGTACCATACTGGTTGTGCAACAGCTCACACAACTTACAGCATATTTTTAGGCTTCAAATTGACTTTGTTCAAACTTAGACATGTAACTACATTGTGCATTTGGCTGTAAGCACTATCAAAACAGTTCTGAGTGTACAGCAGCACTGTGGCTGAACAGATCCAATGGAAGCACTGACACAGAACTCCAGCTGCTGCTATTGTGCTGCTTTCACTGTGCTGCAGGTGTAGACAAGGTGTTAGTGACAGCTTTTCTTTAATAACAAGAAACCAGTTGAGAAAGGCAGATTGCATGACAGCAAACACACAAAGGTCTCCAAACCTTGACAGTTTAGATGTACTTAAAAACAGTGTTTCACTGGGCCAGAATTAACCATATGCAAAATTAATGAATTAATAAAAAAAATTATTTAATTTAATTAGATTAGAGTGTTGTTGTGTGCAGGTACTAAGTGTTTAAATAAGTGACCATAATACAGAGGATCGGTAAACTTGTATCAGCTTTAGGGCTAATTGTCAGGTGTTCCTATCATTTTGTCCCCACCCTGTTTAGTTCTGTTTAGAATAACTACACAGTAGGTGTCTGTTATCTACGTCTGGACCAGATTAAATTATAAAATTCTGGACAAATCTTTGCCATGTCAAACAAATTGGCATGATGTATCCACCGTACACCCAATATTCTCCATCTCCATCTTTCAAATCAATGTATGATACAAAAAATGAGGAACAGGTGGAGTGTCTTAGGCTGTGATGGATGTGCATAGACTAGTTGCTGGGCTTCATCCTGTCCAAGTGTAATTACTCTGCAGCCCTGACTTATTCAAGACTGTCTGTCTGACTCCATTTGACTAGCGTAGCAATATGTTTCATAACGATTAGTCTATAAGGAAGGGAAAGAATGTGAGGTTCTTCTGTCCTGAGACTCTAGTATTGGCAGGCAGCTGATTTCTGTAAGGGGGTGGCAAGAGGCGGCAGGTTGAAATGTGATTGGACACTCTTCAAGGACTTTGATTATGATTTAATTTATTAAATGTTTAAACAGCAACACTGCTGTCACCGTCTAATCACTATATTTCTTATGTTAACAGAGATGGGAAGTATTGATTCATAATGACGACTGGGCCAGATTCTGAGAATTACCAGCTTGTATTTGGGGAGAATGAATGACAAAAAACTCACAAAAACTACAAACTCTTGCAAACACACATGCAAATGACTTCACAAATGTTCCTTTCAGTTGTGGCTAGCTCAATTCACTTTTTACCCAAACCAAGCAAGATCTGTCTCCCCCATGTTAAATAATATTTTTTCCTTCCTTTGAATATGGTCCCTGCATATTTAAATTATGTGCTTTACTACAAAGATCTTTTTATATTCACATGCTGCTGAGGAAAGGATATGAGGGATCAGAGAGTTCAAGGTGTGCAGAAGAAAGAGAAACCTACAAGACGGGGCCCTTCCGCTACAACTTTGTCTGTGTGTGTGTGTGTGTGTGTGTGTGTGTGTGTGTGTGTGTGTGTGTGTGTGTGTGTGTGTGTGTGTGTGTGTGTGTCTGAATGGACTTGTCCCTGTGTTCATACCTTGACTCTGGCCTGGGCAGCATCCCTCTGGTCTCGTTGGCTGTTGGCCTGCCTCTCTTTCTCCTCTAGGTCAGCTCGCAGGGCGGCGCAGCGGGAAGTTAATCCCTCTTTCTCCTCCTCTAGAGCCTGCACCACCTGCCGCTCCTCCTCCTCTTTCCTCCTACACTCTGTCTTCATTTCCTGGATAACAGAGGTGTGTGTGCAAGGAGGAGAGAAGGGGGGTCGTGAGGGCCAAATAAACAACGGTGACGGAAGGAAAAGGAAAGGAAAAGAAAAGAAAAAGTAGGGATTCAAACTGAGAAAATGAAAAAAGAAAGCTTGAGAAATACAAAAAGAGAAGCAACCCATGGGGTTGAGGCTGAGATGAATATGTTAACAGTGGACCGGCTTTGCTGCGGGAGCCCCCTGCATGGGCCGCTGATTGGCCAAGGTCACCTGTGCTGTATGACTGGGCCCACGCGGCCAGATGTTGACTGGTGTGAGCCGTACCGTGCCGCAAGAGCTGGGCTCACGCAGGTATAGGGGCCAGTCTGTCGGCTTTAATGACAGGCTCCTAATGAGAATGCTGCTTGCTGCAAGACCCATTAGACTCAACCTAGGTCTCCTTTGATGCTGTCCCCCACAATTTCTCGCCATGAGACCTCACCAAGACTGTGTAAGGACCATTCCTTTATCAATTAATCATAGCCGGGTCCCATCTAAGCATAATTAGGGAGAAGCCACACCATCACATGCACACTTTTCATTTCCCCCACTGAAGCAGTCATTAAGTATTTATCTGCAAGTTAACAACCTGCTTTTCTTTCTCTCCATCTTTTTCTCTGTTAAGTATTCTCTGTTGTCAGTAGCAAAGAAGAAAGCTAAAAGCAAGAAAGGGTGAAACAGAGCGAGGGTGAAAAGCGAGATGAGAAGACACAAGACATAGAGACATAGGGATTGTGTTCTAGAGGGTCGAGCAATCCTCTTTCTCTTCTAAATGATTCAAACGCCCGTGGCTATAGCCACAGGGGACTTGTCGTGTTCAGTGCCACACAAAAAAGAGACTTTTTGACTCTGAGGCCCAGACTGCCACAGAAAATTTGTTCCACCAACCTTAAGTTCATGGCTCTTATTGACCAGTTGTTCACGCAGAGCTGTCAGCTCCTTCTTCATTACGGCATTCTCCTCGTCCGCTGTCGTCCTCCTCAGTACCAAGTTGTTAATCTCCTGCTGCTGCCCTGTCACTTTCTGTGGCAGACAGCGAGACAGAAAAAAAGACAGAGAGCGACAGATAGAGGGAAAGAAAGAGAGCCATAGGTTACATTATGCATTTAAGTTTTGGAAAAGTCCAATCAAAAATAGGGTCTAGATCATGTCCTCATCAGGGTCTGAATAACATAAAACCAATAAGTAAATTTACCAGGCATTAAAGCAGATTACTATATCTGTAAATGTTAAATGGAAAAAAGGTCTAAAATATATATTAAATATTTAAATGATTACTTATTACATTATTTTCCCAATTATTAATTTGATCTATAAGACATCAACAATTTAAATGCCCATGGCAATTTCCTTGAGCACTAGGTGACATCGGTAAATGTCTTGTTTATAAAAAAAATAATAATACAATTCATATCTAAACTCATATTCGACATATTTAGTTTACAATAATGTTCAGACAGAGAAAAGCAGCAAATTCTCACATTTCATATTTGAATCAGGAATCAAATGTTTTGGCATTTTTGAGTTAGAAATTATTAAAACCACTAATTGTTGCAGCTCTAAACAGAAAGCAACCACACACACTCGACTATCAAGACCTAACTAATACTAATGGGTAATGATCAATTTAATGATTCACCAAACCAGAGGTCAGCAGAAATGGTACAATGATTTTAATGACCACCCACTTTTGATGCTGGTATACATTTACTTCATGTTTTTTGGCAGCCCTTGTGGCCTTAGTAGGAGGAGGCTGGCCTCTTAACACTGCATCAGCTGGGGTTTGGCATTGGCTGGTAATCCACAGCCTTCAATGGCTACACCCTCCTCTCAAATAACACTGTGCTCTGGGATGCAATTAATTGCCATGTTGAGGGAAAATCGCTCAGATATATCCAGATAGTGGATTTAGCGTTCCTCACTACTCCTAGCTCGCCGTGCTAAGAACAGAGGGGCTTTAATAGAGATTTATACAGGAGAGCAGAAAATAAATTCAAACGTTGATAATGAGGTAGGCAAGAACAATTTGAACCCCAGTAGTGCTCAATTGATAGACAAGGAAAAAAAGGGGGGTTCCGCCAAGTTAAGAGGTCTAGGACAGAAAGATTAGCATTTCAGAATTCCCAGTACAGTTCAAAAATGAAAGCTAATTATGTTAAAAAAAATGGAAAGGAGTAGTGAGGGGAAATATAGAAAAAGAGATGGAATTAAAAAAAAAACAAGAATAGGAAGGAAAAAAACATTATGAAAGTTGGAGAGTGGAGATACTAAAAGGAGTGTAAGATCCCGTGTGGACTCAGTGGACCATTACATCTCCACATAAAAAGAAGAAAAACCAATTAATCACTATTTAGGTATGTATGGCTCAAGACTGTGGATGAGATGATGACCGTCAGAGGGCCGGATGACACAGAGCTCAGTGCTCTTAATGAGATTCTCAAATAGCCTGCAAGTTTCATTACAGACAGTTTAAAGAGGAGAAAGAAGACACTTTCTAAACACACAGAGAAGAAAAGCAAGTATGAAGTATGAAAATGGAAGAATTCATTAACAACCTTTGATTGGCTTTTCTGTGAAAGACAAATTGGAATTCATCAGATCAGCTGATGAGACATAAATAGGTTTACATTTTTACACATTCTTAGAAACTAATTTGGATTATGAATAACTAAGTAATCAATTAATCACTCAATTCTAACAGCTCTTAAAAGGTCCAGTGTGTAACATTTAGGAGGATCAACTGGCAGAAATAATTATGTTTTCATTGGTGTATCATCACTTGAAGATAAGAATCATTATGTTTTTGTTACCTTAGAATGAGCCTTTTATATCTACAAATGGACTGCTTCCATGGAGTCCACCCTGTTGTCATGTTTCTACAGTAGTCCAGAATGGACAAATCAGGGCCGTTAGGGGGTTTCACATGTTTCACAGCCACTGTAGTTTGTGCTTTGTGCTTAGAAGGGGAGGGTGAAATGAGGGCGTTGCAGTTAGAAACTGCACCACTAGATGCCACTAAACTATACACAACAGGACCCTTTACTCTAGTAACCCCGTAGTATACTATGGCCTTTAGCTAGTAAGCCTACTTGAATTCTTGAATTTCCCTCTGGATAAATAATCTATCTGTCTATCTATCTATCTGTCTATCTATCTGTCTGTCTGTCTGTCTGTCTGTCTGTCGGTCTGTCTGTCTGTCTGTCTGTCTGTCTGTCTGTCTGTCTGTCTGTCTGTCTGTCTGTCTGTCTGTCTGTCTGTCTGTCTGTCTGTCTTTCTTTAGTGGACCCTCTAATCTAGATCTGACATCAATGTACAAAAAGTATATTATTTCTAAAGTGGCATTTACAGTATATTATTGCCATAGTGGCTCAAAGCTTGGTGTATTATGAATTTACAGTGACATTAATGCAACTGCAACACAGTAGGTACAGTAGAAATATTGCCATTCTAACATATTCATCAGCGAGTGTCTCACACTCTCTGGATCAGAGTTAAGATGGCTGAGGAGGGTATAATGTAAAAAAACACCAGCAAGCTGATGACTCCATTACAGACAGTCTCATTAGGAATGAGCACGATTCTGGGTGAGGGACGCTAATGAAGGAGACTGACAGATGCTTCAGTGAAGGGATGATGATTTGGAGTAAATTACATTAGTGATGTCATTATCGTTAGACATCATACCATCAAGAAATATTACTCAAGGGGCAGTGCAAAAGAGAGCAGGTAAGAGACAGAAAGACCTGGAAGTGTTCAGTTAAAAATACACATAACTTCTGTTGGTTATGAACATTCATAATACTATTATTTATTATTTTTAAATAAGTTTCATTTGACATTTAGGAATACACATTGTTTGTAATGATAACCTAGAAAGGCAAAAGAAAAAAATCTATATTAAATAAAACTGTTTCAGTGAAAGACAAAAAAGCAAGAAAAGATTTTAAAGAAATGCTCGTAATTAAAATCTCAGATAAGCAAGTTTAGCCTAGAGATGTAGTGTGTGTTCGTTTGAGAAATTAATGAGAAATGCCCTCCTTTAGGACCTTTGGCCAAGGCATTTAACTTTCAGTTGCTCCACTGGAGCTGATCATAGGCAAACAGCAAAATATCTGTAAATATGGTCAGTTTATAAAGGACCTTTTTATAAAAAAGCAGATTTAGCTACATTTACTGTACCTGTTCCAGCTCCTGTATTGTGTAGTCTTTGGACTGGAGGATCTCCAACACTTTCCTGTCTTTTATCTCAGCTTTGTGCTTCTCACTAGAATAAAGAGAAAAGAAAAACAAAAAAATGTGCGTCCATAGTCATCTAAAATTGAGTGACTTAAGGCTATAGGGTTAGAATGATTGGACGATGCTAATTATATCCTCAAAGATCAACAGATACCATGCCTATAAAAAAGGCCATATATCCTGTTACATATAGACAATGTGAAAACATTTAAATATTAATTAAAATTAAATAAAAAGGAAAATGCTCAATTAGTAATCAAATCAGAGCTACAGTACTATCCTGCAGCTGCACCAAACTTTTCTCTCCAGCCCACTAGCACCTCTTTTATCATAATGAACTTTTAGGGAGACAAAAACAAGGCATCAATTGGGGACTTGTTTGTTTCAACTGCTTTAGGCCACCAGGGGCCACCCATTCCCTCCACTCATCACTTTCTCCTTCTACACCTCCCATCTTTGAGGCCTTTCCTCTCGTCTCTTTGCCTCTTCTGATCAGCTCTCTCCCCTGGCAGACACTGAAATAAGTATCGTGTCCCTGAAGGAGCTGGAACGTAGGCTGGCCTAGCTACATCTCCTTGTATATTGGGCTGTGTTCACCATGTCCTGAGCAACCAACCAATCACTCTACAAGATCCACACAGGAAGAGGAGGGGAGGGTGAATGGCAGTTCCCAGTGGGCACCAGCGCTTGACTGGAGTCGACACAATTACCATGTCAATATCCTCCTGCGCATCAGGTGATACAATACACATACGCTCTCTGGGTGCATGTACCCCCACCAGTCTCTGTGGACCAGCATACTTTGATGGGTTTCCTATGGGGCTATAAAGGAACTGAAGAGGGTGTAGAGAAGAAATGAGAGGCACAGGTACTGAGGAACTCTCTGCACACTGCCTCACTGTGTTTTACCCCTATTAAGGATCTACTACCAACTATCAGACCTCAAAAAGTATGTGATATGCACCCATGACAGAGAAAATATCATTCTAAGATATCCTCAAAAGAAAATAAGTCCATAGAAACTTGTAAGTATTGAGTACAGCTTTACATTCACTTCAATAGCAGCTGAAACATACAATATGTAAGTGGGATAAACAACCATACTACAGAGATACCAGCAACAAAGGTAATTTAAAGTACTTTTTTTTCCTAATAAAGAGGAAAATATTTAATTTATCCAACTGTGAAAATACCTGAACCTCTGTTCTTTTCTGAAAGTTCCCATGCCACTGTTTTTGGTGTGGCTTAGCCACCCTGCAAAAGAGGTCATATTCAATCTCACAATTTATCCGATAAAGACAAGTATTTGGCAGGAGTGTTTCAACTGTCCAGAATGGGTGCGGCAGAGGAAGACTGTTTTCATTAAAAGGGTTTCCATGGGTGAACTGCTAGACCGGGGATAAGAAGGCTTAAATCAGCATCTGCACCAGATTCCGTCGTAACCCCTGTAGAATGGCCAAGGTGCCTTTAACACCCCTTGAACGACTTTCACACATATTTCTCTTCACTTGTGAGATAAAGGAATTTTCAGCTATTGAGCCTCTCAGGTAGCAATTTGAAAGATGAATCTACTCACCGCTCAACCACCAAACTGACAGCCTGGGTCAAGTCTGGATTTGCCACTTGCAGGCGTTTCCATAGGGACCACACAAACTCCTTGTCTGCCTGTGAAAATAAAGGATTCAGCAAGTCAACAGCTGTTAGTCCTAATTGAGATAAATAGCTGTTGATAAATTTTTCTCAAGATGCAGCAAGGCCTACAAGGAAAGCCACAGCACATCTCAGCCTTTCTCTCTGAAAAACAAAAAATTAAATAGGATGCTCAATGACATTAGCATACGACAGAAGGGGTAGTCAATCAATAATTTAAATATCTTGTACAAAATAGTTTTTGATCTGGCCTGCCCTCTCTAATCATGAGCCTCTCTTAACAGGAATCCTCATCGCTGAGATGTGACCTTCGACTCAAGGGGAGCAAGCATTGACACTTGTCATTATGCACTATTTATGACTGGGGAGAGCTGGGCTCCAAATCAAAACACAGCAGTCGAGCTTGCGTTTGCTTTATTAATCAATTGCGCTCTGGATATGTTTTCCACTACAGCTCCAAAGTAACTAGCCCCAAAGAAACTCAAAACTGATGACAGAGAGTCATCTTCAAGTAGAAAAACCCAGCCAGCCCCTGACACATTTCCAATTCAAATTGTCTCGCTGGTTTTTCAAACATTTTTAAGCTACATTACATTTAATGAGGGACATCTAAAAACTACATTTTCTGACATTAAAAGACAGAATTATACCAAATCGACTTAATATAAAATTATCTGATAAATTATGTTCACATCATCATAAGATAAAAGTCATCCCTCCCACTGGAATCTACTGGTCTCCAATTAGTACATGAATTTTAACCCCCTTTTCAAAAGTGTCTAATCAATTATTTACTCAAATGGCAGAAGCAGACCTTGATAAGACCATGAGCTGAACATATAAAGTGGAAGGACTGTAGATCTCTGTCTCTGTATGCATCTGTGTGTAAGTGTGTGTGTGTATACATAGTGGGAGCAGGGTGAAGGAGGGATAGAGATCTCACCAAATCAGCCCTGCAATGCAACTAACGATGAAATTAAGCATCATGGTTGACTTGAAATAGGTGGTCTCCCTCCGCCTGTCCTTTGGCTGCCATTAGCCGTTCCACAGACAAGCGTTCAGTCAGGACCCTCATCAAGAGCTCTCCTCTGCTGTATGTGCACTTAAAGATGCGGTGAATGTGTGTTTGATGATCGTTGAATTATTAAATTTGAATCTAGCCACTGAAACACCATGGGCTAAACATACCAAAGACGGGCACTGGAATTCAGCCACATATTAATAAAATTAGCAGGGTCTAGTAGGAACATTTGCTAGCTGACAGAGGAGACTCTTTGTAGTTAATGGCTGTCCTGAAGTACTTCTTGCTCGAGACTTAAGACATCAATGGTATTCAAATGCTTCTATTTAAATGGTACACTGCACAACTAAAGGTCCCCATTAGATAGACAGAATCACTGATGTTCTACTCTAGACAAGACCACCAAGGATGGCCTCATGTCAGTTCAACGTAGGGCAGCAGGGACTGTCAGTCTGAAGTGAACAAAGTATCACTGGTAAACTAGTAGCACTATAATGTAGTGAATTACAACTGTAACAAACATTTGATCATGGATGACAGCCTAAAGGTGCTGTGATTTGCATGTTAAAATGTTTGCAGGACAAATGCCTACTCAGTGCTATTAATGAAGATCACTTTTATATGTCATGGGGCGTTTTCTAGTTTTCTTGGGAATACTTTTGGCAAAATTCAGAGAGATATACTGTAGAACTTGTAATATGAACATTTTCAGGTGACAAAGTGATGAATAGCAGTTGTGTTTTGTTGTGTTAGATGAGCAAAACCCCCTAATTATACAAATTTATTTACTTTCCCCAACACTGGAAACACCTTAACAACATTTACCAAGAAGAAAAAAAAATCTTAATCTTACATATAGTTTCAAACAAATACCACTATACAAGTTTTTAGGGATGCCTTGTGTCTCCTACAAACTGTGGAATCAAACTTCTTTTTCTGAAGAAACTCTAAAAAGTGAACTTCAGAAGTCACACAGAACTTTACACACAGCATAAATAAGGTAACAGGCACACATGAGGTTATAGCCAAACAGCACCACAACAAATGTTCCTGCCCCATGTGTTAGGTGGTATCCATAGTCTAATAAAAACTCAAATGTAACACATCATCTGCTGAACCCCACATCTGTCTACCTACCTGTACAGCAAGGTACTGTGCAAAGTGAGAAATGCTGGGTTAAGATCACTCATGTTATTAGGCACCACCTGGTGGTGAGTATGCAAGGACAACCTCCCTCAATCACTGACTCACAAAGTGAGGTTGATGCATTCTCAAATCTGCTCATGAGCAACTCCTGGACAATGCATCTGTATTTATTTGAACAAAGGAAATGGAGGGGTTCACTTTATGCTGAACATTCAACAGAGTGTGGTCAGGTCATTTACAGACTTTTGCAGATAAACAACAGTGCAAACACAAAATGTGCTTTATGCAATTTAGTAAAATGAATTTATCTTTAAATAATAACTAACACCATGGCCTAAAATAGATGTGTTTTTCCATTTAAACTGTCAACTGCTAGTCATAAACCTCAAAACTATAATCATGAGTTCATGCCTTTTGAGAAATGAAACAGAAACACTAATGCACTTTCCAGCACCCATTGTTATCTCCCCAGAAATCCTTTTATTTCTAATTATGTTACATGACAAAGATACATTATGTATGTATCTTACGGTAGGTGAGTCATAGGTCTTTATCTGATCAAAAATAACTTCAGTGGTAATTCAGTGTGAGAAATGGTTTGGACTCTGATGGAAAAGGCAAATAGAGAAAAGGAAAAAAAGGCTTTGCACACAATGGAGCAAGAGTTGCTGGCAACTCTAAGACCTACATGTAGTCAGACATAACAAAACCACAAGTGTCTGTGGTAGTGACTGATTAAAAATATATAATAAGAATCTTTTTTTTCACTGATAAGAGCGACGTATTTCATATTGTCATTGTTTATGTACTAATTAGAGAAAAAACGACAAACAGTAGGATCCTTTAAATGCTGCATTAGTGCACAGACAGATCTTTGACCTCAAAGTGATATAATCATTAATGAGGTCATCATAATGAACACCTTCACATTTTAAACAGGACATTTGCTGAGTGAACTTGCTGTCATCAGCTGAGTTTATTATTAGTTATTTATTTATTTATAAGGAAGTGTGCCTCACTCATTTGTGTTTCCTATAGCCTAATACATTCTTCAGATGGCAGATATCACAGTCTAGCAGTGTGTGCTGGTACCTTTGAATACACATGAACACATACCTGGCATTGCATTAACTCATCTGATAAACTCTTCACTTGCTCCTCCAAATCCAGGATGCGAGTGTCGGACATTTTGGGACTGAAAAGGATGAAAAATAACAACTCGTTTAAGGAATATCACTGTTAGCAGAGAATTAAAAACTAGTGCTGGTAGCTTTAACGTTATCAGGATGTGAGCCCGTTCACATTTAATCGGCGATGACACTGTTCATTTGGAGTCTTTTTGAAAGCAATCTCCACAGGGGGTTTCCACATCTCATCTGACGTTAGCTACGTTAAGTTAGTTACGCTACATGTCTTCAGCACACTCGCAGGATGAGACAATGCGGCTCCTGAAAGGTTGTAACGTTACACAGATTGTCTCTTACCTGTTTTCGTTAACTTGCTAACCAAGCGGAAGGTCAACGCTGTGGCAGAAGCTTTACAGCACTGCGTAAAAACAAGGTAGTGCTACTGTAGCTTACCTTAGCTAGTGTTAGCCACTTTATAAACATTCCTATTTTCCGTATCTTGTCCTGCTGTTGAACAGACAGTGCCCCCGAACACCGTCACTGCATTGTTTCAAACATTTAAAGAGTATCTTTGTAGCTTTTCCAACGACAAAACCAAAACAAACTTTCTGACTGAATCACACCGTTGTCAATAGCTACCGCAACGCTTTCCTCCTTTCAAACAAACCCGCTGTTTTCAGTTTCTGTCCCTCCGCGTCATCGTAATCGCGTCATTTTACGACGGCAGCCGTTAACGTACGGCAGGATCAGAACGCAGTGGTTTCCAAAGGCGGGTCCGGGTACCAAAGGAAGTCCCGGTGGTTGTTTAGAGTGGACCTCAACACATTTAGGTCTTGTAAAGGGCAAATTAAGGAAAAGTGACACTTTTTATTGAATGACACTATGCAATCTTATGTAGGCCTACACGATTATAGCCTGTTAATGGACCACAAACCTTAACATTAATATGATTTTTTTAAACCAACAGTAAGCAAAGTTGTTGGGGGGCTGTTATAGTCTGTGTTCAAAGAGTGACACTAATATAGTAATATTTACTAAAAATATTAATTGAGCTTGTTTATCACAACATGAAGCACAAACAATTCATATCATATGTTTGCATGCATGGTTTGATGTCGTCAAACATCATTATAGTGATTGATTTCCAAGAATGTGCGTCTTGCTGAAGGATGAGGACATAAAATCATGATCCTGTACATTGTTTTGCAGCCATGTGAATTGCCCTGGTGGTGACTTCTTCAACCAGCCTACGTCTCCCACTGGGCTCACATCAGAAGCACATTTTAGCTGACCAACCAAGACCAACTCTGAGCAACGATTAAAATCAAGTCCAAATCACTATGGGTCAAATATATGGGCACTAAATTATAAATAAACTTATATGTGAAAGAATTCTTAATGCTGTGAATAGAGATGATGCTACAGTACGTACAGGGTTTCTTTTGTTTTCTCTACCCACTTATTAACCTTTAGGTCTATCCAGCATGCAGAACTACAAACCTTTCCAATGAAGGGCAGGCCATGTAAACATGCCATTTAGGGTCTTAAATCCAGTATCAAACTATTTTGGATTATTTTACTGTAAAAAAAAAAGACAGTGTAGCAAAATAATCCAATGCAATGTGTTAATAATGGGAGTTTTTATTATTCTGTACACACGTCTGAAAATAAATACTGTGACTTTCTGATTTATTGTTTGTCATAAAATCTTATTTCAATAAAAAATTGCAATTGTATATTTTATGGCTCATAACCATTGACAGTAACATGTCAAAACAATTGCTAAAAACATTTGAATCACCTAATATATTAAATGTAAGGCCTTTAAGACATTTAAAAAGTCTTAAAGGCTTTGAAGAGCACACAGTACTTTGCAAGAAGAAGAATAAAAACTGTAATTTAAAATTGGTAGTGCAGTAACATTTATATAAAAGATCGTAGGCAGAGTGTTGTGTATTTATTGTGCTATTACACACACACACACACACACACACACACACACAGATGCACTACATAGAATAAGGGTTCCCCTGTGTCTGCAAGTGCTGTTATACAAGGCTATAAATCTCTGTTGCTATATCAAAGATCAACAGCCACACGAATGACGGTAAAGGAGAAATGACACAGATATATTGATCTTTGTGTGGTAGTTTATGTTTAAAAATGTGTTTTTTCTTTTAATAAACACACACTTATACCTTACCCCTGTTGATATTTGCCTTGCTTTATATGTTTTTAATGATCTGTTGTGAGGTCAAAGACATGATTATGTCTACAATACATTTTGAATCTTGAAGCAGGAGCTTTGAGAACTGGATGTACACGAGAGAAAATGAACAAAGACGCGTGTTTGACATCTGTTTTGCGGGTGAGACAAGACAACTCCATATTGTGTGGTTAATGTACTTAAGTGTCCAGCCAGACTTGGAGCACAGGGTGAAAGAGCGAAATGAAGAAATATGAGGACTGGCACTCCTCTTCAGTCAGACAAATGTTGGTTCGTCTGCTCACTGCACACACTCTCTCTCTCTTTCTCTCTCTCTCTCTCACACACACACACACACACACACAGGAGAAAAAAAAAAGAAAAGATGCAATTGACTTAGCATGATTAGGCTGTTCCTTGACCCACGAACACTGCCTCTCATTAAGATCCTCATTTGCGGAACAATTTTAGAGGCAGTAGACTGGTACATAATGCGCAACATCTGCCTGCCCCCTGTTTCTTGTTCTGACACACAGAACTGACACATGGTATCTATGAATAAGCCTCTCTCTCTCTGTCTCTCTCTCTCTCTCCCCCTCTCTTTTCCCACTCCCTCTCGCGTCATGAGAAAAAGTGTCCATCATACATCTACAACAGTTCACATCAGAAGTCATCCACAGATTTCAGAAAATTTAGGTACAATTTCTCTTATAAGAAACCATGAAAGAGGCCAAATGTGGTCAAAAGAAAGTCAAATTAACACAATTCTCTCTGAACTCAAAGGGATCTTTGAGTTTCCAACTTTGGTAACCATCCCCTCTTTCATCATCAAATGTGTATAATTTGGCCCCAGACATTGCCAGTCGCTTACATGTTCTGCATGTTCCACCATGTTTGACAGTGCCTGCTGCTGCTCTTTCCTATATCTGTAGCAGCCTGTATCTCTTTCTTTTAAGTGTTTGTTGTCTGTCCCACTAATGACAGATTAATCCAGATCTGAGAGCTTTTTAGACCCCTTAAAAAGGCTGATCTCAGTCAAGCACTCTTTCATATCATCAATGACGTTTTTCCTGCATTTACTAAAAAAACAAAACGTGTTCACACACTCACTTCAGCCTGTATTATTTGATTTGACTTCTTTCACCAACATATTCGAAATGTAAATTATAATAATGAATTGGGCCGAATATGTTTCAGAAGTATTGACATTTGGCTCTACTTCCTTAAAAAACACACCATTAAGAGAGTATTAAAAGAAATTGTGTAAATAGTGTAAATGTCTTAAGTGTGCTGATATTAAGTAGCCCATATATTCTATATGTGGGAAACACCACCGTCACAACAAGAATATCCAACACCTACCTTTAATAAACAATTATTTTGTTAATAAATAATTCATTAACCTACAGTAGAACCAGTCTCTGTGAAGGAAATGAAGCATGAATGAAGAATGAATCTTAAATTTAACACTCGATCATTAGCTTGCCCCTTGGCAGTCATGGGAACTGTGGGTTTGTGACTGAAAAGAGACACATCTCTCAAGATTCACACTCATCCTAAAGTTTAAATTGGATCTCTGAAATTGATATCTGCTGGCATAAGTCATAGCTCTAAGGATAGTTTCATCGTAAGCCACTGTTATGATCTGTGGAGTGTCTGGAGAGAGATGGTCAAGTGATTAAACTTGATCATCTGACTGAAACAGACTACTTTTTTTGTCATAATGAATATCACTTATACTGGTTCACATGTGGAGTACTGTGTGCAGCTGTTTTTTTTTTTTTTTTTTTGTTGGTTTGCTTACATTACTACCCAACCAAAAGAAATCAGCTGTCACTAAAATTTCACTGCATGGTTTAACTTCTTCACTGTATGCCACAGAACACGGCTGACTCAGATGTATAGCTGTAGATGTAAACAATACAGTAGCAAATGTAACCCGACCCTTGTTTGAAGTTGTCTTTGTGCGTCTCTCGAGTCTAATTTCCCAACTGTTAAAATGTGAAGGGCCACCCCTTGAAACAAGACAGCTCTTGTATTGACAGTCCCTACAAGCATGCTTGTCTCGCCTCTGTTCTGCCTCAGCGGAGTCACAGGGAAGTTCAAGTGCTAGGCCGCATTTAATCTACCAGGGGAAGAAAGTGACATAGAATTGTGATCATGCAAATGCACCTGCATGAAAAATTCAAGAACCAAATGACAAGCCCCGGTGTGCTGTTGCTGACAGAGGAAGGAAGAGAGGCACAACACGACACTCCATGGAGAATTGTGAAAGCACAGTCTCCGCCTCAGGTAAGTGGGGATATCGTCTGCATTAATGTGGCCTAGCTTTGATGCTGAGGGAGGAAAGAACCTGAGAACTGCAGGAGATGACAGTAGATACTAAAGAGTCACAAGTCCCCAGCTTTAAAGGAACATTGATTGTACAAATGCCAGTTGGGATGTCAAACCTGCACAGTGTTTAGTCAAACATCACTCCCCCGGCATGGAAATGAGACAGGCTCTAACATGTGAGAGCTACATTAAGTCTTTGAACACAGTCACTTTGTAGCACGGCTGATGACTCTATTTGTTACGTGTCTGATGTTCTCTTGTTGAATAAGATTAGATAATAATAAGCTGTTATCACACTGGGTGCCTTTTGAAATTTAAATTCCCCATCACAAACCTTTGAAATTGCTCACGGAATTTGTGTTCAAATGCTGACATTTAAAAGCTTGTTTGTACACATTTCTATTCAAGCGATGCCCTGAGGAGGGATATTATATCTTTCACTGAAGTCCGTGGGAGAATTATCAGCCACTCTTGACCTCGAGCATGAGCCATCCTCATGCTGAATCCTGTGAGACCTTGGACTGCCTTACAAAACCCCAGGACAGAGAAACCATTGATTACTGCTTCTCTTCCCTGTTTTCAGCCTTTAGACATACAATATCTGTGCACTTAAATCAGATAAGTCCAGCTCAAAACCTTCCCTCATCACAAACCTTACACACTGTCTTCGCCATCATGTGTATTCCTGTATGCATGTGACGTCGCTGACCTCCCACAAGTCCCCCTCCTTCCCCACATGCTGTGTGTACATGCCCCTATGTTCATGTCCTAACCCCCCTGCCCCGATGAGATGGCATGGACCTCTGTTTGACTCCCATCTGATGACCTTCTGGTCTTATCCTCAACAGACAAGAGCCTTCATAAAGGAGGAATTGATCCAGACAAGACCCACCTCACGTGTGTGTGTGTGTGTGTGTGTGTGTGTGTGTGTGTGTGTGTGTGTGTGTGTGTGTGTGTGTGTGTGTGTGTGTGTGTGTGTGTGTGTGTGTGTGTGTGTGTGTTTGTGTGTATCCATGGTGCCATGAGGGCCACACTCACTCACGGCTCACCCAACTAGTGTGCCATCCCAACCCCAGTTAGCCCCCTCAGGAGGTCTGGGAACAAGGAGTCAGGCTATTTCCCTTGGGCTCTTTGCTAGAGAGCTTGTCCTTTGCTTGGTGAAAGGGTAAATTAAGGTGGTGAGGTTGTATTTAAGTTCATATTTCCCTTGAGTATGAAAGAGGAGACCAAGGACATGGGACATTGATCGCCCTGAGTAAATGTCGTCCAGTCGGAAAACAGCTTTTAGATGAGAAAAGTATTTGTCTTATTTCTAACACCTGTGCTTCCCTCTCTATGAGTTAGGTGAGATCAAACTATGACATTGACATATAGAATTGTTTCTGTATCATAGTGCAATTTTTCTTTAATGTTGCTCATTAAATCACTTTGTTCTTTTATGATCAAACATTTGATGCAGTTATCAACAATTATCTGTTTATCTTTGAGTGTCAAAGGATTGAGGATGTTGTATGTTGTACGGACTGTAAAGAAATGTGTGATTTTGTGATATCAAGACATTAATCTGGCATCAGAAATGTCACATCACAGTTAGTTAAGTAATAAAAAAAATAATTATGGGAGCCATTAACAATCTCCTGATTGGAGAACAGTATGAACCAGTTAGAACTCCTCAAGGTTCTTGGTTATGGTCATACTGACCTTTCAGGACTTGTCTATGCTTTAGTGAAAGGAACTTAATGAACAGAAGGACCTCTGTGGATTTGATGGATCCACCAGTGCGCTGCAGCAGCTGATGGCCTTCCCAGGAGGTAGACCACTTCAGTAGCAGGTTCAATAGCTCATTATCAGTGGTCCCGCTGGATAATTAGTGAACAGTGGGATCCTGTCACAGCGACAAATAAACATATACTCTCCCTCCCTATCAAGCTGCCTTTGCTGGTTACTTGTACAGTGTGATTTAATGTCAGTGTCTGCTTAAATGCAAAGGTCAGAACACATGTCTGATACTGGATTCTTTTTTGAATAAACACAACATAAACAAACATTTTTGCTTGTTCATTTTTGAAAGACTTGGAAACACAATATATCTACAACAAACTTGCCAGTGCTCTCTGGTGGACAAACTCTGTGATGGAGGTAATGTTTCTAACTCCATGTCTATACAGACTGTGTAGTGAAAGCAGCCCTTCAGCAGGAGCACCTTCAAGTCCCCCATCAGTGTCCACGCAGGATGTATTTAGCCACAGTAATGCTGTAGGGTCAGCCAAGGTTTGGCAGCAGTCAGAGCCCGATACACAATTCACTGTCTTATACAAACACTGTGTATAAGAATGATTGATAAAGCTGCTGAGGTAATAATGTCAATCAACTCATTTGATTTTTGTCATTTCTTGTTACTCATCAGCCGACATATACACAGATATTTCAAATGTAAAATGCATGTTAACATGTTACATCTTCACAGGTGTTTGAGTCAACTCGGTCAGTGCATGTTATGGTTTATGAAAACTATACTACTAATTATTTTTGTCAAATATGTTTTAAGGGAAAATTAACTGCTGCCTGGATTATGTTCAGTGGCAACGTTTTTTCAAATTGTAGGATGTGCCTTTTTTTTTACTGCTACTAATATGCAGGTGGCTATGGTGGGTTGCATTTGTGATATCAGAGACTGGAGTTTGCATCAAAATGTGCAAAAGCATTTTGGTTAAGGTTGGGTAAAGATCATGGTTTCGGGTAAATGTTAACAGCATACACATGTCTTGTTTCATGCTTCAGTTTAGTGTTCACTTTTGTTCAATCAAGACCAGTATCTTTCCTTAACCTTAACCAAATGCAGAAACATAGTTATATAAAACATAAATCATGCCTTAGTTGCTATGAGCAGATGTTGTATTGCAAGTAGGAGAAAAACTAATGAAATACTTTGTCAGGAAATATTTTGCAGATATGATTTATATTAACAATTTGTGACTTAACTTAAACAGGTTTCCTCATTTTATTGTTTGTATAGTGTTGCTGGGGTATCCTAACACCCTGTACCTGAGCTTAGATCTATATTAATCATGACAGTAATTCCGAAATTAACGTTTTGCTTCAACAAAAACAAGTAAATATGATGATTGACCTTGCTCACGCAGTAATACAGCAGCAGATTGTTGAAATTAAAAGATAGCTAGAAGCTGAAAGTATAGCTATCCAAATATCCCCTATCATATGCTGCTATCACACATCTTGTGTTACTCATAGCAGAAATATTTCATCTGATAACTAACAGCAAAGTAAAAAGGTCACGTTTTTCTTTGATGTGCAGTTTATGTCACATTAATCTTCCACAGCTCCGGGTGTCTATATGGATAATCAACACTGCTGAATAGAAAACACCTCCCTGGTCAAATTAAAGCAGCATCAAAGCATTTGAAGTCGACACAAAAAGAACACCTAATGTTTTTTTCCCAGACAATCCTTTAAAGGCTTTTTGTTTTGTTGCTCACATAAGTATGTAATATCTCATTTAATTAGCGATGTAAGCCCTCTGACAAACAGGCATATGGTCCTCGCTCTCCCACGGCCTTGGCAAGGAATGAATATGCATATCCTGGGACCTCAGTAGCTTGTTACCCTGGAATGAATTCTACACAAGCCTAATCCCTGATCTATTATTTACCCCTTGACCAAACATGCAAGTGGGGCTTCCAGACGCTTGACTTGATAGAAATGACTGCCCTGGGATTCAGTTGCCTCTCTCACCCCAGTGGAGGAGCCAGGCGGAGGCAGGCAGTCACTCTGAGGAGCGCTGTATGTCTCTCTCATTCTGCTCCACTCTATCCTCACACACACACACACACATGCAAATACACATCCCTCCCTCCTTCAACTCTTCACTCTTGAGATGTCTCAGTCAAATGTTGAGCAAATCCTCATAAAAACAAGTGCACAATGAAACTTTAATGAGCGCGCCCACTTCTGAGGGATCTGAGGGACACAACTTAGGAAATCAGTGTCACATCCCTGCAGTACACAGAGAAACCATAAGCTGTTTCCGACTGCTTAAAACTCGTGTGTGTGCGTGTGCGCGCGCATTAGGCGTGCGCGAACCGTACTCGCACTGAGGTCACAGAAAGTGAAATGAGTGAAAGTTTGCTAAAATGAAATGCAGCAGACCCCAAAAGTTTATACAGTGTTTAAAAGACGGCAGGAATTTCAGAAACACTTGTATTTATTTTTGTATCATTTATTGACTCTTTGGCAACGTTTGGTTCATTTTCTATACAGGTGATATTGTTTAAAATACATAGATTATAATCTGTGCTAAAATACAGATTATTTTAACCACAATAGATCCGCGCTAAATACACACGTGAAAAAATATCACAGAATCATTGCTGCTTTTCATCACTAGCGCGTCTTCTTGCGGATTTCTTATCTCGGGGCTTTTTTTCGTACACTTTTGTCGCAAGAAGATGTGACTCTTCCTCCTGACACAGCATCGTTAATCAACTCATCGGGCACAGAAACCCTCTGGACCCACAGTCACTCGGGTTACAGTCACACACGGCGTGTAAAACACTGGTCTGAATTCACCCAACACAACACAGCAGCCACCTTCTCTCCAGCCCGGACCGTCCGCAGCTCTCCTCGGCGCACTGCGCTGACTCTGCAGAAGAAAATCATCGGGGGAGTGTAGGAAGGCGTTTTTTTTAAAAACGTTTTTTTCTCAAGGTAGGACAAGCGGTTACAACCCAGCTTCTGGTTGTCAGCAATCTCGACTGTCTCCTTGACTTCTTCAGTTTACGGTTTGGGGAAAGAAGAGGGGACCGAGTGTCGTGGTCACGCGTTTCTCTCCGTGAAACCGACGCGTTTCCAAACGTCTTGACGCGCGGTTTTTTCTCAGTGAGGCAGCCCGGACAGAGAGGTTTCTCGGGATAAAGAGAGTGACTGTTCCCCCCCCCCCTCGCCACCGTGTTGTACCTAAAACTGTCATAAACAGCGATGATAAGTTTGTGAAAGGAACACCGACCGCGAATCGCCTCAGACAGCGCGTAGTATTGAAGAGGAGAAAGTTCCCCACTTGAGGGCGAAATCAGACTTTTTTGAGGACGCCAAGTTTGAAAAGTGCCAGCAGCCCCGGGGTCTGTCAGATACAACATGCAGCAATGGTAAATATGATTTTTCTGCTTGTGCTTATTGAAGTTATTCAGATAAAACACACCAGCACTAGAAATTATGTAATTGGTAACTTTTCTTTGAAACTTGTGCGCCGGTTTTGTAATCTGAACTCATCAGAGCAGATACAAAGTTATAGCCAAGACTTCATTTTTCAATTGAGTTTCCCACACTTGTTTTTGATTCATATGACTCATCCGGTAGATTTGTTCATGCTTGCATTTAATGAAAATGAATTTCTTCTTCTGCTTGTTTTGAACTTTTTCTTCTCTCTCCTCTTTGTCTCAGAAAATCAATAGTAATCGCTGTAGCATTTGTGAGCCTATTAAAGGCCATAACCAGAAATTAGACTTGTGACATCTTAAGTAAGTTAACAAAATATTACTTTATCTAATTTTACAGTTTTAGTCACGTTACTCAATTACCTCACTGGCGAATTAAAAACGTTTACTTGACGTCTTTATGGGCAAATCGTTAATTCCAGATACAGTGCAAATAATTATTTTATTAATTGTTTACTTGTTTTTTATGTTGTAAGCCACCTTATACTACCTGTAGATTCGGGGGCCTTCATATTCACAAACTCCATACAAACCAGTGAATGCTATTATTCAGTGCAATTCAGTGCAATCCTCAGATAGAAAACACATGTAAACGGGGCTGATAAAAATGTGTTATGGGTGTTTACTTAAATAAATGTGAGCAGACTTCATTTCATAGCTGGCAGCAACATTTCTCAAGTTATTTTTCAGGCCTAAAATCCCCCTGCTGAAAATCCTACTTCACCTTTCTGCAGAAGTCCTTCTTGCAGTTCATG